GTGTGCTGATCCATCACCAATTATGAAAACATTTAGTAAATTTCGTGACTGGCTTGTAAGAAGGTCCCTTCCTGCATTCTCAGGATTCAAAGGCGCAGACGCTTACCCCCTTGATAGACAAGCAAAGCCACTTGTACCTCCACAAGGCCGCCTACTCAAGACATTTCCAAAACAAAATAAAGCTAATTTAGAAAATATCTATAGGTCTATTAACATAAAGCTCCAATGACTTCCTCTCACTTTGCATATTTCGACCTTGCTCTCAATTTGGGTCCATTCAAGTAAAACAATATAGGAATAGCTATCATTGCCGTCGCAATAAATCCCAAAACACTGGATCCCCAAGCAACAGGAAACTTGTCAATCTTCAAATTATTGAATAGAGCTGCACCAAAAAGTGGGAAGACCGAGGCAGTAGTTGATCTGACCAAATCATTCGACGCAAAAACAGATGCAAGATACTCAGGCTTGAATGATGCACCCATATAATTGAATAATGTTTGAAACATAAGAAATGCACCTGCTGTTGTAGCCGCAACCCCAAATAGTGGTCCTATCCAATGAGTGTAGGTCGTTGCTGACCATCCAAATATAAACAATCCTGAGGCAAACAAACAGCCACCAACAATGGCAATGGGGATGAACACTTCAGGGTATACAGCTTCATTCTTCAAAATTGGTTTAGTAAATTGGTGATGGATAACCGGCAAGTAAATCGAAGCTGCAATCAAGACCCCAATGATGAGTGCCAAATATGTAAGTCCCAATTCAACAGTTGTAAATCCCCTAACTTCAACAAAGTAAATTGGGAGTACCTCAAAGAATAGATAAAGCACACTGTAGACCATGGCAATGTAGACATCAATCAACAAGACAACTGGCTCCAACACAGTAACCTCAATAGGACGCCATACTGCCTCCACCAAAATCTGGTTCATTGTCCTACTTTCATTCTCCAACAAGCCAACTGTGGTGATCCGATCATTACCAGTTTTGGCCCTCAACCTTTTTGCTTTCCTAGCAAGCAATGTAGGTGCATACGTCTCGGGTAATAAGAAAGTCAACATGGCCAATGAAAACCCGGACACAATCATTATAAACCAAAAAGTCCATCTCCAGCCTGCCTTGACAGTTAAAATTGAGCCAAAGAAAGGTCCTAAACTTGGCCCACAGACGGCACCAATACTCCAAATTGCCAAGGACAATGGAAAGTTCCAATATTTGGTCACTTCTCCAACACTTGCACCCCCAGTTGCCAAACAAGGACTAGCGAAAAACCCTCCCAAAAATCGAAGAATACAAAACCCAGCAATGTTATCAACCAAAGCAGTGGGGATTTGTAAAATCACAAAGACTAGCAACGTCAATGCGTAAATGGATGATCTGCCAACAGCTGCATTTTCCGAAAGGGGTGACCATAAAATAGGACCAATACCATAACCAAGAACAAAGGTGAAAACACCCAATGTTCCAACAACTCTTCCGACTGACAAATCACGCTGGAGCTGGTCCAAACCTGGAGTGTAGACAGCTGAAGCCATGTAAACTGATGTTGTCAAGAATGCAACCTCGAAAATGAAAAACCCCTTTTTGAAAAGACTCCAATTGCGTGGATCCTCTGGATCATCATCACCATCCCATTCAACAAAGACGTGGTCGTCGGTGCTCTTGTTATCTATTATGGTATTCCCACTCAAACTGGAATTAGTCGAAGTGGATGTGGAAGTGGTCAGTGCAGTTGCCTCGTTATCATCCTCTAGTTGTCGATGTAATGATTGAGCATCGGAACGGTATTTACCATCAAGCAAATATTTCTCAGGAATAACATAATCTGCATCTTCTTCTGGGTATGAAAAGTACTTGTGATTTGACAAGTGATAGACAATTCTACCACCGAAACTATCCCTAACAAAATCTAACATTTGATACTTGGGTGAGATTGTTCTTTATTGCTTCTGCAAGTTTGATGTTGATCTTGTAGTGATGGCTCACAAAGAAAGGGAAGAAAGTATTCCCCCCCGCCCTTTATATATCATTGCTTCGTCTTTGATTAGTAACTTTGCTGAGTCATTGTTGAAGGTGAAAACCGATTTGAGATTCTCCATTGTCGATGCAAAGTTCGGTATTTGTTTGGTAGAAAATTAAGTTTCAGCCGCAATTTTAGGAAAACTCCTTACTAAGCAAAAGCTTTGTGCACACACTAATTTTTCTTTTCTGTCTCCTTACATATCTTTGAGAAGTTATAGACTGAGGGGTTATTGAATCAAAGACCTAATGTTGTAACAGTGAACCCCCTCCCCCTTCCCCTTCCTTCCCCATTTGAATTTACTCTGCTCAACTGAATGAGCGATAAAAGAAGCCTTCAATATGTGTTGTCCCGTTTTTACTTTCAACCCTTCCAATTTCGTGTCATGATTATTGAACCACTCTAAGCACTTGCGACAGTGGACTACCCAAGAGCAGCATTACTAATCTCGTTACTAATGGGATTGAACCACTGGCATTCAAGGATCACTATTCTATTGTTGATATCATGAATCTTGAGAAATTGCGCTTTTTTGTCGATGGCCGAACTGAGTTTCCAAATTAGGTAAGTTCCGAGTTTTACACATAAAGCGCAACAAGAATATTTATTGCAAAGAGAAAATGCGACTGTCTCGGATCAGCAACACTTCCAAAAGCGGTTCTTCCCGAAACCTTTTCCTTTTTTTTATTATTATTTTTTTTTCTTTCTCTAAAGGAGCAATACCAAATCATCAAACTCACTATATATTTCTGACCTATACAATCTTGATAAAGCTATAGTCTCATTCCCTCCTTCAATCAATGCTTTTTCGGAACCGTAGGTACAATAGAAAATCGCTTTTCATTAAATGCTAATCCCATCTCTTGGACATTCTTTTGATTTTCTGGCTTGGTCTCCACAAACCAATCCATATCCTCCCTGTAGGTATACAACGCATACTTTGTTCCATATGGATTAGTCTCCAACTTGTACAATGAATGAAGTGGGACATCCAATTGCACAATATCAGATGGTTGCAAATTAAGAAAGTATCCAATGAGAATACGAAGTACAACACGATGACTAATAATGAGAAGGTGGTCAGTTGTACGCTCGATCTCGGTGATCAATGGCCGCAAACGAGTTAAAACATCTAAATAACTCTCACCACCAACACCTGGATATCGATACGTTAACTTGTTTTCCAATCGCAGTTCAAATTCTTTAGGGTACTTTTCTTGTATTTCTTCATATGTCATGCCCTCACATTTCCCAGCACCAATCTCATTCAACATACGCATTTGTTTCACAGAATACAACTGCTCATTGAAATAAACACCCGATTCCACAGCACGATGCATCATCGATGTCCATACACAAAAGTTGGGTTCATTTGGAATTGCAGCAACGTCTTCGGCATTGAACATTGAGTTGTACTTGAGTTCCAAACGAGTGGAAAACCTTTTCAACTGTTGTTTTCTAAATTCTTCCCGTTGAAAGTTCATAAAGGTAGCCAAGGCTTTAGCAAATTTCTTACCACGTCTTGTCAAATGCGAATCACCACCAATTCTACCACTAACATTGTCTCTACTTTCACCGTGACGAGTGAGCCAGATTTGACGCTCGCAAAGGTTGAAATTAAGCAAAAAATACACTGTTTGTGAGGAAAGGAAACCTTGGATATTGAAACTGACAACCTTCTTACCCACATCAATCATTTTAACGTACTGAAAGCCAGGAATTTTTTCTTCCTCTTCATCAATACTTTCGTATGCTTTTTCGTAATTATGTAGCCTTCCAACAAAATCCTTCAAGGCAACTTCGGGATCCATATTTTTATAATCAGGTCCACTCAATTTCAAACGAATGTTGCTTTCTATGATTGCTGGATCACTGCATATACTTTCCAAAAACAAAACCTTCAATTCTCCATTGCTCCTCTCTTGGATTCTTTTGAGTACTTTCTTTCTCCTCAGTTTGGTAGAGTTTGTGGCATCAAATATACCAACTGAGCCACTGCCATTGATAACATAGTCCAATAGCATGTCCAAAGTGTCAATGGCCCATTTTTCTCTCAATGCCGTGCTTGCTTTGTTTTCCGGATTGAAAAATGACGCATCATGCTCAGGAGCCTTTTGATTGGATGTGTTGTCTTCCCTTTTCAGTTCGGTCAAGCCTCCAGCAGCCTTTTGAACCGGGGATTGCACTTCAGAGCTTGGATGGGAATCAGGTAAAGGATTTTGCTCCGGTCCAGCATTCAATTTACTCTTACGTCTCGTATTACCCACATTGAAAACTCGACAATCATGTTGAAGCCAATTGAGATATCTCGTGAGCTTGTTGGTAATGTAGGACTTACCCCTTGCCGGCAATCCCACCATTACTATGACGAGTTTCGACCCAACATCAACCGATGCAATTTTACCATCAGGTGATATTTTTGATTTGGTTTGACCTGGAATGTTTAAAGTATAGGTTTTTCTTGATGTGAGCGGAGGTTTCGCAGTCAATAGCAAGTTTTTCAACTGCTCAATCGATGGCGTCTTCTCAAATTGTTCCTTCACATGTGGCGGAACGTCTTTCAACAAATGAGAAAAATCTTTTGTTAAATTGATTTCCGCTTTTTTATCTGCCTGCTTTTGTTTCTCTTGCTCCTTTTCAATCTCTAAAGCCCTCCTTTCTCTTTCGTCGAGATGCGCATCCTTTCGCTGCTCGTTGTGTTGTTCGTCGTGCTGACTATCGTGTCGCTCGTCTTGGTAATCGGTTTCGTGCTCATTGTGGTCTTCTTCACGTTGTTCGCCACGGTGCTTGTCGTTCTGGTCACCTCGCTGCTGCTGCTGCTGCTGCTGCTGTTNTGCTGTTGTTGATGTTGTAGTTGTTTCTGCTGCTTCTTTGTGTCAACCAGTGAATCGCTCTTTAGAGGCTTTAGTTTTGGTTCTTTATTTATCTCTGCCAGTTGTGATTCGGGAGTTTTCATATGGGGCTCCGTTAATCCACTTGACGGAACTCGTATATCAGACTTGACAGTTGTAGATTGCGTACCAACCATGGATGCTGCTCTATGGGCAGCCGAATTCCTTGCTTCCATCAATGACTCTGTCTCCGACAGAGACTCATTATGGGCCAAGTCTGCCAAGTTCAAGTGAGATATGTTTTTACCTTTGTGGATCTGATTTGTGCTTCCGGCCCCATGACTTTGATCGTCCTCAGTGCTGGACTCCTCTGCTGCAATCGGCGACCCCACGTTCGACACAAACGGCGTGTCAGTCAAGGGCCTGTTATTGAAATCCGGTAGAAAAGAATTAACCGAAGTATTGGAAATTGAAGGTTCTAGTAGTTGCGAATCTAACGACTTTGTCAATGCTAATTTCTCACCCCCATAACTGTATCTGTTTCTACTTCCCGTTCTTTTGTTCAATGACGTCGTCGAAACGCTTGGCGAGACACTTGATGGAGAAGGTGAAATGCTGTTTATGAATGAAGGATGATTTTGTGGTTGCAAGTGATCGGTACCTCTACCTGGATACACCTTGCCACCACCAGTTCCCTTGAAATTGGGTCGACGTAAAACAACATCGCCAGCATCGTATTTAGCTCGAAAAAAGACAGCGTTCTTCTCATCTTCATTGTCACTGTTCTCGTTTTCTGAATTGTCTATCGAACCATTCGATGACGAAGATGATTGATTAGTCACGGGCGACGACTCAGCCGATTGTAAATTGGAAAATGACACCTTCTTTGAGTTGGAATTCTGACGAGCCAATTCAGCGTTACTAATAGAATGTGATTTTCTGCGATTGGGGGGTGTTGATGGCGAATACGACTCCGTAGGGTGAGCCGACAAAGGGCGGTGGGCACTTTCCGCATCGGATCGTGTCTCTGATTTCACCGATGATGTGGGCTGTTTGAAATTGGATGCAATTAACTTGCGTATTGATTCATGATGATGATTGTTGGAGCCACTCATGGTTTGGAAGACGTGTAGCTCGCGTATCTAAAAGGCAATTAATTTACTCTTTAGTGTCCGATGGCTCAAGAATGGGAGGTGTCCGATAAAAAAAAAGAAAAAAAGTATAAAAACTCTTTTGCTAATTCTACTGGCAGATAACAGTTGCAAATTAGGATGTTGCCCGTGGGAAGGTCTCTATTTAAATGGTGGTGCTTGGTGGCTGTTTGTTGTTTGAATGAGGAAAATCCAAAATTTAGATTTGTCAGTGTGTCTGTCTGTCACCCTCTCCTCCCTTCTCTATGTTTTTTCTTTTTGCTTTGCTTTCTTTTCGATGCGTAATTTTATTTAATTTTGTTTCTTTAGAGAAAGAGAGAGGACTCACACAATTTTGCTAACAAAGTGTGTTTTAATATGACTAGAGATAGAGATAAGAGAATAAACAACTGGTTGAAGGAGACTAAACCTTGTTAGCTAGTTCTGTATATTGAGAAGCTTGATTCACAACAAGAATCAAATACTAGGAAGCAGTTGTCAATTGCACAACTTTGATAGGATAGTACGTGTGATGACACAGAGTTTTAGTCGGTGTATCGGAGTTTTTCATTTTTTTTTTAATTCTTGTTTCTTCGGCTTCTCTTTTATTTCTTTATTTTTATATATTTTTTTTTTTTTTTGCTTGGTCAGAGATAAAGAGAGGAGAGTGTCGCACGGATTTGAGTACGTCATCAACCCGGAGCACCAGGATGAAAAATTCACTTTGACGTGACGTCTAATGTTTGCAAACACAAACAAAAAAACCAGACCAACTTTTGTTTGCATCTTCTTGGCTTGTCATAAGGTCTATGCATATTCAAAAGACAAGATAATGGAACTACAAGAATGTGATCACTAATTGAGAGTAGAGGAGACGAGAGAGAGAGAGAGAAAGGGAGGGAGGTTTGATACTCAAACTAAGCTTCTCTTTATTCCAAATAAATCTAGTAATGAAATTGAGCAAACGATTAATCAAATCTTTATCAAGGGTAATCACCTGTTTTCAAAGATTCTCACGTACTACCCCCTTTCCTTTCGTATCTTTGATGCTGCAATTTCGAAACATTCTTCAACTCAGCCAATCTTTCCTTCAACGCGGGTATATCACGCAACACCTTCTCCAAAGCAACTCTTTCCTTCTCCAACTTCAACCTCTTTTCAGCATCCAATTTGCCGAAAAAGTAGCCACCTTTCCCATCAAATTTCAACAAGTACTTGTGGAAATGCCACAATGCTGGTCGATGAGCAACTGACAACAATGTGATTCCCAAGCTTTGTGCATGCTCATACATGAATTGCTCCATATCGGGGCTCACAGCCGATGTACATTCATCCAAAACGGCGAATTTAGGTTCGTGGTAATACAACCTTGCCATCGCCAAACGCTGTTGGGCACCGGTAGACAATTCTTCCTCCCAGTTTTTCACTTGGTTCAATTGGTCAACAAAGTCATCGAGTTTCAAAACCCGTAGTATCGATTGCAACTCCTCATCCGACTTCTTTTGTTGATTGAGCGAATGTGGGTAAATTATTTGCTCTTTCAATGAACCTTGAAGTAAGTATGCTCTTTGGGGTATGTAAAACATATTTTCAGCAGTAGGGATAGTGATGGTACCTTCTTTAACAGGCCACAACCCTCCGAGCATTCTAAACAAGGATGACTTGCCTGATCCATTGGGTCCTGCAATCAACAAATGGTCCCCCGATTTGATGGAAAAGCTTAAACTTTCAATGAGTGTCACATCAGCTGGGGTCAATAGCCGAACTTTATCAAATACAATCTCATCATTATTGAATTTGACATTTGACGTGATATCTTTTCTTCTCAGTGCCACTTCAGCCAAGGTGTCTTGAAAATCAGACACCCTTGTTGCGTGACCCACAATCTGAAGTAGATACCTTCTTGCATAGATCAATCTATCCAACGAGTCAGAAGCACTGAGCAATAATCTCCTATTGGTGATAAATTTGCCAGCTGCATTGTCATCATCTGGTTCGCCAAGGTACTTGGCAATGAAAATTGGTGCTGAACACAACACCAACCCCGCAGCTCCCCAGAAATATTTGACAATGAATGTTTGAGCAATTTCATGTATACCTTTCTTCCAATATTCTTGTTTGGAAAACCTTTCCAATGTGTAGTAACAGTAATCAATATAGTCCAACTCACGGTAATGACCACGTAAAAACGCAATTTCCTCATTGTTGGAAACAATCTTTGAATGGGCCGATCTCAATTTTCCTTCTAAATTTGCCCGCTCACTGGCCAACTTGGCAAAAGGTGGTGAAAAGAATCGAATAATCATGGTTGAGAAATGTGCCAATATTCCCAAAGCAAGGGTACCTTCACCATTACCAACACCGCTTTTACTCAATTGACGAGCACACAAAACCAAGTCCAAAGTTGGCTTCAATAGTTGTCCAGGTAAACTACTCAAAGCCGAAGCCAACCTCGATACATCAGTTGTAATTCTTTGATTTGGATCAGTTATCTTATTTCCACTCAAGTGGATCAATGAGTAGTAGTTCGTGTCTAAGTTGTCCGGCAAGTAATCTTTCAAGATGGAACTGTTCAAGTTTTCTCTAATGGCTTTTCGCATATTCAGTCTTGTCCAGGATAACAAGGCATTATTCAACGACGCTGGGATCCCAATCAACATCCACGCCAAAAGGTACTTACTAAATACCCTTAACCTTTTGGAAACCAATGCACCCACCAATTGACCATCCAAGGTTGCCACTTTGATTGTCAAAAAGGCACGTGTCACTAACAACACCAAATGCACAAGAAGGTAAAGCACAGTTTTGTCATGGAAGGATGGCACTATAGCATGAAACAAACGATCAAAAGCTTGACGTGATAGTTTTGGATGTGACGATTTTTTGCTCAGTGGTGACTGTTCATCCACCTGGTTTTGCGATTTATCCTTTGACTTCTCTGACGACGATGAGCCTGTACTAGCAGCACCAGAAAACGCAGTGGTTATTAGAATAATGTAGGATGTGTTTAAAAGAAGCGACCTGTTGGACCTGTACACCTTCAAAAGTGAGAGGGCCAAATTGCTATCCCTAAGCTTTGAGTTTGTTACTGACATATTATATCCCCCACCCGCACTTGAAACTGTTTGTAAATGCTATAATGACACGGCTGTTGAGTAGTTAAAGTAACTGACGTTTGTGCTTGACAAAGACTGTGATCGAAAGGTGAAAATTGGACAAGGGTATATGAGAATTATATTGGACCAGCTTTTAATTGATGTTACAGAAAATTGAGTCAATAGCTTTTTTTTTTTTCCAAACGGTTTGGTTTTTTTTTTTAATTTTCTGAGAGAAATATGTTTTTAACTTTCAAAGGTGGGGGGATCACGTTTTCTCCTTCTTCCTCTCTCTGTCTTGCGCGCCTATATTATTATCAATAAAGTTTCACGTAATTATTATATTGGTTCTGCTCCCACAATCTTTTGTGAATCAAGAAGAAAAGAAGAATGAAAAATCAAGATAAAATTTGATTTCTTCTTTTCTTCACACGATTGCATTGAATTGGTGGGCTGGCCTTATTCACCGATCGTTAAATTTGCCGATGCGCCTGAGTTGAATGAATAGCCCAGGACGAATACGACACTCTTTTTGAGTTGACCATGGCCACTGTGTTCAGCTCTTCTCATTCTGAGAGATTTGGAACATTAACATACAGACGTTTGCATAAGAAGCTTTCCAAACGTCCATCTCCCAGGGGTGGTCATTGTTCGGGGACATAAGGATCTTAATTGGATCCTTGTGCTGTATACTTTGATAGCAAACCTTGGAAGGGATTTGAGGGGAGACTTTGAATCAAAGACCGATTTTTGGAGTCATCAGGTCTTTGGAAGAAGACACGAAGTGTGGCACCTAAAAAAGTTTTACGATTTAGTGTTTTCAAGTCGTGGACCATTCGTTTCTTGTCTCTTGGTGCCGCCGACCACACGGAAAGTGTAATGTCACGAGATCCGCCAATGGTCAATGCGGTATCAGAATGTTTCAATGTCATTTTCAGATTCATGATTGTCTCCAACGTGCACATGAACGTGTCCGTGTATTTTCCAATAACTCCAAATCTTAGATGAAAGACTGACTGGGGACGAATGATGCGTGAATACCATCACGCCTCTATTCTCTGTGCGGTGAGCCGCTTAACTTGAATCAATAGTTTTCAATAGTAATATAAAGGGAAAAGGATTAAAGAGAACTTCCCACTCCCACCTCTTCGTAATTGCATCGCCTTGCACAAGATGTACCTCAGCATCGTCGCACACAGATAACTGTTGTCTGAGAAGTGATATCACGGAAACTGCTTGAGCAAGTGACTTACAAAGGTTGAAGAGGTAGAAAGTGGGCCAACTCAAAAGAGATTGGTAAATGATACGCCCTAGGATTTGAGGAATAACAAAATGAGAGTCTTTTGACCAGACTTGGTGGGTCGAGATACGGTTAGAGAACACAAGACTGGTGTCTATACATTTGCCCTCCCCTCCCCCCAAATATTTGAACTGGACTACAAAACTAAATAGCGTCCGAGTTGGGCTGACAGTGACCTTCACGAACTATATTCTCTTCTGTAATGCTCAAATTGTTTGTGTGAAGAAGCCAGAAGCCAGAAGCCAGAAGCCATAATCGGAGATAGACGTGACTAACTCCACCCCTTCCCCCTTCTATGGGTTATCCCGTTTGTGTTGATTCAACAACAACACAACAACACTCTATTGCACAAAATTGAAATACATTACATACATATATAATTTATTGTGTTTTTTTTTTTTTTTTTTTTTTTTTTTTTTTTTTTTTTTTTTTTTTTTTTNTTTTATTTTTTTTGTTTTTTTTTTTTTTTTTTTTTTTTTTTCTTTTCTTAAGTTGCTATTTTTGTATGTAAGGAAAAAAGATGGTAAATCAGCTGCGCAAATCAATGTTTCCACCACCCGAGTAAAATGTAAACAATAAGGTACATCAACAGAGAATGTGGATTCCTGTATCTTCTTTCTCAAGATACAATAGGAAAATGTGGCTCTGAAAATTGATGGAGTTACTGTCTCTAGCGGATACGGCGTCGGAGATTGAAGTGAAGATACAAACACGCTTTTGTTGCACAGAAAGCTATCCTTTATTGTTCAGATTTTATTTTTTTTCTTTTAGTGTGTGAAGCTCGGAAAAACTTTGCACGTGGTGATTTTGTTTCCTTTTTTTTTTTTCTTTCCTTTGCTTTTTCAAACGTATTCGGTTATATAGTTGTGTTCTACATCGAACATGATGCGGTCGATAGCCCCAACTCTCTCTTTTAATTCTGGCTTCAAATCGCTTATTAGTTGTAACTGAAACGTTTCGAGAGAAGGCTAGATTATGAGAGGGGGGGGGGGAGGAGTGTATTTTACCACCCTGTTTCTCCACCATGCTTATCAGTGTATCATTTTCTCCACCACATTCAAATAAAGAGATAGTGGTTTAAAATGCCACACGGCATTTTAAAATGCCCCCTACTCATGGTGATGTAGTCCATTCATCCATATCGTTTCTTTTTTGTTTCCCTTTGCCGTACCATGCTTTTCTCCTAGAAAGTTGTGGCTTACGCTCTTTACATTCTCTTCTCGTTTCTTTTATCACTCGGTTGCCATTCTTCAGCAAAACCGAATACGACAAAGCAACAAACAAGGAGGTGCTAATTGTATATTCATTGTAACAGTCGTTGTTGTTGTTACTATTAATTTATTGTTTAATAGGTATTTACTTTGAGAAATTTCAGAGATAAAGTATGCGACTGTATATGTACTTGCTTTGTTACAGAAGGGGCTGAAATTGAGGGATATATAATCAGATCTCCCTCGAGTAATATATATATATATAAATGTATATTTATTTATTTGTACATAAATCACCCATACTTTTACTATTCTTCCTGAAACATCTTCTGTTGTCCACTGCATTTACTGCTTAGGGGTGGGCAGAGAACCTTTACCTTCATTACAACACTTCATCTATCCAATCACATCTCGACTACAATTTGGTTCGAAATCATCTTCAAGGCACCAAATCTTTGAAAAAGAGTCACAAAAAGGGATAACTTTTACATCGTGGGTCGAGATAGCCCGAGAAGATACAAACCATAATTCCTTCCCCTGAGGCAGAAGGATTAAGAATCGAGAAAGTACTTACATAGCAAATTGATACAAGAACAAAGAAGTTGAAGGGTATCCTCATCATTCTCATCAACAACAACCTCAACATCATCAACATTACCACCTTCCTGCAGCAATTAATCTTATATCCAAAGGGGTAATCTAATTGAAGAAAGAGAAGAAAATAATTCTTGTTATTGTGTAATACAAACAACACACACTAAAAACTAACAACCAACCACTACTTACTATATCGGGCCCCCCCTGCAAGGTGAAGCAAGGGATAAAAACCAAACTAGAGCTCCACTTGAACACATAACTTGCCTGATCTTGCATATTAAGGAACGAGATAGAAACCCATTTCACCAAAGATAATACATCGTTAGTATATACATGGTACGTGTACCTTGAGTCAAATTGAACAAGAACAAAACAAGAAGAAAGGAAAAAAAAATAGATATCGAGGGTTTTGTGTTTGTTTATTCTATTTTTATAAGTACACAACACACAACACACAACACACAACACACAACAACAACAACAACAATAATAATACATTATACATATTAACCCATTGAAGAAATATAAACAAAAATACAACCCTGAAATTGATACACAAAAACTAACTTCACACACACACACACACACATAATAAAATTTTCTTGACCCTTTGAAAAATATCATCAATGAATATGAAGTTGGGTATTATAAATTACTACAACAAACACAGCAACAACACACCCACACTTACACTTCCACCCACACCTACTCACACTCAACAACCACAACGACGACAACAGTCTAACCACGACATCTTCTACTTACCAAAGAGAGATTCAACTACTTCCAACAATACAAACACAGCTCAGCCTTCACTGCAACTGATAGATACAGGTACCACTACCACCTTTCCTTCATCTTCATCTAAAAGCTTTTCTTCCCTGTCTCAACCTCAATCCGCCAGTGAGACACCTTCATCATCACCATTCTCCACATCATCAACAACGTCATCCACCGTGTCGTCGTCAATCCCAACAACATCGTCAAATCCGACCACTTCGCCTACACAAGGGCCTACTCTGGAAACAACTCCAAGTACTAGCTCAAGTTCAATCGTTACCTCACCTACGTCGTCATCTTCGTCTAGCTCGATTCCAACTACAACCAGTGATACCACTTCATCGAGCATGTCTAGCTCAATTCCGACAGATACGACGAGTCTGAGTACTTCTACACCAAGCTCAAGCTCTACTGAGCCAACCCCAACTACCAGCTCGCAGACTTCGTCTAGCTCTACTTCCTTGGTGGAGCCTTCAAGTACAGATATTAGTTCTAGCACCCAGTCATCGTCGTCGTCGTCCAGTGACACAAGCATTAGTTCAAGTTCATTAGACACATCATCTTCCTCCAGTACTACTGATTCATCATCGTCAACAACATCATCATTCTCATCCTCGTCCTCGTCGTCATCGATCTCATCAAGTTCTGAAAGCAGCACAACTTCTAGCAGCTTTATTTCTAGTTCAACAAGTGAAACTTCGTTATCGACAACCGATCCATCCTCATCCTCGTCACCGTCATCCTCCAGCACGTCTTCATTTTCAAGTGAAACTTCAAGTAGCAGCTCGGAATCGTCTACTTCCTCCTCATCAACCGACTTTAGCTCATCTAGCTCACAATCATCGTCGTTCCCCTCATCAACCTCAGAGCCGCCATCTTCTTCTTCTTCCTCAAGCTCATCTCAAACCACTTCTTCATCATCGTCTTCGCTGACCACAATAGCAACAACATCATCTACATCGCCTTCTTCGTCTTCTTCGTCTTCTTCGTCATCATCATCATCATCATCATCTTCTTCTTCATCCAGAAGTCGGTCCTCCTCAACACCTTCATCTACGCTGGAGCCTTTATCAACTCAAGATTCCTCAACCTCGTCAACCTCATCAACTGAGAACTCTTCCTCAACAACAAGTTTGGACAAACATAGCTCCATCTCATCATTCACATCTGAGTCAACCTCAGTCTACACATACCCCGATACTACAATCACTTCAGTTGTAGCTATACCCACCTCGGCAGTTGTGTCAACTGACCTGGGATCCACCGCTGCACGTAATTCCAAACTCATTGGAGGCTTAGTTGGTTCAATTGGTGGTGTTATAGTTGTTGGGTTTCTCGTTGTGTTGTTTTTGTTTTTCAAAAAGCGCAAGAGACAAATTACCAATCAATCGCCGGATTTCAATGATGGTGGCGCAACTAATAGATTGGGTGCTGGCGAAGACGAGGAAGACACGTCATTTGACGACAAGAACGACCATATTTTCCACGATTCACCCAATAATGGTATGAAACAGTCGAAGCTTGGTTGGTTAACGTCGATTTTCTCCAAAAAGGGCACTGGCGCAGGAGGGCATGGTGTACAGTCCAATGGAGGTGGCGCAATTACCGGTAGTGGTGCCGTTGCCGGAGTGGCTGGTGCCGGTGCTATCGCCGGAGCTGGTGCTGGTGCCGGTGCTGGAAGGTCAAACACATTCAGAAGATTACGAAACAATGATGACTTGGAGAATCAGACTTATGGGGCTACACCACAGGGTAATATGGGCGATGGTCTCGATGCGGACGATGATGGATTTGCATATCGTGGAGTAACCAACTCCAACAACTTGGATTCAGTTTTCCGGTCTAATGGAAACACATCGTCAAATGCCAGAAACTCAACTTATTTTGGTGGTAAAAATTCATCTACTAGAGGTTCTTCCATTTCAGGTACGGGAGATACGTTTGTCAATTTCACTGATAGTCCATTGATGTCATCACAACAACAGTTTTCCACTGATCAGCAACACACAAGAATGAACTCGTATGGCCATCCATTGGCACACCCTGATGATTTCAATTTCCAAGAGGATCCTAGTGCCGGAAATTTGAGGTCAGTTGCAAGTGGCACTGCTAGGCCAGTCACACCTACCGCTGCCGCTGCCGCTGCCGCTGCTGCTACTGCCGCTACTGCAGGCGCCGTTGCTTCACACCATGATCACCCATACACCACTAACACAAGCTCTGACTATGAACCTGACCATGCTGCCGCTGTCCAAGCACAACAACACAACCAGCGTTTCTACGATCATGAATCTGCCCTGATGATGTCGTCATCAGCCTCATCTGATGGTGAGTTTCATCCTAGCGACTACGACGACGAACTGTTTGTCTTGCCAGGTGATGATGTGGCTGACCCTCGAGGACAACAGCGCGTCGGAGGATATGTTGTTCCATATGAACAAAGTCAAGCTAATCGTCAGCCGCAGCAACTGCCATTTGAAGAGTATGCTCAACAACAGACACAGCAGTCGCAGTCGCAGTCGCAGTTGCAGTCGCAACCGCGTGCAGGACGTGGTGGTCTGAACCATCCATACGCACGTCAAGGTGGTGTTGCACAACCACCTCCACCACCACAGCAGTACATGGGAGACCAATTTAGATATGGTCCTTATGGCTCAAATAACTCTTTGTCTAGGTTCCAGGAAGATATCTCGTAATGGTGACGAGGAGATGAGTGGAAGGAACTCTTGTTGGTTCTTATTTGCATTTTTATAAAACTGTCATTCTTTAGTTCGTTTATATTTAATTTCAAAGTTAATTTTGGGTCTCAAAGATCTTAGAGCTTGTAATTCGTATATGGCTTTGTAGTGGAGCAACATAGCACTCCTTAGTTTTGGGGATTGTTAAATATTACCACAACTAGCAAGTCATAGAGACAAGAAAGACCAAGACTCAAAATCAAAATGCTGTTCCGATACTCGCTTATTTTGCAAATCCGTTTCGCGCAAATTCTATAGTGTCTAAAATTTTAACACACGGTGAATTTCTCGCAAAGATTTAAAAAAGCATATTTTGACGTTATTGAGGGAGGGTTTCGGTATTTTTCTACTGTTGCAAAATCTCCTGCGAGTGAAGACTGACAAGGCTCAAATCACAAAGATGCACTTTGCTCAAGATAGGGTTCTAGGGGGGGGGGAAGAGGGGAGCAATTGTTTACAAATTGCTCTTTTGTTTAGAACTGGTGTCGTAAGAAATGTACCTAATAGACGCAAGTTTGCAATAGTTTCTGACATTGACAAAGGGTTGGTAGTAGACTTAATTAGTGTTAATCTCAAAGATTGTATATGGGGCAAGCTCAAGCAGTTTGTCTTTCTAGTGGAACCCTTATTGAGATCAGAGCTAATGTATCAACCAATGGAACAAGCCTCAACCTCTGTGTATATCTACAACAGCCCAGTGGAAACTCCGCACAACCCGCCAGACAAAAAAAAAAGAAAAATTTGGTAACTGCCAAACTGTAATCAATCCGACCTGATTCTAAGTTTGAATACTTTTAATGCGTCATCGGCTAACTTAAAACGAGGTTATATCTATCTCTCTTAAAATCACCTCCTTTCGAAAAAATTTTAACTTTTCTATTTCTTACACCAATTCATAAAAAAAATACAGAAGATGTGTGGAATAGAGTATCGGGAAAGGTGTCCTCACCTCGTATTCCCTTTTTTCTCGACTGGTGAAAAACCTTATTAAGCTTTAGGCTCTATTTACCGGCTTTGATGTTGGATCTTGGAGTACAAACTGTATCTAAGTTTTCGAAAAGTTTTAGCCATTTGACGTGCTAAACTTTTGCGTTAAAGAGGAACTGTCAGTTTTGTTGCTTGACAGTGTTGCTTTTCATAAAGAAAGGCATAATGCAGCGACCACCTAGATCGCTACTTTGAGCACAAGGACATCGTCCGCAGTTTAGCAAATAATGGTTTGAAACTTTTGCCGGAAATGTGCTTGGAACACAAATGTGGCAATGTACTGGAGAGACAAAAACGGAAACGTAAGTTGAATTTTGTTGAGAATGGTTCGATTTTTCTGGCTCTGCACATTGTAGCCATCGATATTAATTGGTATCTCCGTTTATATTGGTACGCGAAGAGGTGGTGCATACTACAGAAGCGAATGTAAAGTATATCACAACGGAAAGTATTCAGTATAACTACACTTATATGAAGTGTCGAGTGAAAAGGACTCTCCTCTATTTAGTTTGCATATGCACTTCGCCGCTCTATCAAGTCCACCCTCAAAACTAAAGTGCTTCACGTAGAACAATCCATCCGGTTCCATATGAGATTTAGCTAATTTCACTGACACGGAACAAACGCTCAGTTCAAGTAGGGGCAGGGCCACATTTCGGGATTGTTGGAGTGTGTTTCACATTGCCTTGGTCTCGCATTTGTGTTCTTCCTGCAAGGTTTATATAAATTTCAGTGCAACGTGTGGCGTTTGTAATCAAAAGCATCATCGCTTATAATGTGCACAATTAAATGTTTAGTTGTGGTAATAACAATCACGAGGAGGAGAAGCTCTAAATGATGCAAAACTTGAAGGGAAGTGTTGCTGGTCACGATAATTTTAGACTACGACGTCACAGACAAAACACGCACGCTAGTGTTTTGCTGGTGGTCTAAGCCCCTTTTAGAGTGATGTGCGTTATTTAACACGGTATGCATAAGAAATTGGACCATTTCAATGAAGTGGCGAAAATTCATGTTCTGGATTGTTGCTTGTCACTGCATTTTGAACCAGTTTCGGGTCGAACTGTGTAAGCAATTCCTCCTCAGTGAATGAGCTCGCTTACAAACTGGGACCCTATTGTTACTCAGTTCAGATAGTTGCCAGCAGAAAATGTTGACGCGGAGCTTAAGGATTGCAGGTAACTAGGCTATTTATGAATCTGACATCTCATCATAGTAAATCAACCTACAGTTTGCACGCAAATTCTCTCAAACTTAGAAACTACGATGTGAATCTAGAAAAAAGCAAACATGCATCACTTCTGAAACAGCTTAAGCAACAATGTGATTCCGAAACCCGATGTCTGTCTGTCGGTCCGAAAGGGCTCATTTTGAGGTTGCGCACGGCTTCTAAACTCAATACTTACGTGTATGCAATCACAACGCCTGAGGCGGGATTTTGGCATCACAAAAAAAAAGTAGTGAAAAGTACGCACTGTATTTTTTTTTTGTTTTTCTAGCTCCCACACCCTATAAGTGACGCAAAGTGCAACTTGGTGACGGCTTTACGCATTTCCTATTCAAGAACTAGCACATTATACGAGGTTTCACTTATGAACGAAGATAAGTACCATGCATAATTCCGACGATGAAACTATTGTACTTTGCGATGGTTGGAGGTGGCTAAGCAGACGGATATGTGACACGCAGAGTAATCACACTACGTAATCGCAGTATTGGCCAGTGTGTCAGTTTAATCGTAAACCCCCTTTTGTCTCCGCGTTGACTCAGAACAGTTTTAATTTTTCAGTTTACAAACTCAAGCATTTTAGTGTGCTTCTAGATATTCACATGTGCTGGAAAGCTTAAATTAGAGCGGGGGGGGGAAGGACCTGGAGCAAAATGCATATTTACCTAGCCTTTGAAATTGTTACCTACCCCTCTTCAAACCTGGCGCTTACTGCATCTCCTGTGACGGAGAATATATCCCCTTGTGCATTGTACAAGAACATACTCTTGAAAAACGTAACTCAAATAGGCCACTACCGAATGTAAGTTGTGGTAACAAATGCCACAAAACAAAATGAATTGACTAAAAAATTTTTTTTTTTTTTCCACTTCAACGAGTTACAGCGAAGAAATAAAACAAACGAAGAAATAATTTAGTTCAGTTTTACCACACGGTGATGTAATTGTGTTGACATTGAAAAACATTGCGCAAAGGGTTCAAGACATAGCTGCAATAGACTATTACTTATCGGGTTTCACGTATCTTCTGTTGCGGTTACCATGTGTACAGTATGTTTGTGGGTGTCAACGCTGTCTATCGATCCGGAAATGTACCATTAACATGAGATATTGTGCACGTATTTAAGACTATGACCATGGCCACAACCCATCTGAGCCGTTTATTGAAATCTGATAATCTAAATACAAACGATTCACAAAACAGATGTGATGTGAAAAAGAAAAAGAGGACGACATGCATAAGGAATGGTATAATTATTTGAAATTGTGAAATCAATGGTTTGTGTAAGACAAAGGGGTGTAACAGAATGCAGTCGAGGTGGAGAGATGGATTTGATTTGATTTCAGTGGCGATGCTTTTTCACATGACGTATATATATATATAAATATATATATATGCATTTAGAGTCACCCCCCCATTGCATGTGTTACCAAGCAGAAAGCCAACCGTGTTGGAGACAAAGAAGCGGAAACAGCAGGACACTCATAGTGAATTCATTTGCACCTCATCCATAACCAAGCCAGCTTGTTTACATGTTCTGGAAAACTGCTAATCAACTAATCTACTTCCATTGCAGCATTCAACTATAAACTCAAACTCCTCATACACAGTTAAACTTTAAACTTTTTTTGATTTCAATCATACACGCTGTTACACCCCAAGCCAAGAACGCAACAACACCCTAAAACTAACTCAGCGTAAGGGTAATTCAAGTCAAGCTTGTTTTGGTTCCTTTTGTAACCAAAGCCAAAAATTGAAATTTTGTTGTTGAGAAATCACGAAAAGGGAAACAAAGGACAAAAGAACAATATTATTTTTGAATTTTTAGAGTTTGCATTACAAAACCTTATTTTCAAGCACACCATAAATAATAATAATAGTAATAACAATAACAACAACAACAACAACAACAACAATAATAATAATAATACTACGATTATTATTGAGGCAAATTTGTTGTTACATTGAGTTATTATTTGTCGTGGCTTCTTGTGGCAAGGGGACATTACATCGTGAATTTATTATATTGTTTCACACGAGAAATCAACACTCGGCATACAACAAGAGTCCTTGATTAAAATTCAACTGAGCAAGATCAGGGCTCAACAGTTGCATTGAAATATTTGGGAATTAGGATTCGTTTTTTTGGCGGGCATCACTAATTAGAATTTTTCAAGAAGGCAACTCCACACGAACCAAAGCTTAAGCAGATTTGATCACCTTCTTTATTAAACTTTTGCCTTTTTTTTCGAAACACAAAAGCCTCACAGTTTACATACACTCCTACCAGAGAGGAACGAAATAGTGTTCATACTCTTTATACATTGGTCCATTTGAAAGTTACTTTTTTCAAATCACAAAACTACATAAAACATAAGAGGAAGGACCATCATAAAATTTCACAACGTCAAAAGTGAAAAGAAAACATTGGAAGCTTCTCCCAATAGACATTATTTATTGAATAAGCTTTTGCTTCTACCCCCCACCACCTCACCACCATTGTGATTTTCCATTTCCATTGGGAGTCAAAAAGAAGCACTGCGGGAGACCGGTGGAATAACAGTTTGGAAAGCCAAGAGAGGACGCAACGGGAAGATACAGTTTGTGATCTTTGTCAAAACTTTCAATTCACATCAAACGAAGCCTAAAGAGGGAACAGACAATTGACTTTCAATTAGTGGAGTGAAGCAAAATCTTTTAAACTCAATAGGAGTTAAGATATCTCGAGCCAAACAACTATATTGGATATAATCGATTCAGGTACAAGCGACTACAAAGACTAAACCTAGCAGGTGATTTAGAGTAATTCATCAGATCATTGCAAGCTCGACTACGCTCATACCACCCACCACTTTCAAGTATCGCATCCAAGGAAGCTCGGCCCTACATCACTTGGAATTGTAATCACCGATTCTATCAGTTCGGCAACCGCGATTGTTTCAACAAGGACACATCCACTTTGCATCTTGAGTGATACTCACTTGGTCGACTATCATATTTGTGTGTCAACTCCTATTACATACGCACGGCGAAGTTTGCAAATTATCCCTCAAATCTCACTTTGAACCTGAAGCAGTAACGCAAGTGGCTCTAAAATACGAAATATTTCAACGACTTCAATCATTATCCATCCAATTGCTCAGAACCTGGAGGATTATTCATCAACTGATCAGACTTTGTTGCTACTCGGAGCCTATTCAATCTCATCCACCACAACTCACCATCTGAGAGAAGCCTTTCTGCTAACTCATTGTACTCATTGTACTCCTTGTGTACGTGCAGCTCATTTTGGGGACGAGCATACATTATCATTTTCCAAGTACTATTGTGATTGCCCAATATTTCAAAATTCAAAGTTTCATTTCATATTTGTACGATTTTTCGTCCACACAAGTTGTTCTTGATAGGATTCCACCGGGGAATTGGTCTTATTTTTAAGTTTCAAGTGTTTATTTTCTTGACATACAAAGAAGTGATTAAACTTTTCCCAACCCAAACAAAAACAAAAAAAAAAAAAATAAGAAGCTAAACCGTTTAGCAAACTGTAGTGTGGAAAGTTAAAACAGGTTCACTATACCTAGCGCTATCTAAGCTTTTCATACTACGTAAAGTTTGACAAATAATAAAGAAGTCACCCAAAACTTTTTGCATCATCGATTACTGGTATTGCTTGCCTCCCTCCCAGATCGTCACAAAAGTACACTTCTGTTCCATTTGGAAATTCCAACCCCACCCCCTCCCAGAATCATTTCCGAACTGACAAATAAGTATAAATACACCTGCTGGAAGTCAGCTGAATTTAAGAGCCGTGCCTATTTTTTTTTTTTTTTTTTTTGGTTTCTTCTTCTTTTCTGATTCAAAAGATTAAACCAACCACTTAGTCAATCGTGCATGAAAATATACGACAATCTACTTACCAATTGTATGTTCGTTCACTTCAACACCATTTCATTAGAGAAGCGTAATCGAATTTAACTCAAAACACATTCAAAGGCTCATAATCAAGTTTTACCAAATCTCATTGGCAGTTAAAGTTACAACCACAAACTTTAGCCTGAATTAATTTTAGTTCTATTATATTTTTTTTTTTTTTTTGTTTTTCTTTTTTTCGTTGGATCCTGGTTGCAACAATATTCATCGACTTTGTGATTGAGTTTTATTACTGACGCCTGTCTATATTAATATCAACGAATTAACCACCGTCGCTGTCCATCAATTATTACTTCCAACAGGTATTCAGAATGGTATCTACAGATTTGTCTCCCACTTATCATGGCTATATTGGGTCCACTAAGGATGCACTTTTAGTCATCCACCAAGCACTAAACAAGCAATTAGAATTTGTTCCGCGCCGACCCCATGAAGGAGAAAGACCTCACTTGATTAAGTCAGGTAACGTGTTTGTGTTTATTGAAGAACAGTCGGGGATCAAACGTTGGACTGACGGTACATCGTGGTCACCTTCTCGTATATTGGGAAGATTTTTGGTTTATCGAGAATTGGACAAGTCTGGTCTCAACGAAATGGACGACAAAAAGAGAAAAAAACGCAAGTCTGGTCTGAAAAACCAACAAACACGACTGCGTGGCACAGACCATGCTGAGCCAGGAACAAGAAACATCAGAGATGGTGAGGAGATGACCATTTTGAATCCACAGACTCAACACCCCTTTCAACCAGTACATCAAGCCATTCCTAGCAGCCAGAACACACAAGATCAATCAAGATTGATACCGCCAAACACAATACCTGCGTCCAATACATATAGCAGCGCTGACTACAGCAAAGGTTTACTAAGTGGGCCCTTGGTGACTTCGTACGTATTCAAGGATCAAGGATTGATTAAAAAAACATTGTCATTGACTACAACTACAAGTGATCTCCATTTGCAAAAGTTGAATGAGAAACAAACAATACATTTGATCAGTTACTATAATGCGCAAGAAGTGATGAATGGGAAACTACAGCGTCCGTCAGATTCTGCTTTCAAAGATGTTGTTATTCCGGCAGCATTGTGGACTGCAGTCAAGGACAGCTCTTTAGGAGGAAAAATTCCCATCGAAGACGAGGCATTCTACTTCCTTGATGGAAACTATCAATTACAGAGCATGTTGCAACTGCAAGTGCAACAACAACAACCGCAGCAACGACAACCCACAGCAACCTTAGCAGCCAATTTTGGTGGAACTGTTTTGAATAATAACAAACTAAGTTATGTCAAGTATGGCCAGTTGCCTCAGCACCGGCAACAATTTCAAGCCCGCATGGGGCAGCAATCAAATGTGACAATTGGACCACCTAACCACCACCAAACTGACGTTGCTCCAATCAAGCGAGAAGAGGATGAAAGCACACCAGTGGTGGGAAATGATTTGAATTTCATCAATCCGTTTGCCGGAAACCAACAACAATTGCCCGTCTACGGAGGCTCATTGGGTCTTGTTTCCAACAACGGAGGTGCCTATAACTACCTGATTCAAGGACAGGGACAAGGATTCGCGCTATCCCAGTACAATCAGTATTTACAACCAAACGCTTCTCTGGTAAGCACACAGGACGGATACCCCCAACATTTTCAGTCAGGGCAACATCAATTGCAACAACAATCACAGCCTCAACAACAGCAGCTGTATGGACAGCAACAACAATCTGGTAGTCCCATTGCATCCAACCCTGCGTTTCAGGCACCACTTCCTCCTGGCACAATACCCAAGCCGTCAAGTGGGGTAGGAATGAGTAGTTCACCAAGCGTGTCAGCGAACAATCCTGGTGGTGACACAGCTGCTCAATATCGATTGAGCTCGGGATCATCGGTAGACCAGCTTTCCGTTGGCAACAATAATTCAGTATCCTCGGTCAATAGCAGTGGAGTATATCGAGACAGTTTATCCAACACCACCAGCACGAGCAGTGTTTTGACAGCAAATTCCAGCTTTTCGGTCCCTATTGGTTCGAGAAAGTTCAGCCAGCAGTCATCTGCAGGCCAAGTTCAGACTGTGATGCTGAGTAACTACCCACCAGTGAACCAATCATTTGGCACTACAAATAGTAGTTCCAATACAGTCACGCCTTCAGCTTCCTTGGCGGGTCCATCTACTGACAGTGCTCAAACTTTGCAAGCAACTTCTTCTAACGAGATCGAGCCAACCCAAGCACGTCCAGGACAATTCGTTGGTCAATATCTGCAACCGCTACAACACCATCAACAGCATCAACAGCATCAACAGCAACAACAACAGCAACGACCACAACAACCACGATGCCAGCAGAACCAACACTTGCATCTGCATCAACCCCAACTGATTCACCACCCGCCAATGTATCCTTATCCGCTGCCACATCAACAACAATTTCAGAAATGGAGCAATTCTCCTCAACAGAACCCGCCACCACAATTACAAGTGGGCGGACATGGTAATGGTGTTGCTAATTCGGGATTTGATGACGGAAATGTTGCTGCACCCGAGGGCGTACCCGGTCAGCATAGCTCGTACTACCCTACATCAATGCAAGGTCCAAGATTTTAGTGATGGGTTTTTCTGATCCGATCCTTGTACTCTTTTATTCAAAATGCTATATAGATAGAGCACAGTAATATTAGTATACTTTTGCGTTGCCCTCCCCCTCCCCTTGTTACCTTTGCATATCGCCAGGAAATTGACAACCTGTGATTAAGGAGTACATCGGCGAAAGTAACAGGGGGTAGAGAGAAATAGGGTCCCGACAGAGATTGTGTAAGTTACACTGGGGATAGAATTTGTACTTATTCTTACATGGAATGTTTCATTTGTTTTATTACGTTTGAAGAAATACACATTATGCTAGGTGCAACACGGCTTTCTCAATTCGCGTAGTCTAACAGATTTTCTGGTTATGAGACCTGTTAGCAAAACATGACTAAGTTGAAATTTGCAACAAGGTTTTTTAGTAAACGATATTTCAATGAAACAACACGTGTTCGTACTCTTCAAGTTCAATCTTCAAAAGAGCTTATTCCATAGCTGACACCTTCAGGTAGTTCCCTTAGCTTAACTTACCCCAATTAAATACCCTATAATACAATGTTGTTGACACATGCTTATTAATTTTGTGTTCCTACTCTCCGATTCTTTGCTCTACATGTGTGCCATATTTGACAACCAGAATCGATGTAAAGCTAAAAGCAAGGAGGCTCGTACAGTCTGCTTAAGCTGAGAATAAAGCCACAAAGTAGACCCGTTGTGTCCATTGATGTGTCTCCCACCATCTTTCAATTCGAGTGAGAAATAGAGGGTAGATGTGGTGGTGTAGTCGCCTTTAGCGTTGCAGCTCCAGGAAAGTGCGCACCAAAATGGATCTCTCATGTTAACAAATCTTTTTTCTGCTACCTTTTTTGACCCACACCACTGAGGTCAAGGCACTCCAGCATTAATAAACAATTCGAGACTTTCTATTCGCCACCTCCAAATGTCGAAAGAACACAATACATTACTCTCTGTGGTAGATGGGTTGACCTCAATAAAGTCAATTGTTCCCCAGCTACAGGCCACCTTCAACATTTTAATGACAAAGACACCCACCTACGAGCAGTACCAATATCTTTTAAACCTAGTCTCATCGGAAGTTCCAGGCGAGGCATCCAGCACCGTTGACAAAGTTAGAGCCCAAGTAAACACGCCTCAAGCTAGAGTTGCAGTCCATTTAAAGGAACTTTACGAGATGAAGAAGCTCCCTTTACTTACTGCGTTATCGAAAATCCTGTTCAAACTGGCACTTCCTGACCAAGAACGAAAATTGAGTGCATTTTTGGACATTGTACCGACAGAGGAAGAGAGCGCAGACAATAATGAGGCAAAGAACCTAGATGCACCAAAATTGTCAGTTGACCACCTTTCGTACCCACCATCTTTGCCTGTGATTTCTGATAAATTGTTACTAATAAGGGTAGCCACTGACAAGTCCTATCGCCAGGCGAGTGACTTTATTGAGCTGAAACCTGAAAAATTTGCCAATTCACACAATGCCAAGTTAGCACTACGAGGTCGTTCAACAATGGAGTTGATCTTGTTGAGTATTTTAGATGAGAAGTACCCCAATATGTACGAGGAAGATTTGTTGAACATACGTGATAGACTAATGTCATTGGAAGTATTGGCTAAGTTTGCGTTTGGGTACAACTTAGTTGACGTGATGAAATATAATTTATCAGTTGATGTGGATGATGCAACAAAGATGGAAGTATGTGCAAACATTTTTCTAGCTTACATCACTGGATTGCAAATGGATGGCTACGAATCCAAAGTTATAAAACTATGGTTGAAAACACTATACCAGCCACTAATATCTGACTTGGCAACCTCGGCGACACCAATAGCCAAAGTTGCATTTAATGAATTTCAATTATTGCTCAAACTGATTGCAAATGTAAATCGGTACCCTCAAAGCAGTGTAAAGTATGACATCCTCCAGGTTAAGACAGCCGACGCGTTTATTGCTCAGATTATTGTTGGAGATGAAAGGGAAGTGGTGGGCGCTGGTGTCTCAAATACTAGTTTCGAAGATGCTGAGGATAGTGCGGTGATGGAGATCATGAATGACCAAGAGAAGGTAGCTCGAATCTTCACCATTATCGAACAACAATACATAAGAAGCAGATATGGCGGTAGTAGGGTGGATACAACAAATGGGTCATGGCCAATGGCGGGTGAAATGCAAACTCGAAGTCAGCCGAGTCAGGCAACAGCCGCACCATTGTGTGGAAGCACTCTGTCCGCAAGTTCTGAACCACAACCACCCCACCACTCCCTATATGCGACAACAAGTGGAGTGCAAGGGCAAATGCCAAATCAAATGGCCAGTGCCACCACATCACACGATCAGAGTAGAGCAATGACAAGGTACGGTCAGCACAGTCCATCTCCTCAACCGGCTTATCCACACCAACCACAAGAACCAATATACGGCCAACAAGCGGCATTCGGCACATCGCAAGGGTACCCTCGTTCTTCGCCTCCGTGCGCATACATTCCATTGAGCGAGCGACGCAATGACTTCCAGAAATCCAGACACTCATACGATAGCCGCAACCAACAAGTGTATGGGCAACTGGCCCATGGGCTGCTGCAGGCCAATGCACAACAAGACTACGACCAACAACTGTATGAGACGATTCCACTATCGCATACTGGAATCGATATGCGTGCCCGGGCTGATTTGAACTCGATTTTGAGTCGTTTGCAATTAAAACCTGAATACATGGTTACGAGTGAAGGAGGTCTGTTTCATGCACTTTGCACATGCGAGGGTATTGCACTTGGTGCGGGTATCTGCACAACCAAGAAAAAAGCGGCCCAAAAGGCAGCTATGGCTGCCTTGAGCAATCGAAGTGCTTTGATGCAACTAGGGGCAATACCTCAAAACTAAGACATTTCAGGATGTCTCTAGAAGTCGTCTTCTTTTGATTGGTTGCAGACTTGTCTATGCAAAAAAAGGAAGAGAGACGTGTTGCGAAATTTTGCAGCTTTGCGTTTGAAAGTCCAATGTTGTGGCTCGCGTTTTTGTGCACATATTTGCGATGAACCAATCAAATGTTCCGAAAAGAAATCCCGGGCTATTAGATCCGTCACGTGGGATAATCACACAAAAACATATTGCATTTTGTTCCTGCTTTCACCGAACTGGGTTTTTGGGTTCTACAGGAGCAGGAACCCAGTATACGCAGTTTATAGCTTATACTTGGGTGGCGCATACTCAATAAATGAGATGGTCATCATTTGCCACCATGTTGTGTCCATGAAGGTTTGCATTAGCAACTTATGAAATTTCTTTTGATGTTCCCTTTTTTTTTTTTTCTTTTTTGACTAGTCGTTTTGTAGCAGTCTGAAAATTTTTTTTAATCTTCTTTTTTTTTTTTGGCTTCTGCCGCCCTCTCACATTTGATCTTGTCTCGATTTCTAGTGGAAAACGTTGATCCTTATATTCACTTCTCTTTTTTTGGAACTATTCACAGATCTACTACAGAAACAAATATTCAAAAGATGTCAACCCCAGTTACTGCCTACAAGCTCCCTGAATACACTATTGGAGATTATGCCAAATTCGCCCTTGCTGGTGCTATTGGTTGTGGTGCTACCCATGGTGCCATGACTCCAATTGATGTTGTCAAGACCAGAATCCAATTGGAGCCAACTGTTTACAACAAGGGTATGATTGGTTCATTCAAGCAAGTTATCAGTACTGAAGGTGCTGGTGCTTTGTTGACTGGTTTGGGACCAACTGTTTTGGGTTACTCGTTGCAAGGTGCTTTCAAATTCGGTGGTTACGAACTTTTCAAGAAGCAATTTATTGAATTGTTGGGTTACGACACTGCCAAGAAGTACAAGAACTCCATCTTTATTGGTTCATCTGCTTTGGCTGAATTCTTTGCTGATATTGCCTTGTGTCCATTGGAAGCTACAAGAATCAGATTGGTTTCTCAACCAACTTTCGCTAACGGTTTAGTTGGTGGTTTCTCAAGAATCTTGAAGGAAGAAGGTGTTGGTTCATTCTATAACGGTTTCACTCCAATCTTGTTTAAGCAAATTCCATACAACATTGCTAAGTTTTTGGTTTTCGAGAGAGCTGCTGAAGCTATTTACGGTTCTATCTCTACCCCAAAGAAGGATTTGAGTCACAGTACTGTCACTGCTGTTAACTTGGGTGCTGGTATCATTGCCGGTTGTGCTGCTGCAGTTGTTTCTCAACCAGCTGATACTTTGTTGTCCAAGGTTAACAAGACCAAGAAGGCTCCAGGTCAATCCACTGTTGGATTGTTGATTCAATTGGCTAAACAATTAGGTTTCACCGGTTCATTCGCCGGTTTGCCAACAAGATTGGTTATGGTTGGTACCTTGACCTCTTTGCAATTCACTATTTACGGTCAAATCAAGAAGGCTTTGAACTGTCCACCTGCTGTTGAGTTGTAAGCAGAATGATCAACCACCCTTTACGTGCTGAATCGATAATGGTGCTCCGTACTTGTTAATATATAGAAAACCTTACAACCATCATAATGGAAACTTTTGCGTAGTAACTGCACGTGCAGATCTCTCTACTCCACTGATGAAAATAGTTTGAATCTGTCACGTGCGTGATGTGGAAGTAGTCCATTTTTCTTTCTCGTGAAGTAGATTCAGAGCTAAGAAAGCTTTGGCAAAGCAGTCTGCCAGTTTTCATCCTCCTCTTTTTTGCTTGTCAGGTTGTAGCCTACTAGTATAAAAGTGCTACTGAGCATGGGCAAACCTTCCCCCTGAGTATTGCAAAAGAAAAGAAAAGAAACAAAAAAAAAAAAAAAGACCAAACCAAATCTTGGCTCTAAATGACCGGCTGCCTGTGCAAGTCTCAGCCATATTTTCATACACCACGATACGAAGCCAGCAGTACTATGTTCCAATATTCCGTCCTCTTGGTTATAACACGAGAGGTAGCTTCGCCACATCGAAACTGACTTTGTGCAATGAAAAAATTTATCACCGAGACGGAAATAAAATACATCCGTCTCCGAGTTCGTGAGGTAATTCCGATTCTTACTTCTTGGACGTAACTATTCCCTCCACAACACATGACCGATGAAATTTGCTCTGTATAGAATTCTATTGTAATGCACCTCTCAACTGTGAAGAAGACAAAACGAAGGAAAAGGGCAGACAACTAGTGATTCCTTTAAGCGTCGATTCTGTAAACAAAGTATACAAAGATTCAAAAGGTAGTATCGATGAATTTGGCAATTAAATGGCCCAAAGAGGAAAGAAAGAAAAAAAAAAGAAAAAGCAACAAATTGACATTTGATTACACAAACTTATTCTAGTTTTACACTGGTTGCAGTTTTAGTTTTCACAACCAATAGTCAAGTCTTGCCAATGAATTACCTCCCCTTCTCCTACTCCACTTCACTAAAAAACAAAAAAGAAAACACGAGAGTTTGCTCTTCTCTGATCCACACATATGCTTTGCCAATGTACTGTTTGGGAAAGGTCTACTAGTTCAAAATACAGCTTCAGGTTTACTGCGTTCAAGTACCAAGTGAAGTTGTGACAAATTTTCGTACAGACCTACGCATTAAACCCTACGTGCAATCACTTATTGATTGATTTTTTTTTTTTTCTTCTTTCTCTTGGTAAGCTCTGTTTGAAACTAACATCTGGAGCAACTTAAGTTACTATCGTATAGGGTTTTTGTTTGATGAGTTCAAAAATAAGCTTAAACAATATGTTTGCTAAGGCTAAGCCCACGATGCATTCAAGCAACGTGCAGATCAATACATTCTGTAATATGTACGCATCAATTCCTAAATTATTCGCTATAACATGTTATTCTTTTGTATCCCCAAAACTTTGCGAGTTATTATGTACTGGAACTATCGGTTATGTCTGAAATAATAGGAGAGAATAATCTGTTGTTTTTGCTCTGCTCGTACATCATTCTGTGAAATCCCACAACCAAAGAAGCAAAATTTCCCTTCGCCAAATTTATTGCCTCTTTGGCTATGCTATTCTGCCTCCAAACCAAGGGCTATTCTAGCCACTTACATTCTTATGAAGTATGTAATGTATGACCCTTTTTTTTTTTTTTAATTGCTTAACAGAGTTTTTATATACACAACCCATCGTTTTGTGCAATGATGTAATAGCTCTTCTTTGTACCACATAAGTCACGACCACATATAACGTCGGTTACTAATGGATAGCTTTGGAGGCAAAGTCTTCATTTTACCTGTGTATCCGAATGGTTGCTAACTGCGTAGCTATATAAATACACAGTTGTATTCCCTTCCCAGATACTGTAACACCTCTTTCTCAGCTTCTCCTACTCGTAACCCATTTCTGCAAATAACAACCATTATAAAAAGAATGAAAATTTTTGAAACTTTATTATTTGCCATTACTTGGTTGACTTTACAAGTTGCTGCTGCTCCAGTCAACAAGAGGTTCTTTTCTCCCTCCTCGCCCACTTTTTCCTTGATTGCTGTCCACAATGGTACTACTTTCAACTCCAACTTGGTCAAATTTAATGGATCTGCCATTAAGTTGGGCTCAGACGACAAGGCATTCTTTGGCACTATCCAAGCCGACAAGGGATACATTTTGAACTTGCCATCCACCAACAACTCAAACCAATCATCTACTGTCAATGCTGTTGTTTCCAATCAAACCCATTTGATTTCAACCACCACCAAGAACGGCTCAGCTAGCGAACACTTTGGGATCACCAACGGATGGTTATCCTACTTGAACTCTACCCAATTCTTGGCATGTCCAGAATCAGCTTCAAACGCTACTTCCAAGTCGTCCAACTCAACATCAAACTCAACTATCGAGTACGATCTTTTTGCAAACCCATTGAACAAGACCAAATGTGCTAACGGAAAGGGTTACGATGTCAAGTTGTTGGTCCAATTGAGTCTTCCAATCTCATACTCACCAGAATCCAACTCATTTGGATTCTTCAAGAGATTCGTCAACAAATTGTTCAAGTAAGGAGTTTATGTGCTACTAAGAGATGACGGTTTAAGCTACAACCTTAGTCAGTGGCAAACAGGTGTTGCTTTCCTTGTTTTCCTTCAATCGTTGCTTTAACTTTATTGAAATTTCGGTACCTACCATTTGTATACGTTTTATATTGATACCACTTAATCTTTGTTTTAGTTCAAAATACAAAAAGAGTTTACTTATATCTAGCATTGTAAGAGAGAGATGCTTGATTTAACATACCGAATACGACAGTGGAAGTATTGCCATATTGATTCCAATTGTTTTGAGAAGCTCTTCTCGAATGCTGCATTTTTGCAACTTCCATTAACAGACATGGAACACTGTCTCACTCGTGGGGTATACTTTGTATCTACCATAGGAGTCTTCTCATGGTGTTTAGATTCCTCAGCAACTAGGTAATCCTACTCTCCAGAAGATGTATCATATACTTTGATGTGCTCCATTTCACGCACGATATCGTAAAGCTCTTCGCAGGAAAGAAAAAAAAAAAAAAAAAGTGAAAGGAAGCAAGAATCAAATTCTTCCATCAGAACAACCGTGTAGCCTAATCAGTACAAAATGGCACCTACAAACTACAAGTCTAGTGAATATGTCGATGATTCGGATCTAGAAGGAGACGAAGAACAGGTTTTTGAGCCCCCAAAACATTATCACAAACTTTCTCATCCATCAAAGAGCTTCCCAAAAGCTAAGGATAAGGAAATATGGTTGATCAAAACTCCCAAGGACTTTCCGCTTGAAAAGTTGAAAACTTTACCCATTGCATTCACTAAAAACAGGGTGGCTGAATCATTTGACGTGGGCGGGTCGTCTTACCAAGTAGAGGAGGAACTAAGCTCTGCTTCATCTTCATCATCAATTCTCCCCACCACCGATATAAATAACAAGCATACAGTCTTCAAAGCAAAGCACAGTTCTTACAAGCCAACTGACTTGAAAATCACCCGGTTTTACAACATTAAGGAAGTTGTCAATATTCCGCAAATTGACTTTGACAAGGCCAGGATACCTAGAGAAGATGTTCCCCAATTGAAAAGATTGAGAATGAGGCATTATCCTACAGGATATGGTGAGAAGGATTTTGACATCTCATATGATGATGGCTCAGACTTGGAAGAAGGGAAGCCAAGCAAAAGGGCCAGAGTTAATAATGAGGATGAGTCCACGCAGCAGCACAGTCCAGCCAAACATCTCAAGGAGAAAAAGGAAAAGAAGGACAAGAAGGACAAAAATGACAAAAAGGACAAGAAGGACAAGAAGGCAAAGAAAGAGAAGAAGCTGAAGGAAGGTATCTGATTGATGTGTACTGTGCAAAATACATTTTCTTAGAGAGTTCGGCGATGTAATAAAATGCTCTACTGACCCTAAAGTTGTGAGCAGACATCATCTCTTGCAACTAGGGTTGACACAGGGATCCGTAGACACGAACCTGTTATGAAAGCACTTTTGAAATATGTTTACATAATTTTTATCTAATGTTAGTGATGCGATAAAAAAAAAAAAACAGGGTTTGCTCGTTTCAAAATCTCAATTTCCCCTACAAAAATCACATCGATTTCAAGTCACGACCATAATGGGAAGTACAGTGTCGAAACAAGGAGGGAGGCAGCTATCCAAAACCATCACAGAATCAGTTACAAAGCCGATAAACCGAAGTGAGATTGATCTTTTAAACTCGCAGAAACAGTCATTTCCACCGTCAGATGGCACAGATCATCTACATCACCCTAGCAACGTAGCTTCACCAACACCACTTACTGGCAACACACAGGTGGCACTAACTCCAGACGAACACTCTAACCAAGAGGCAACTGCATTTAGGGCCAACACTGCAAGCTCATTTGATCCCCAATTCTTGCACAAAAAGATCGGTCGTCAGACAAGCATAACCCCAGAGGGGAAAGATGGAGGCGATCCGCATGAGCAGGGTACCTCTACCTATGACAGAGGTTTCATTGACTCATTGAACCAACTAGGCAAGCAGATCAAGACGGTTGAGTTCAATCCCACAAAGGACAAGAATGTTGCTGCTATCAAACAGCTCCAGGAGAGGAAAAGACTTTTTGAGCTTGGAGAGCAAGAGGTGAAAGATCAAATGACGCAGAACATCAACCATGGAAAAGACGGGTTCAAAACAATGGTGCATCCGCAGACATTGACTGCCATTTTGAGGGATATCAAGGATCCACGAGTAGATAATCAAACTATAGCAAGAGATTATCAATTGAAACCGGATTTCTTAAACAATTTAGGTGATGTTTTCCAAGTACCAACCACTGTGAGGCAGTTTGAAGAGGATACCAAAGCTGATGAAGTGGGCCACAAGACTATTCCACAACAGCGTCGCTCTATTCATGAAAAGCAAGATGAAACAGCCAATGAAACAGTTGATGGCGAGACCTATAAGAGATTACAGAAGCGGTTGAGTTTGGATGATTGAATGGGAAATTGAAGTCATTTGTATACACATCGTATAGTGTACGGTAGTTAATACTAGGTCGTATAACACGTACTGAAGAAACTCAAAAAAAAAAAAAAAAAGAAAATAAAAATATGAAAATCCGGGGACTTGCGCGTAATTCCAGGGTGGACTTTCGCCGCCCCTTCTTTCCATCCAAAGACCTCAAAGAGAATGTCACCACCGGTACCAAAGCAATTATCAGCCAAAGAGGTGATTAAATTCCTTTCAAACTATTCCTCGTGTGACGTTTCCGATGCATTGAATCAACAAGGATTTGCTCAAGGCGGATTTATTCCCAATTTACTTAACCGATCTCCGGTATTGTCGACTACTTCCGCAGTCGGAAAAGCGTACACAGTATTGTATGCCCCAAAATCTGATCCACGACCTGCGGTGAAGCAGTCTTATATTGACCAAGTGCCAGAGGATGCTATTGTAGTAATCGGGTTGCCATTGGAATTGCAATTGACCACAGCCCCCTACCATAAGGTTACCAATGCTTTATATGGAGGTTTAATGTCGACGAGAGCACAATACAGGAAAGCCAACGGGTCAATAGTTTTAGGACGGATTAGGGACTTGGACGAGCATAATGAATTGAAGTATCCCGTATGGTCATATGGCTTGGGAACAACTGCCAATGGTCCGGCACTTAAGGTTATTGGCATAGATGTTCCTTTGGAAATCAAAGTCACTAGCATTGACCCTTCAAAGGATGAGGATATCTTACTCATAAACCCAGGAGACTATATTGTAGCCGACAAGAATGGGGTTGTTAGATTGGAAGACAATGAGAAGTTGAGTGGTGTGTTGACTTATATTCCAAAGAGAGTTGAGGCAGATACAAATGTTAGTGCTGATATAAAAAGCGGGAAACCTGCCAGTGAGTCGCAAAAGTTCTGGAGGGGCAAAATTTGAGTCACTGACAATAGTTATGTAGATTTAGACCAATTGCAGTCATGACCTGAAAGCTGTTAAGAATTTGGATTTGTAAAAATGCACCTTGAGAATAAACTAAAAAAAAAAAATTATTAGTGGAGTAATGTACGCCATTCTTTAAAAGTTACTGCGAGTCAATCGCACCGCACTCACCCACTAACACACTAAAAAGAATATTCAAGAAGCAACAGCAACAGCAACAGCAACAGCAGCAAACAGGAGTCATATACAACCATGCCGTTAGACTTATTTGAAGAGAATGGAGATGCCGAACATTACAATTTTACTGAGCTTCGCTTGGAGATTATCGGAAATAAAGATCTCAAATTCAAGTTGTTGAATGATGTTGCATTTATGAACCAGTTAGTTTCCAGCTTCGTTAGAGGTATAATCAAATTTACTGGGTCGGAGATTGATCTGCTGTACCCCTTAGACAGCATAGAGGAGGTGGTAGTCATATTTCATATACTTTGTTCCTTTGCCTCGGAAATTGACCAGTTAACTAATGAGAGCGTACCCGAGTCAGTCGGAATCATGCAACTGGCACTAGAACCTATAGCGCAACTTTTGAACTATGTTGTCGAAAAAGTGCTCCCACTGTTGATGAGCACCAGCAGCGACAAGTATACCTTTCAGATCGAAGCCTTAATGGGTTACTGTTTAGACATTTTGATCTTGTTGTCCAACCTTCGACAACCACAAATCAATCCAACAAGAATTTGGAGATATGTTACAGCACTATTGGCGGGTGTTGACAGTAACGGCTATAGCCCCCTCAAATTGCATACAAATACCTATATCAAGCTGTTAAGGTTGATCCCATTGGTGCTTGCCACACCCGTTCCCCTAAGTAACCACGCTTTGCTATCCTTGTCTGTGACCTTGCTCAACAGACTATCATCGGTATGTCAGCTGATTGTACAGAAGCATGCAAGTGAGCTATATCACTCTCAAGAAAGTCTTTATCGCCTTGCGTTTGAGGACCGTCAACTCCCCAGCGTTGACTTGAACGATTCACTAGTTAGCAGCGTGGTCAGTACTGAACTTTTGTTAGAGATGATAAATGCATCCTCGCATCTACTTCATTTCTCAAAGACTCACCAAGATCCCTTTTTATTGGCAATTAGACAAGAGGCACCTCCGGGGATTTTCATAAGTACGCCATTGTCAAAACCATTGATACCGGTAACCGAGATACATGTCACATTACTTTTATTGTTAAAAGTAACGTCAAAAGAGTTTAATGTTGCGGCACTTAACTTGTTGGTTCTAATATTGGAAGTCTTGGGCTTTCTGGAGGTACTTTCCGAAGATTTGATATTTCGTAGCTACGACAAGTTGTTTGCCAAGATAGTGCAACTTTTGAATGGTGGTGGTGACTGCAATGGAAACTACGGAGCTGATAGTGGCCAAAACACCAAAACCAGTGACTACAAGCAAATGAATTCGTTATTTGAAAGCAAACCTTTACGTCATTTGCCATCATCTTCAACCTCAGCAGTTAAAATTTTGGCCAACTTGTGTACCCAATTTCCGAGCTTGAATAATAGAATATGTGATACAAATATTGATTACCAGTTGGTTTGCAAGGTGATGCACTGTTTTGATCGCACCAGCCTTTTCAAAGATTTCGAAGAGTTGAAACTTAAATCCAAGTTTGGAACAGTTTTGGTTGATTTTACGTCAATACCTGTTGGTGATTTGTACTCTACTGAATTGGTGGATCTTTTCCTACTTTTAAGTGTGTACACCAGTGAGAGCGAAGAGTATCGGAACAGATTAGTCTTGTTTTATCAAAGTACTGGGTCAAACATTCCAAAGGTGATATTTGAGATTGTTGAAAACTACCATTTCCTTCTCAATCAAATACGATTGTTGCAAAAAATTTTGAGATTCACAATAAGAAGTGAGAACGCCCAAAATGAGACGATCAAACATCAGCTATCTTGGTTAGGAAAGAATATGGGAGTGATTAGCGAATTCACAAACTCGCCACTTTTCACACACTGTTTTTACTTTATACGTTCTCAATCACGATCGGTGGCAACTTTGAGGACGTTTTTTGTTGAGGCGAATTCTTTCAAAAGTTTTATAACACGAGACAGTAAGGCTACCTCACAAGCTGGACAAAATGGTGTCAACTTATTGGGCACGAACAGCCTGAACCTGACCATAGGACCACGTATGGAGGGAGGAGACACGAATTCTGCCATAGCATCGGAGCCTTCCCTGTCGCTGTCTGCTGGAGGCTTTGTTACCAATATTTTAGAGATCATTCGCCTTTTCGAAACATTAGATTTGGCATGGGACTTCATCCTTAACGCAAATACCAACAAATCTGTACGCGCAGCTGCTTTTAAAAAGACGTATATGACTAACAAGGCGCTATGTGTGAGCCTCTTGGCGAACTTTATCCTCGATTTCAGTTCATTTAGGTACAAAATTATCGGGTACGAAAACTTTTTGTCCAGCTTGTCCATTATATATCAGAATTCGGCTTCCGACCTCGAGAATGTGTCTGATATCACAAATGACGAAATTTTCGAAAGAAATGTGATGCAATTGAAAATTTTGCAAGTTATGAAGAACTTTATGTATAATGAAGCTTCTGAGAATAAGCAAGAAGTGTTGAATTTTTTCCCATTGAGTCTCATACTTCAAAATGCAAACTTTGGACTTGTTGCCGTGGATAATTTACTGTCTTTGCCAAATGAAATTTTGAAAATAAAGATACAACAAAAGGTTGTTGCTTTTGAAATTTTACGCAACTTTACTGCAGGTTCTCCCTCATTCTCTCGTATTTTGAGAGATTCTTATATCAATGAGTATTTGTGCAAAGAGGAACCCGAATTTCAAAAGTTGCTTCCACAGGATTGGACCGAATTTGTAATTCGAAACTTGACCGAGGCATCTGTCTTCATTCCACAAGCCGAGGCAAACTTTGATTTTTACAACGATGAGACATTGCTAAACTTGATCAGTAATGAGGATTACGTCAAGATGGTCAGATCTATAAACTTTACCGAAGACCACACCTACACTGTCATTGATAAATTGAAACAAGAACTTTTCCCTAGTGACAGTTTGTTGGGCATCTGGATGAGGTTGCTCTCATTTAAGCTACCAGAGATGAGTAAGGGCAACTCCGATCACAACATGATGCTTTTGAGTAAAAATTTAAACATGATCAAAATCTCGATCGCTTGGATCCTTGTCAATTTGACTTGGAAGTCTTCGGTTTTTGGGCACGACATACAAAACTATATTGATTACGAAGTGTATCAAACTTTTGATACCCTGAGAATTAAAAGAGAAATTGCGATCCAAGACCAAAAAAAAGAGTCTTTGGATGGAGAGTCCAGTGAGGATCGAGAATTGTCAGGTAGCGAGTTATCAGTTTATGATCGGGCAAAATATTTAGATGAATTTGGATTCACAAAGGTAATCTACGATGTGCTAACTGATTACTCAAGAAAGGCATCAAGAATCTCCCAATCGACATTGGATGCTGATAGCTCGATTGAGCCTGAAGTCTTTGAGAAGCTCAGAAGCGCACTACACCAAATCAACTATTTGTGTCGTGGCGTCCGTTCTGGTAGATTCGTACCTGATTTGAGAAACAATCATACTGGCGGGAGTAATGACTTGAGGCTTCATCGAAACCAAGATAATTCAGTTGATGTTATCGATGATGGTGGTGAACTCGCTGATGAAGAAATTCGGTACGAAAGGTCAAGGCGAAGAGACGCCATTGACTCTGAAGATGATGAAAACAATGAAGATGAAGAAATGCAGGAGGGTGACTCGTCTGGAAGTAATGCAGAGATGCAAGTGGCACAAGCAACGAATAATGACAGTGATGATTCCAATGAAGATATGCCTCATGAATATTGGGTGATGTAAATTGTGACATTGATAACGTATGAACTTGAGTAAACACCTAAAATATATGAATCTTTTTGATAACAGTTGCAACTTTTGATAGATGAAAAGGATCTGTTTTTTTTTTTAGCAACAATAGTACAACCGTTTTGAGAGAAACTGAACTCCAAATGGATTGTACTGGAGGCGGATGCCATAAGCGTGGTGCTTGCAAAGAAAAACTTGTGTTGGAAATAGCCTTGTTGGATTACACCATTCCAAGAGCTGATCAAGGGTTGAGTTCTCAAGAGGTTGCAGAAACGGGAGAGTCATACATTGCACTATTTGTTGAGTGCAAAGTTCGAAGGTCGAGAATAGAACTTATTTGGCTGGATTCATGATAGTGAAGTTTTGGGGAAGTTTGGTTGAAACTCCCATTTCTTAGTGTTTGCTTAGACTCGTCAACCTATGAGATTTCGTTTCCTTCTGCAATTCCATTTTATGTTGGAACATGACGGAGTGATTCTCATTGGCAGAATATAGCACCGAAGAACTAGCGACAAAACCACTTACTTAGCTTTATAGGAGGAAACAATTTAATCACATATGTCTGTAAATCTATTCCCAATAAGAGAGGCGTCGATCAAAAGAGCAAGAAGGGGGAGGGGCGCCAGAGAGATCGAAAACTACACCACCAAGGGCTCCACGGTTACTGATATAGTAAACAAAAAACACGCAGCAAATGCAAAAAATCAACACTGTCACAACTTGACAGCAAAATGATAGCATAACACACATACTCAACCCAGACATTCACAACTTGAGAAACCCAACAAGAAACCACCAACAGAAACTCTCTTCTTTTGACTTTGTGCCGAATTCATTGAGGAGAATTTAGCAGGTTGCACCGAACGCAGTCACGAAGGCATGCGTTAATACCAAAGTGTGATTTGGTACTGCGGTGTTTGTTAGCTAAATCCCCTCTTGCAATTTCAAAACAACGACACTTTTCTAGACAACAAAATATTCAAATGGCTGAAGTGGCCAGACATACATCCAAGCAGTCCATTCTCGTGCCACTTCATCATACAACTGATCAAACTTCAATCACGGCTTTGTGTTGTGTTCATTGAGGAAGAAATCGCGAGCACCACTGGAACGCAGTCTCAAAAAAGGCATGCGTTAATACCAAAGTAAGTGTGATTTGGTATCCCAGTTTTTCCCGACAAAAATTCCCTCCTTGCATTATTGCTTGTCACATCACAACATCAAAACCAATTCACAACCTGACTCAGTTATATTACTTGTTTGCCATTGTGTTTCATTGCCAAAAGTGTCTCAAGAAGAATTGGGTCGAGTGACCCTTTGATAAGTCTTTGGACGCTCGTCCTCTTTCTTGAGTTCTGGAGCGTCCAATATGATGCAAGACTTGCATCTTCTCAACCCTGTTGCTTCCTCAACCTCCATTGTAGGTTTCTTCAAGACCGATTTCAAGTTCTCATTGCTCTTCATCGTGTTTGGTTTCTTCAACTTGAGCTTTCTCAAGCACTTATTCCAAAACGGGTGCTTCTCCTTCGGTATTGGTTCACGCTTGACAATCTCCATCGGTTGCCACACTGAGTTCATTGACATCAAGCTCTTCATGTCGATGATTTCCTTCTCGGTCTCTTTTCTTGTAATGACTTCATTAGCAAACTTGACAACTCTCTTTTTGAGAACCCGAGCTTCATCCACAACATACTCAGTGCCTGACTCTAAATACTCAAGTGCTCTGACATTTGGCACAGGTCTGACCTTTATTCCATCTGGCACCCTTTGCAATGGGCTCAATGTGGGGTTGATAACTGAGTGTATGTCAATTCCGTAGGAGTAGTAGCGTCCGTAGTTTGGGTTGAGTCGTGAAACACCCATATAATAAAGGTTGTCTCTTGGATTTACATAAAAGACTGTTTTATCTGTGGGTGTCACCTCTTTGGCAACTTCATTTTCACTTGAGCGTGGTTCAATAACGTGATCTTTTTCAAGTTCATCAGCAACAACTTCAGGTCTACTTGAATTTGCTTCGGAAACATGGTCAACGTGTGCTGCATCAGTAGCGACTTGTGCTCTACTTGTTTGCTCATTAATGGTTAAATCATTCAAGATCATACTTGCATTTGGAACTCTGTGTAGAACTTCGCCTTCATCAACTTCTTCATCCGCGTCATCAAAAGACTCACTGCAGATGGATTCGTTTTCAGGCTCCTCTTCCCAGTCGTTTGCAATATCAATCAAGTCACTCCAAACAGCTTCCTCATCTTGATTTGCTGCTGGATTTGGCTCAGATTTATTTTGATATGCTCTATCTCTTTGAGATAAATATGCAATTCGGCATGGACACATTTGAGGCACTCCGTTCACGAAACAGTTTCCGCATAAGCTGTCTTCAAATGTTTCAAAAGCATCGGCAACATTCGCTGCAGCTGCATCTTTTTGGTGTGGTTCGTGATCATCTGGATCCAGGTATACTGAACTTGAACAGTCTTTATTCTCAATTTCTTCATCTCTGTCTGGACTGATCGGAGCTGCACCATTTCTCTCCTCACTGCAGCCGATGCTACTATCTTTGCCTTTATTGCTGACGGTATTGGTGACGGTATTGCTGTTGTTGTTGTTGTTGTTGTTGCTGCTGTTGCATGTGGTGTTTATTAACTCTTGGAATGCTTTAATGGACAATTTCTCTTCCACGCGTTGATTTGGCTGTTGCGTCAACCAAGCAGGACACTCTCCAAATGTCATGTGTTGCACAGATGGACACTCATCTTCCATCAAGACGTTCACAGTGTACCAAGGATCCAAGTTTTGACGCAATTCAGTATTACTTTCCATGTTGATCGACAAGTCCAAAGCCAATTTACATCCTTCAAAATCATCCTCACTCACTTGGTCCTTGGCTTCAAGTTCACGTGGACTCAACTCATCAATCTCTGTTTTCAAGTTTCTGTTCTCAAATGAGTTGACTTTCGAGATTGATGGAAATTGTGGTGATGGTGGTGAAACTTCAGATAATTTCTCGACAATGCCAAATTTGGCAACTGCTTCCTGCACTTCAGTATTGATTGGTGGCGATGATCTTGGAGGCTCAGCTGTGCTCAAGTCTACAGCTGATGGGTTTTCTCTATCTGCTGATGGTAATGATGCTCCAGTTTCAACTTGACTGACAAATGGCTTTTCCAGTTCAGTTTGGGTTGGTGATGGTGACGATGATGGCGATGGTAATGTAGCTGGAGTGTCACATTGAATGACAGGTTGTTGATTTTCCTCAGGTGGGGTAAAGTATGCTGGCGAGCTGAGGATGAAACCAGCTGATGGGTCAAAGCCTGGAATCACTTTGGCGACATCGATGTTTTTGAAGTCGACAAGTTGATACAACTCGTCAGGAGTGATGTAATTAACTTTAATAGATTGCATTATCGTATTCTGTATTGAGAAGGGGTGAGGATGAGATGGTTTATTGAGGAAAGAAGAAGAGGGAATGTACAAATGCTAACTTTTTTTGGTGGATTTTTGGGGCATATTTAGTGAATTTGAGAATATCAAACTTTTTTGCAACTGTAGAGAGATCATGCAAAATGTAACCTAAGCTAAAGTTTAAGTAAAAGCTAGAGACTATTGAGCAATGAGGATACAGTAGTATCTGTAGATACAGCTAGAACAACCTCATATGTGGAAAGCTTAACCTGTGTATACAGTTATTAGCAAATAGCTCAGTTGTGTTGAGTATTTGTGTAAATCCACTGTATACTGTGGTAGAATTGTGCGTGTACGAAAGAGAAAAAAAAACAGTAAAGAGAGGATTTGCAACCGAACAAGAGTTGAGCAACACACGCAAATACTTCCAATGGTTTTTCTTTTTTTCCGCTTGTAACTTAATCTAGCTTCTCCTGCATACTAATGATCTTGTTATGCAACTAACTTTCTAGTTTAAGTACACCTAATGAACAAGAACATGTGTCTGTCAGCCTTTATGGACCCATCACCCCAATTCCATCATTTTAGATCCCCCTTCTTGAAAATTGCACTTGAGTAGTTTCTTCAACGATTTCATTTTGAATTTTTGCACTACAACAAGGAGAAAAGAATGTTATTGGACTTCATTCAAGTATGAGAGGTTTAGAGCTTATACCCTTATTGACGGTTACTACATGTATAACAGTGGGCAACCATTTTGATGAAGATCATAATTTGGGCTTTATTCGCCAGTTAGAGAAATTGGACTTGGTCCATCAAACAATAAATTCTTACAAAGATGTTCAATCGATAGTATTGCAACCGTCATCAATCTTCCACCTTCCTTTTTCCAACTCACTTGTATTCAATGAAAACATCCTTGATGCTTCAAAGAAGCCTCAATTTATTGAACTATCGTATGAAAAAAGTGATGTGACGAAAATATTTGCAGACACGCCACCCCACAACGTGGTTGATCCATCTATAGTCCATTGGACTCCATTAGGTAATTGCGCAACGAATTACGCTGGAGACAAAGCCACGTACAGACAAACTTGGTCGTTGGAGCTAGACTTGGGCTTGGACTTTAGAGTGAGCTACGGAGGATATTTCATAAATTTTGGGCCAAGCTACAAAGCGGAATTCATATTGGGGAAAGGTATTGGCGGAAGTTACTCTTGTGACGTGGATCCGGGCAACACTTTACAATTTGCAATACTTTTTACCACATACACAGTGGAAGGTGTTAGATATAGACATCTCAAAAGGAAAAGAATCGGCAAAGGCATTCTGTTTGGGAGATGGATTCCCATAGATAAATACGAACAGATTGGGAGAAGCGATATCCACGTTGCATGCTTTACGCAACCACAGTATCTACGATGCAAGAACACACGTAAGTAAACTATTTTGATAAATTTGATCTATACAAGGTAGCTTAATCATCTTCTAAATCTTCACCGCTCAATGTAAATGGTTCAGGTACTGGCGCCGTTGTAATATTCAACTGCCTAACAGTCTTGATGAATTCAACAGGTTCACCCGGCTTGGTATCTTGCAAAACAATAATACTTCCAGTTCCTCTAAATTTCCTAACAGGTACAAACCTATCATCTTTGACAAATGAAACATAATTGGATTGTTGCGGCAACACTCTGGATAGATTTTCAATCTTATAAGGTGTCTTTGAATAGCGAATGATCACAGGAAGGTTACTCTTTTCATTTTTGCTATCCTTCTTGTCGTCTTCTTTGGATTCTGGGGGTTTCTTTTCATCCGAAGTTGTTTCTGACACATTCTCCGCCCTTTTCTCAACCTTTTTCCCATCTTTAATTTCTTCATCAACGTCCATTTTATCGTCCGACTCCTTATTGTGTTGTTTCTTCTTTGCTCTTGTCTTGGCTTTTGCAGTTGTCGACAAGACAGCAGTGGCCAACTTGTCTGGCTGTTTTTCTTTAGATTCTTCCACCTTTGGAGGATATTGGAAGTATTCCTTGTTGGCATGACAATTTAGTTCAAATTTCGGAATCTTCAAATCACTACCTCTAATACCAATTATAGATGTTGGGGCAAATGACAACGACAAGAAATGAGCCAATGGGAACCAATACCACGACTGTGAGAAAATAGCCAATCCAACAATTGCATTTGTGTTTAAAGTGTTTGTTTGTGCATTTTCTAAGTTGATGGTAACATTTCTGCCTCCTGCATCAATAATACCCTGAGATAACGTTGCCCCAAATTTGGCCAATGCGTCTTCATGCTTATTCTTGATAGTATCGGCATATTGCTTAGTAAATTCCTTAACTTTCGGATACAAAAATTCATTTTGTTGGATCAAAATCATTGCCGACGCCATCATGGCTCCTTGTCGGACAAAATCAACAGCATCTTTAGTCAAAGGCTCCAAAACTTCAATTGCAGGTGCATAAGCTCTACCAGCACACGATATACCAAGGGCCAAAGCTGTACCATACCTGACGTGCGGGTTGTGGGATTGAGACAATAACTTGACTAATTGAGGGGTTGCAGTATAATCACGTATCAACACAAAACCCAAGTTCAACACCGCCGCTCTTCTTACATCATCACTAGGATCCGAGACAGCAAAATGCAATAACTTTTTGATGGCACCGTTGTCACCAGTTCCTGCAAATGCCAAACCAACTGCAAATGCACCACCATATCTTAAAATTGATGACTCCTGTTTTAATAAATCTTCAGTAATGTAGTTTGCCTTTTCCTCACGGCCGTAATGCAACAAGGCAATCCCTATGGCTAAGCTTCTGATAATATTTTCATGTTGTGTCTCTAAAGCGTATGTCAACATGTCATTTGTGGCTGCTTCGTCTCCGGATCCAAGTAAGACCAAACCCATACCCAAAGCTGCAGCCTGAGAAGAGGTAGCCGAGTCTGTGTAAAGAACAACCTTTAATGATTCATACAAATCCTCTGCTTGGCTGGCCATACCCGCAACTCCGGCACCCAAAGCCGCTCCATGTAGTTGGACCTCGATGTCATTGGCCCCAGACGAGCTACCGTTGTCATCAAGAAACTTTTTCAAGTATCCCACAACCTCTCTTCCGTGACCCGCGTAAATAAATCCCAACGCAAGCAAGGAACCACCCTTCGTATGAGGGGCGCTGCTTGTACCAGGTAAGTAAGGCTTCAAAATGGTACGTCCTTGAGAAAGATTTCCCTTGTGAATAACACCGAGAGCTGCAGTGGCTGAAAACTTCGACCAATTTGTGGCTCTACCCAACCATTCCAAGTTCTTTCTAAAAAATGAATCATCCGTGGTACCGGCGTGCATATAAGCGTTGGCAAAGGTAACAGCAGAGTGGAAAACAGAACTTCTTCCATCCAAAAGGTTCTTAGTTTTATTCAAAATAGTGATATCTGTGTCGTTGTTTTTGTATAGAAAAGTGTTATCAAGGTCTGAAGTTGGCACACCAGACAAAATATTCAAAATCTTCTTCACTATCACGTTCCCACTTTCATCAGGAAATGAAGTTGCCACCTTGTCCAAGAGTTCCTGCGATGCAGTATTTACTAGATCAAACGCAGCCTGATAAGCAATTAAATCTTCCTCATGTTTGACCAACTCTTGAAATAAATTGACGGCAAGTTGCGAGTCATTCAACTGAACAATGATTTTGATGATGGTGAAAAAATCTTGATGCTTCTTCAAAGTCAACAATAAGGATATCAAAGTTTTCAAGATCTTTACTCTGAATACCGAATTTGCAATTGTGGCGTTCGAACAAACCAAAACATAGTTTATCAAATTGAGCCCTTGCTCTTCATTCACCGAGATTTGGTTTTTCAAGATACTTTCCACCAAATCTAACCTAAATGATTCCAAAGCAATACCCAACGTCAACTTGATCTCGTTAGCTTTCAAACATTTCTGTAGCATCTTTTCAAAAATGGAAGTCAATCTAGACTCTATCACCACCGATTCATCACTAAACTTCCTTTGCGATAACGAGTTGTACAAGTTAATGCATTTGCTCACAATGGTTTCCACATATTGCGACTGCTCTTCCACATTGAATTCGTCACCGGCATACAATGCATACCTCACAGATGCATCAAAGTCTCCTAAATTGTAGTAAACTTTTGAAATAACCAATGCGGCCAAAGATCTATTCTCGAATGACGTGTTTTCATATAATTCCTCCAAATCAGTAATATTATTGGCTATCTCAGCCCACAATTGGTCAACCACGTCATTCAACGATGACAAAGCATACGATTTCAAGCTAGGGTCTGCTTCACCAAGTAAGGCCAAATATGGTGCTGCTGATACTAACGCCATGTTCCTATACGTCAGTTTCTTGTTCAATTCGAAATCCTTCAAAAAGAAAAAAAGGAGCTTGAATATATTATAAGTTGTGTGTATTTGATAAACGTATGCCACACGGTGGAGTTTTTTCCACTTCGAATTTGTTGCCACCAAAAATAAATAAATAAATGAATAAAAAAAAAAAAATGAAAACTTATGCCTACGAGCGACCAATCACGTGCGAACAGCTTTGAAATTGTCTCGTTCCTCAACACCATTTACTTCAACTGCATGGAGATTCACCCCCCCCCCCTCCTCAACAATGGTACGCTTTTGCTGTGGATCTTGATACAAAAACAATGAAAAGGATAGCCAAAGGTGGCTTTTAGAAGTCGATCAATTTACAATTCATCCAATGTAAATTTGCAAACTAAATTGAGATGCAATTGTTTCACACTCGGAAACCTTTGTCATCTGACAAGATACTGACAATCATCTGGAGGTGGGTTTATCTAAAGTGGGGTTGCTAGCTCAAACAGACACAGACCACATGCAACAACAACAGAAGTTGGAACCGCAACAGCAATCACAATCGACGTGGCCAACTGACCCTACCCTGACTACACTTTACGTGTGAATGATGGGGGCATCCCTCCGTTTTCCAGGGATCCTTCCACGAACCAATTCAACTTAAGTGCCACCACTTTAGACGTCTCAACAGCGTCAGCAGCAGCAGCAGTCCTCACCAACCCAACTACCGCCTTCAGCACATCAATTCTCGACAACGATGGCTCATTTGATTTACAGCAACAACAGCAGCAGCATCGCCGCATAATCAACCTAAGTCAGTTTCCTACACCCAGAATGTTCATTCTTTCATTCAGCTCTTCCAGCTTGTATTTGACACTCGGAATAAGAGAGCGTGGACCTCGACATTTTGAATAAAATGACAGCATTTCACATTTGCAATTGCATTTGCATGACCCAACGATCCTACCCAATTGACCGGTGGTGTCACAACTTGAGTCCACTTTATCACCCTCGCTAATAGCAAAAGCTTGTGGGCGTCTTTTGTTTAGTACAAATTGTAAAAGAGTGGTCAATGACGTTGATATTGTTGATTCAAACTTTGGTGTGTCCAGGTTGTAGGGGAACACGAGCAGAAACAATGGGGTGTCAGATGAAGCCATTGGGAAGATGAGTTTCTATTAACATTCAAGTGGAATTCAACTCGAGAAGGATCTTGTTGCAGACCTTACTGAAGGGGGGAAGCAACATGCTGGAGCTTCACCTCAACTAACAAAATCAATTTGTTTGTACAGTACTGCAATACGGAGGAGTTGCAGGAGCAACAACAGAGTGGGGAGAAACTGCAGAATGACTTGCCGCAACAGATAGTTGAAAATGATAACGAGTTATTGCAACTCTTCCTCACTACAAAATCAACTGCCAAGAACACTATTGATACTGCAAATGTTAGCTTGCAGGTGGAAACAAGAGGTAGGGATTTGTGTTTAAATTTGGCATCCAAGGTTTGCAACATCTTGCAAAAGGAGCAATTGAACCAGGAAATCGCAAGTCAACAGCGACAAGTCTGCTTCATTGTTCACATCTCCTGCATACCTCACTGCAACAAATGTGGAGGACGCCAGTCTGGACAAGTTGGATAACAGTGATTTTAATGCATTGACAAGCTTGCTAGAGATTGAAACAAGGGGACTTCTTTCTGTACCAGTTGCGCCAATTGAAAATGGATGTTTTGCATGTTCAGACTGTGATAAACCAGATGTGCGGACGGAACATGTCAAGCACTACATCAGGTTGGTGCTGTCAAACATCAGTTCATACCATTGCCAATATTGTGAACGCAAATTCTCACGATTGGATAGCTCAGCACTGCGTATGAAGATACACTTTGAAGTTGGTGGCACTGGCAGAACCAACATCGTTTAAAGAGATTCAGCTGCGTATATTAGAAACAAGAGAAAGAAGGGGAAGGAGAAGAGGAAGAAGAAGAGGAAGAAGCTACGCAATTGATGAAGGAAGTGGCAGACTGGATTTCCAATAAATAATGCAAATGGGAGTCATGTTGTGTATACAAGGAGGCAAGTTTGCTGACAGATATTTCACTTCGGCAAAGAACCACCGACTTGGCGGCGAGCAAGTGCTGGCCATTTGATATTTTTCGCTGCCTTCGTTGATGGTAAAGTCAGGTTTGGTTGTACATGTTTCATACTTTTTTATAAAACAATTAAAGACAGCTCTAACACCACTTTGGTTTAGTCAATTCTCAATGAGAAGTCCACGATGAGAAAATGAAGCTGAGAGAAAGAAGAGTGTGAGCGCCGGATAGAGATGAGAATGAGAGGAGACTTTTTTTTTTGTTGGTGTCCCATTAAGCGAAACAATACAAATAGCAGAACCGTCATCAGCAGCTAGTCTAACTTTAGGCGTGCGAAACATCATGATGTTCTTGATCGTGCCCTGAATTGTGTCAGGTAACAAGAGTGCCAACTTCTGCGCCCTGACTAAAGCACGCTTTGACAACCCATGGCCAGTCGTCAAATATTGATCTTCTAAGTCTCTAAATGTTTCTCGAATTCCCTCGGAATTGAGCTTATCGCTCAAAGAAGACATATGCTCCACAAAAAAGAGAATTCCCTCTATCAATTGTTTCTTGAACTCGATTTTGTCGTCCACTTTCAGCAACGACTCGCCTAGTTCCCGTAATGTGAAAGACAAATGACCCAGGTGAACAAATAAATTAAAGACGCGATGGTCACTATTTGCATTAAACCTAGTCACCATAGTGTTGACATCTCTTGAGGCCTCTCTGGCTAGGTCAGGGATTTCAAGGTTGGTTCTAATTAGGTTTCCAAACGCAGTGGCCTCAGTCATGGGAAGACCCACCTGCAACGAGATATGATAATTTCCAATCATAAAATCCTTTATCTCTTCCAGCTCAGAAACAAACGGCGATGGCACTGTAGTTGATGGTTCAGGGGTAGATGGTTCCGGCACAGGGGGTGAATTAACGGATGGATTCACTGATTTAAGCACTCTCGACCTCATTTGACGTTCGTGTCTTGATAGTCTCGACATAGTCTTTATAGCTCGGTCGTCCTTCTTCTTCTTCCAGCGTTCCCTTGCAATGTTTTTGGTTTTGAGTCCCGCCTTCTCTGGTGGTGATAGTTCGGGTATCTCCCCGGGTCCAATCGTGGGTATTTGTCCGAGTCCAGACGTGAACACGGATTTGCGTGCTGAAGCTACAGTCCTTTTTGGTTTAGTCATCGATGTCAATTGGTGAAAAGTATCGTTGAAACATTTCCCATAAAATTCACGTCTCGTGGATACTTTCCTTCTATTGCAGCTTAGCTTGATGTTCTCTTTCAAAATTGAAAACCCAATTTCGCTTCATGGTCAACGTCATTGATACGATTTGAGGCATTGATTGCTCTGGAACTGGGGACTTTAATAAAAATTTCTCCAAGGTCGTGCAATTTCTTTGGCTGGTGTTGCTAATTTTGATTGTGTTGCTTATTTCCATGGTAGAATCCTGTAAGTTGTTGAAGAAAGCCGGCGCCAAAGGCAAGTACAAGCTGTTTCGTGATGGAAAGAGTGTATAGTGGCTGTCTCACTCAATCCCTCTTGTACGAGAAAGAATGTTTCTTCTTCATCATGTCACAGGTATTTCGTTATCGAGATCCTAGCAATAGGTTGTGGATGGTTGAGAATGTATGGACGAAACTTTCCTTTTGGCGCCTAATCAGTTTGCGGCGAAGTTTTATCTAAATTTGGGGTTCCGTCAACTCTTTTGCGTGAGTTTACCCTAGCGAAGGCATTCGATATGACACTATAGCGTTAAATAAATGGAACCGGGTAGCCTTAACTTTCGTCTCTGAAAACACCTTGGTTGTGCCATGAAGCCGCGTTGCAAAACCAACCAAAAAGGAAAAACGATGGAAACACCAATAAGAGTCTATCGAAAAAGAAAAAGAAAAAATACAAACCATTTTTTTTTAACTGCTCAAACACTTAACTGTGCATTAATCATACACCGACAAAGAATGGTATCGGCACATAATAACCCATGGGCGAAAAGAGATGCTTGGAGATATGAAGGTCAATTTAGCAGACTCAATAGATTCAAAAACGCATTCCCCGGGTTGGGTATAGCTATTGTTGCATTCACGGCATATGTTGGCTTTGAAAAGTTGGTGTTGAACAAAGGTAAGGGAGAACACGGACATGAACACGACGAACATCATTAGGTAGTGGTCTCATACAATAATATTTGACTAACGGGTGAGGCAAGCGGAGCAGCTGAAAGTGATGCAAGCATAATTTAATGTGACCGATTTGAGGTTTGGCATGATTACAAAGTCTTGTCAAAAGTAAACCAATTGAAATGCATGTGCGTTGGACTATGCATTGTATCATGATTAGAGCAAAACCAGATGTTGCAGTCATCAAATGAAAGTGTCCCTATCACTATGTATGGGAATGAGTTATTTATTAAATTTGCAATCAATCCCTTTTACTTGTATTTACAAAACAGTCTATTTAGCCTCTCCCCTCAGTTATTCTCTTCAGCTCTTTTGATCTCATCGGTAACGTCGCTGTTAACCAGCAACAAACTCTCAAACAACGATGCTCTCGATTTTTCTTCCTCTACCAAGGAGCCACTTGGTGCTTGTGATCTATTGGAATTTGCCTCCAAAACACGCGTTTGTTCAGCTGCCAATTTAACCCAGTCATCGATGTATTTCTGTTCCGTAGTCAAGTTCCAATCAATATTAGTTGATTCGTAAACAGCGCCGTACATTGTACTTTCTTCCCTTGCAATATGACTCTCCATTTCCTCTGCCATACGTAAACGATAAAACTCAAACCTTGCTATATCGTAAGCCTCGAAAACGTCTTTCACTTTGTCATCATTGTGTAAGAGATACACGGCTCGCTGAATAACCGACTCCCCGTCCAAAGGTTTGTGCAATTGCAACATTTGACTCCAGTCACATTTCTTCAGGATTTCATCACCATTATTCTCAATCAAATTTTTTGGTCTTGACAACTCCCAAGGATGTTGCAAATAAAAATAATTTCTCAATTCATCTTCAAGAAACGTCAATTTTGGTATACGGTGGATTTGGTTGTTCTTGTTGGCCACTTCACTGGATGCTGGACGGGTTTTGAAAAGTTGTGGTTTTTGTAAATGCTGGTTCTTTGGTTTAAGGAGATCGTTACGTGGGTCAGTGGAATCGGCCTCGTGGATATATGGTTTCTTCACAAGTTTATGGCTTGGTGGGTACTTGGCCACAATGTCGAACCACACAGGCTTCTGCTTGAGCACTCCAGATTTCAAGTATGCCGATGTTCGTGATAGAACATTGGTTGCCTCTGTTTGAAGTTTCATGGTATAGTGGAAGAGTGCTGGGTTTAAAGACTTTTCTAAAAAGCAGTGGAAGTTTCAAAGCTTTCTCTTGGCCAAATTTTTCATTTTTTTTTTTGTTTTTCTATTTTCTTTTTTTCTTTTTTTTTTTTTTTTCACGATTCATTTTTCATCTTCTCTTTCACGGTAAAGGCAGAACACACATTCTTATACGAGTAAAAAATGATATGAACCTTTTAAAACAAGCAAGAGCCAAGAACATCTTCCTACTAGAGAAACCTACCAATACTTTTATTAGACGTGTAGGCGTCGAACAATCGAAAAAAACAGGGCCATTATTGAAATGCATTGACTTGTTAATTAATCAGTATCTACCACTATTGATGGAAAACTACAATGTGCCCCATTCAGAAGATGAATATGAGCTAAAACAGCGGATTTGGGATAAGCTAAAGCTACGACGGACAGATGTTGATCCTGCATTGCGGAAAAGATTGGCATTCAAACCGAATGACATGTTGTATACTACAGAATACAACAACTTTATCAAGGAGCTATATCCTGTTAATAATGAGCCATTTCTGTCCAAATTTGCCCCGTTTGCCGTGAGGCACTGCGCCACGAAGTACAATAACATCAACCACGAGCGAGCTTTTAAAAGATATATGGAGCTACCCAAGCCTGCCCCGCTGTTTCTACCTCCAACTGTTTTGCAGACATTTATCAAGAGGTATGTATTGTCCCAGAGACATTTTGCAAATAGGAATGTTCTTGAAGGTTGTTTGCTTCGCGGGGATACAAATGGCCTATTGAGCGCAATTCGCAACGAGAACGCAAGAAGAAAGGATTACCTTGACCGGTGCCAGTCCATTCTAAATGATGTAAAGCAAGCTGGTTTTGAACTCACTCAACAGGAGCAGGTACGGATGATCTATTTATCATATTTCAAGGATAGAAATGACGTGGTGAATGTCGCTGGAACGGACAAAGGATTTGGCTACAAGAAGTTTACATTTGACGACTATCAACTGCTTTTGAGCACGTTTGGTGACCGAAGAGACCTACTAGGCGTTCTTCTTTTTCTAGCAACAAGACACGATCAGCTTGATGTAATATGTGACATTTTACCAAAAGTAGGTTTAGGGAGTATAATAGGTGTGGAAGACAAGGGCCACTTGAAACTTACCGATATATCGTTAATCAATTTGTTCAGATATTTCAACACTTTTAACGAGAGACCAGAGTTTATGCAGTATCTTGCCAACACAATTGCAAAGTTGAACGAGATTCCTGTAATTACCACTGAAATTGTTGATAACTTGATTATTGTTTTGGCAGACTTGGATTTAATCAAACATGCAGAAATTCTATTTGAAACAGCGTATTTCCTGGCGGGCCCCAGCGAGGGGGATGATCCGGTCTTGACCGAGTGGCGGTATATATACACCAAATTGAAAACGGTAACGAATGACAAGTCTGTGTTTTACAATTTGTCACCGAGCCACCTTTCTTTCTCGTCCTTGTTCCATGCCTATTGTTTAAAAGGGTCGTTTGAGAAAGTCAAACAGTTGATGTATGTGATGGACAATTTAACAACTCTTAGTATGAGTACAAAAATGTACTTTGCAGTCTTCAAGGGGTTCCTAAATAGAAGCGATTGGAAAATTGATGATTTGCAGTACATTTTGAACAGCTTGTTGAATCAGATTGACACGATTAAAGACAACGATGACTTGAACAGTCTGAGGTTATTGTCCATCTTACCCCAGTCCGGCAACACAATCCTTCAAGATCAGTTTGTCGATGAGTTCATCACAAGTGACACTACACTCAGATTAAGCAACTTGCTTATGGAATGCATTTTCATGGCCTGCATAAACCTATTGAACCAAAGTGGTGACCCGAGGAAATCAGGATCAATAAAAATCGTCAAAAGTAGGTGGGAGAAAATGGTTGAACCTAAAAAATCGGGCCCTTACGAGGCAGAGAGACTCTCTTACATCAATAAAGCGGTGTTGATGGATCTTGTAACTATAATCGCTTAAAATTTGTACGTAGATTCTGATTAAGTACGAACCAACTGTGCTTGACTATGGCACTCCTTACTAAACTGAGTTGTTGGCAGACAGATTATTTTGCAAGCAATGTCTTGGAGTAGACACGAAACTTTCAAAAACTAGCAACACCCCCAACAACAATGTCACGATACCCATTAGCAATGTTGAGTTCAACTCAGCAAAAGTTATCATAACAATAATGATACCAATAGGCAATCTCCAAAATACTCGGAGCTTTTGGGGGAGTATGAAAAAATTAGGTGGGTCTCGACTCTTTTCGACTATTCCCAACACAAACATACTCACCAACGCCACAGCTATCCCTCCGGTGTAGAAGAACGCCAATGCATACATATTCTTTTCATTTTCCTCAACTCCACCCTCAGCTCTTGCTTCTAGGTGCTGATGCTGATGCTGATGCTTCTTAGTGCTCGAGTTGTCAATAGCACACAAATCCCCTCCGGCATCGGCAGATAAAACCAATGCAGCGATCAACGGCACGTGCGCATATATCCACGTAATTGCTGTAGTCCCGCTATTTCTTAATGGATGAACAGCCCTGTTGGATGTTCCGCCGTACTGGTAAATCCAAAACAATATATAGGCATCAGCCAATAAGAATATACCCCTGACGTACTTGACCGTAAACCCAACTCCTAAGGATCCTGTGGCAACAACCTTATACAAGTATTCACCAATTGCAATAGTAACAAAGACTGAAAATCTCTCTACCTCGTGTTCAATATTCAAAGCAGTTGACATTGTAAGATTTAACATTTTCTTAGTCCACGGATGGTAACACACTGAAAAGCACACTTGCTCTAGAAAGAGGAAAACAAATGCTAGTGCAATCTTGACCCTCGTTGATACAAATATAACAGAAAGCCAGCACATGGATGTCACAAGAATAGTTGCAGCGTATATTCTTTGTTGTGTTCGATGTTCGGGGATGAAGAAGGAATAGACAACCAACGACACGGCCAATGACAACCGGCATATAATATAGGAGACAATAGGTAAAGCAGCCTTTGCATGACTTTCAGTGATATCGTAATGGCTGTTGATGTACAAAGTAAGCAAACAAAGTATCCAGAAAATGTACACCTTTTGTGACAAATCTTCGTTATAATAGTAATTGGTGAAATCTTTTATATCTGCCCAAACCACCCACAACGGCAAAAAGAAAAGAACATACTTTAGCAATGCTAATCCACTGGCCTCCTCGCTGGCTTCGCCAGCCAAATTAGCAATCAATCCAACATAAAGTAAATCCAAAAACAACTCTGTCTTTGAGCTTCCTCTTTCTCCTTTAGTGCGAAACAATACTCCATCCTTGAAATAGTTTAGAGCGTGTGGTCTAATGAACCAAAATCTCTCTTTTGGAGGTTTAATGTACTGGAAATTGACATCTCCAAACCTTCGAATAAACTCATCCTCTTCTTCGCTGTCGGTTAGATCTTGCTCAATCACTGGAAGATCCTCTTGAGAAAGCTGATGAGATCTGTGGGAATGTACTGGGGAGTTTGATTGACTGTCGTACTGGTCAGTCGACCTTGTATTGGGGACATTCTTGCCACTGTCTGGTGTGTAGTTGCTAATCGTAGACATTTAGTGCGGTTGTAGTTGAAAAGGTGTGTTTGTTTTGATCCACAACGATACAAGGATATCAAAATGGCTTGAATACCAGCAATTGCAAAAGTTGACAGTGTTGATGACGGATGGGGTTGGAAATATAGCAAACTATTTCAATTAGTTCATCATCCATTTGTTTAGTTCAATACACTAAAAAAGAAGCGATGCACATTAACATTTGAAATTTTCTCGGTTGTGTATTTTTCCCGAATTGGGAAACATTCCATCTAAAATAAATTGTCGCCAGCCATTGGTTGTCAAGAGTCGTGCTTGCAAAGGATACTGTGCTTACAATAACTACCGTATATGGATGAGTCTGCACAAGAAGTGTTTTCTTCTGAACAGTACGTCATGTTGACCCCCCCCCCCCATGGTTAATGCCATGCGGCCATGGCAAAGTGACACAAAACTGCAAGTATAAAGTCTTTTACGAGCTTTAAGCCACACCTCGAAAGTGGAAGATTATCAAGGTTGTGTGATTTGAAAGTAACCACCATGAAATACGCAAAAACGTTCCCAAACTCTACCAATAGGAATCTTGCCCAGATGACTCGCTTCTTTTCTTTCATGATATCTTTTGATATGCCCCCAGAGCCATAATTTTGTGCTAGTAGTTTCCCTCTAAGTGGCAAAACTATAAATACCTCGTCCTTTTTTTTTTTGTCTAGTTTATACAGTCATTTGCCTCCTTTTTATTTCCAATTGGTATTGATCTGAATCACCACTTTCAATAGTCTCCCACCATACTCTCAAGTTGTACATCAAAACATTCTTACTCGTTCCATTCGCCTCGCCCTCCGTTTGATTGTGTTCTTCTTATAATTCACTATACTTGAGCAATGAGATCATTACCACCTCCAAGAATAACTAGAGCTAGAAGATGGAAACGCATCAAGCGTGCCTTGAAAAATTTGGCCACCAAGGGCTACATCTCTGATTACGGTGTTTTCCACAGAAGAGCACTATACTCCCGTCATTTGTATTCAATAACAAAAGTTCATAAACTGTCAATATTGTCTAGAATGAAAAAGAGAAAGACTGACTTGCAGGTTTTCCAAACAGCCAATTCGGGTTTGAGGTTAATTAGACAACTCAGTAAGTTCTTGGCAAAAATTTCGATTCCCGGATTGAAGGAAGACTTGCCTGGCACTCGGAGAGGTAAGATGAGATTGTCCTTGAAGATGTGAAGTGATGTTTAGTTGTATAATGGACTGCAGCATACATAACCTGGTACCTTTCTTCAACCTCTTTTACTGTTCTCAGTGGTGTTTCTCTCTCTCTCTCTCTGTACAAAAAAAGTTTATTTTTTTTTTTTCTCTTTCTCTCTCTGTCTCTCTGTCTCGTTCTTCTCTGCTCTGTTCATCTTTTTCTTTTTTTTTTATTTTTTTTTATTTTCTATTTTTCACACGATGAGCTGCTCCATCGGGGATTCTGAAATACTTCGAACCCACCATCAATCATGTCAGACAAGAACCAGATAAAGATTAAATTCACCACAAATGAGGAAGATGAGAGTCTAAAAGTGGAAGAGACACCCTTGTTTGTTCCTATTTCATTGAAACGTTTTGGATTGTCTGAAATCGTGAATCATTTACTTGGCAATTACAAGACAGACTCAGACGAGGAAGAGCGTAAGCCCATACCTTTCAATTTCCTTATCAAAGGAGAGCTTTTGCGTACATCTATTGATGACTACCTTGTGCGCAATGGGCTATCAAGTGAAGCATTCTTGACTATAGAGTACACTAGAGCCATTTTACCACCAAGTTTCCAAGCATCATTCAACAACGAAGATTGGATTTCATCTATAGACTCGATAAACAAGACTTCGAGTGCGGTAGTGGACTCGCAATTGACAATAAATGAGCCAAAAATCTTGAGTGGGTCTTATGATGGAGTGGTACGAACTTACAATATGTCGGGTAAGGTGGAGAAGCAATATGTTGGCCATTCTGCTCCAATAAAAGCCGTCAAGTGGATATCACCCACCAGGATTGTCTCTTGTGGTAATGATAGACAAGTGAGGCTATGGAAAACCGCGTATGAGGGTGTCATTGATGGAAATGAGGAGAATGAAGAAGACGAAATCGAGGACGGAAAGACCTTGGCGATTTTGGAAGGACATAAGGCGCCTGTAGTCGACTTGGACGTGAGCCAGAAAACAAAGAGAATCTTGAGTGCTGGTTATGACAATGTTGTTGGGTTTTGGTCCACAAATTACAAAGAAATGGCAAAGATTGAAGTTCTCGAGTACGATTCGAATGTTGTCTCTACTTCTTCCAAGAAGAGAAGGAAAATGGCCTTGCAAGACTCGACTATAAGACGCCGCTCTCCTTTGAGCTTGATGAGTGGTCACACTGAGCAAGTGGAGGGTGTCATCTTTGACGCACATGACGCAACTGTGGGATATTCTGTATCCCAAGATCACACTATTAAGACATGGGATTTAGTCACTTCTCGCTGTGTTGATACAAGAACTACTGGGTTTTCGCTATTGTCAGTATTGCAACTACCACAAGCGAACTTGATAGCTTCGGGTTCATCAGCTCGTCACATCAATTTGCATGACCCAAGGGTTTCAAATACATCAGAGGTGATCAATGCAAAGTTAATTGGTCACACAAATTTTGTTGTTGGATTGAGTGCGTCTCCTCACAATGGAAATATGTTTGCTTCAAGCTCTCATGATGGAACTGTTAAAGTTTGGGATATTAGAGCTGACAAGTCTCTCTATACAATAACTAGAGAGGATGGATCAACAAAAACGAAAATTTTTGATGTGTGTTGGGACAATGAAATTGGAATTATTAGTGGTGGCGAGGATAAAAAGATTCAAATAAACAAGGGATCAGATATAGCTAAGTAATATCTATAATTTATACAGGTTGTTCTCCTTTCTCGAAGCTGTAAACAAATTTAACCCGTAATAACCCTGCCACATACTTTCCTTGTCAGTTAGATAGCCAACGAGTCCAGTTTTGTTTCCCACTGACAAAGGATCCCATATCGTGTAAACGCTTTGTTCATCGACCCATCCCAATGCCTTACGAATATCCTTCAACTCATCTGCATTGAATTCAACTTGTGCTGCCGACCCGTACTTTAAGGGACCTGCATTGATCCAATACCCTCGTTCCACATTACCCAGTGGCTTTGCCAATTTCCCAATGGTGTCCAAATAAGTGAATAGGTTTTCGGCTGTGTCCAAAAAGAACACAGATACTACAACAACATTCTTGTACTTGTCTCTATTAGGTATATCAAATTTTGTGAAATCTTCATTAACAATGTGCAAGCTTTGAGGTTTCCCAGTATCTCCTATAGGGGTATATTCGAAAGTTCTCAACTGCGACTCAGTGTTGTAGTAGTCTGAGTTTGTATGTATATAGGGATAAATTGTGTGCAGTTTTTTTGCCAGATGCTTGCTATAGTTGTATCCAACAAGCAGGTTCATCAATCCTGAATACTCGACGGAGTAAACTGCCCCATAGTCCCACTTGCTAAATTCATGAGCCAATCTTCCCAACCCACTTCCAGGAAAAATCAATACAGTGTCTTTCTTTTGTTTGAAATCAATGGCCAACTCCAATTGAGATGCTACATAGTCGAAAATAGGTCTCAATTCAGGGCTAAGGGGCCCTGTTGCCCAATCACGAGTGTAATGACCCAAAGCTTCAATAACTCTAAAGTTGTTACCACTTGCAACACTGCCTTGTGCATTCTCGATTAATTCAAAATCTTTTACTGATAAGCCATACTCCCCAATCGTGTAATCAGCAACATCATCAAGGAATTTTTGATTCTTCTCAATCGCCTTGTCAATAAGTTCGAGCCGTTTCCAGTATCCAACATCTTTTGCGAGTGATTGCTGACGGTACTTCAAATGCGTAAACAACAGTCTCCTTCTCTCGTTGACCTCCTGAGCATGAAACAGGTAGCACTGCAATGACTTGACTGCTGAAAGAATCTCAACTTTTTGCGATTGATTAAGACTTTGAAAATTTGAGTAGTTGTTTCCAGTAGAAGTAGGCAACTTGGCTAAACTAGGAGATGTTTTGGCAGCTCTAATGCTTTCCAGAGCTGAATTGGCCAAGGATTTGAACAAGGATGTTCTTGAAACCATGTTTGTGAAAATAAATGTCGTGATGAGGATCGGTAGTTGTGATTTTCGATAAAGCAACGATAACACGTAATAGATACCGAAGGAAATAATGCAAATTAATGGAATTGAATCGAGTGATATAGACATGATATATGGGGGGGGGAGATATATATATATATATACATGTACTATGCGCCATGTTATCTGCATATAGCATTCCTTTCTCGGGTGAAAACAGCAATTGATTTTATAGAATGCACCCGAAAATTCCATGCACCATTTCAGCATTCTCTCTCGTTCTTCATTGGCATCATTATTAAAATTGACTGTAGTTTTACAATCGACTGAACTCGATTGCGGTGTTCTGTATAACTGCAGTCCTGCATTGGATTGCCTTTTAATCCGAAACGCAGCTCGCCAGTCTATCATTTTGCGATTATCATGAAGCGTCGACACGTGACCATTCAAACCACCTCCACCCTGCTGTGGTATATCTGCCCAAACGTATAGTTCTTACTTCTGACAGGGCCCTTCGAGTGACAACGTCTTAGGTAGGCATATATATGTCACTTTTTGTGCTGTTCTTGTGTGTGTTTCCACGGACCAATTGTCAGTTACTAAACGGGAAATTTGTAACATCAAATCTTGTAACATTGAAGAAAATTAAATCAATCTTCATTACAAAACGCTTACAGTTTGCAACAGGTCTCAATCGAGTACAACAAGTCATTTCACATCCAACAATATCAATGTCAGATTACGACTTCTCTGATGTGCGTCCCGTCAGCCTAAATAGTGACGAACCCCAACTATGCCAAATATTGTACGACGATGAGTACAAATCAATTATGGGCAAGTTATTAGCCCTCATGAAATTAAAAGAGTATACGCCTAGAGCACTCTACTTGACCGAGTTGGGAATTGAACAGTTGGCGTCACACTACACCATTTGGATATATCGCTTCAACATTCTACAGAATCTTCCAGATGCAAACTATTATGACGAATTGGATTGGTGTGAGCAGATTGCTTTGGACAATGAGAAAAATTATCAAATATGGAACTATCGTCAGCTAATTATCAATGAAATCGTGAAACAGGAAACAAGCAATGGTAAAGACAAGTTTGATCCTCACCGTGAATTCCCAATCATGGAAGCCATGCTCGATGCCGACCCCAAGAATCATCATGTGTGGTCATACAGAAAGTGGCTTGTTGAAAAATTTGATCTATACAATGACGAAAAGGAAAGATTGTTTGTTGACGAATGTATTGATGCTGACTTATTGAACAACAGTGCTTGGAGCCATCGGTTTTTTTTAAATTTTGCTCAAGATGTATCTCCAAGTGAGGAGATACTCGGTAAGGAAATTTCTTACACTAAGGACAAGATAATACACTGTCCTCAAAATGCAAGTTCTTGGAACTATTTAGAGGGCGTTTATGAGAAATTAAACAAGGATTTGACAGATTTGGAAGAATTCGTGTCCAAATTTGTTGATTTTGATGATGCAAACAAGGTGAAAAGTTCCTTTGCATTGGAACTTTTGAGCAGAATCAGCAAACAGAACGGTGAAGATGAGAAAGTGGCCAAGTATGACAAGATGCTTCGATCTTTGTTCAAAGCATGAAGAAGTCGAGACGCTCTTTCCACTTGGCCGATTGCGTTCTTGATCTCAGGGCTTATGGTTAAGACGGATGTACGGAGATTGCAAATAGGGTCTTTATCTAATCTAAGTATTTTTGGGAACGTACTCTTTTCGGAACGAGAGCGGTACTGTTCGCCTTCTGTGCCCGCTTTTGTTACACATTCGGTGTAGGAGCCGTGTTCATACCAAGAAAAAAAAAAAAAAAAACAAAAAAAAAAGAAGGAAAAAGGGGAAATGGTGACATATCAGTGTTGTACAGTTTGCGTTGTGACGGCCTCTCAACTGGAGGTTATTTGCAAGCTAACGTTGGCCGATGGCATGCATGAGTTATCTCCGCTTCTTTTTTTTTTGCCTCAAATGAGACTGATCACTGTCATGTACGGCTTTTGGTGGCTTAACTCCTAACTCCACGCATTTATATCCAAATCAAGAATCTTAAGAGCGAGGCTTTTGATCAGCCGCTTCAACCACAAAGTTGTCGCACCAGAACATCTTTTCCTAACTCCGTATTCTCGGTACTTGTAGCTTTAAATAGAGTAATTTCTCCTTGATCTAAACTTGTTAGGAGTAAGGAAAATACAAACATGTTGTCCTTGACAGTGTCCATAGTCCTAGTCGTTGTTGAAGTGTGCTGTATCAAATACGGGTGTAGTGGGGCTAGCACCGTACTTCTCGGATTTAGATTTTCCCTCTTGCTCACTTTTTCTTTTTCTTTTTCTTTTTTTTTTTTTTTTTTTAACTTCTACCGATTCTTGCACAAAACACTCTCTTGATTTTTAGTGACACACACGCATGAATAGTTTTACAAGTACGGCTACAAGATGCATTTCTGAAAATGTATAAATATACAGATGAAATTCCCTTGGGAATCAGATTTTGACCAATTCAAAACACACATATCACTAATCTTGCAACTACAATATACAAAGCATCTCCAACAGCCATGAGTAAGAACGAACTTACTCCATCAAGCTCAAGTGTAAAATCAAGCGACTCGAGTGGAGTACCAAAACCGCTCACTGGTAACATCATTGACCAGCAACCACCCCGCCAACTACCTGAAGACCTTGAAGATCAAACGTCATCACACTCGCATCATTTCAAAGAATCCGATGCTGGGGATGGTACCTTACGTGAAGATCAATACATACATGGAACTCGTTTAATGCTTTGTTTTGTGTCGCTATTCCTTTGTTTGTTTTTATTCGCATTGGACCAAACCATTGTTGCTACAATCTTATCCACGGTTGGAAACAAGTTCAATGCGTTTGAAAATGTTGGTTGGTTATCATCGGGCTTTTTGTTGACCATGGCGGTGTTTATTCAACCTTATGGGAAATTATCCATCATATTTGGTAGGAAATGGTCCATGGTTGTTGCCGTTGTCATATTCGAAGCTGGATCTTTAATGTGTGCGTTGGCTCCAACAATGAATGTGTTGATTGGAGGTCGAGTACTTGCTGGAATTGGAGGTGCTGGTATTCAAGGTTTGACATTTGTTATTGTGTCTGAAGTTGTGCCTATCAACAAGAGACCAGTTGGAATGACGATTTTATCTGTGACATTTGCAGTCGCGTCGGTTTTGGGCCCATTGATTGGTGGTGCCTTCACTACCCATGTTACTTGGAGATGGTCATTTTATATCAATTTGCCTGTGGGTGGGTTTGCCTTGGCGGTGTTTTTGTACTCATTCCGTCCACCGTTTCCAAGAGTGGATATTTGGCAAGAATTGAAAGCGTTTGACTATATTGGAACGTTTTTCTTTATTTCAGGAAGTGTGATTTTCTTATTGGCAATCACTTTTGGTGCTTCTGATTTTGCGTGGGATTCCGGTGCTGTCATTTCTTGTTTTGTACTTGGCCCAGTTCTTTTGATCTTTTTTGCCGTTTGGAATTTCCGGTTTTCCAAGAACCAAATCATTGGTACTGATGTTATTACTACTCCGCAAATCATTGCATCTGCACTTTCAATATCTGGAGTATTTTCAGCATTCATTGTCACAATGATTTATGCCTCTGTCTATTTTCAAGTTATTCGTGACTCAAGTGCAATGGGTGCTGGTTTACATTTGCTTCCTTGTATCATTGCGGTTGTTATATGCTCCATTATTTCGGGAGGAACGATTCAGAAATCCAGATACGTTAAACCTTGGGGTATCTTTTCGGGAGTTATGGCTCCAATAGGTGCTGGGTTGTTGAGTTTACTACGCGTGGACTCTCCATTTTCAAAACAAGTTGGTTTGTTGATTGTTATGGGTATTGCTACTGGATGTCAGTTTCAACCTGCAATCATTTCTGCTCAAATCAAAGCGCCAAAGACACCAGGTGGTACGATCATGACAACAATTTTCGTCAATGCGTCCAGGTGTTTGTCATCTGCTATTGCCGCTACATTATCTGACGCTGTATACACTGCAAGTTTAAAAAATCATTTCAAGAACGCAATTCCCAAAGCTAGCCCCCAAATTCAACAAGCTTTACAATCAATCGACCTTTCAAGTCTCATGTCCAATAACACGATTTTGAAAACATTGGACCCAGTAACCGAGAGATTTATCAAGGAGCAGATGATGAAGTCTATTCAGAATGTGTTTTACATGTGTATTGGTTTTGCTGCTATATCCACATTGGCCTGTCCATTCATCACTAATAAGAGATTGCCTGACATGAAGAAGATGGCCAAGAAAGAGGAAAAAAAGGAGGAGATAATTCAAGGGGATGCAACCGAGGCGGAAAAGGAAGCACAGTTGAAACAGCTCGATACTGAGCCAGTACTCTCCATTCCAGAGGCGGAATTGAATGAGGAAAAGAATTTGGAGACAAAGTAAAACTGGGGTTTAAATAGGACTTGTATATAGAGTAGCATTAATATAATAGTACAATAGAGGTAATATCGTACAATCTTTCTCTTGTTCTATTGTAGTAACTGGGGAAACTACATCTTTTTCACGAGGTTTCACGTTTCGCCTTCAATGAATCATCACCCAGCAGAGTTCGTCCAATGACTAAGAGTGTTGGATTTCACCACCACCACCAACAACATCAACAAGTTTCAACAGAGCACCACAATGGCAAGAGATGCGCGAGATGAGAGAAAGATTAGGATGTAGATGTCAATTGGACAAACAAATATAAAAAAAAATAAAATGTAGCAAAGAATCGAAACTATCGACGGACACATCTCCGCCTCAGGTTCCATTCATTGACATCCACAAAGAGGGCAGACTCCAAACTACCCTCTATCCCCTTTTCCAAAAACAAACGTCCAACAAATAACTCAACTCAAACTGAGTAGAAAAAAATTGTGTAGTAAATGCAAATTTTTTGGTAACTCGCGCTGCAGATTATGACCAAAATTGGGACCCATTCGGAGGGGGGGGTTTGACAAGAAACAATGCGACATCATGGAAAGAACCATCACAGGCAAGACTTCACTGACGAGTTGAAAGATTGTGCTGATTTTTTAAAATGATACAATGTTTTGTTTTTTGGTTTTTTTTTTTAAAATTATTTTGATCTTTTAATAATTTTGATTTTTTGGGTACAACGGTTTTTAACACACAATCAATCGTTCAGTTTCGTGGCTTCATTACAACTCTGGGTTTCCCCAAGCGCGAACCCATCCGGTGTTAAAGGAGAAGCGGCCCCATGAAAGACGTTCCTAGAACGGTCTTGTGATACTCACGGGGTGTCGCTTTGTTTCTCCCACCAAAATGGTGGCTCAGAGGTCCCCCCAGTGTCTTTTATGCTTTGCCATAACTGATGTACTCTCTTCAACGCGTCTGCCGTATTCTGGTTTGTCCTTTCCTCATTGCACATGTGTTGGACTAAACATGCAGAGGGTTGTATTCATGGCTGAGTTTCTGTCTATGGGCTTGGGAATACTTCTTGCGGCACGGGTCAGCTACCTTCATCTCTGGTCATCAATTATCGTGACAGCTCCCGCCGAAAATGCAACAACCTGCGTAGTATCCCAAAAACTTCTGCCAACTTTCAATGAAACTCACATCACAACCCTCTATTCTTAAGATTCAGTCCAACGTCGCCACTGCTCTTGTCAAGGTTTTCATAGTATGTCTCATGTCATCAAGTACCAACAACAACAACAACAACAACAACAACATCATCATCATCCTCAGGTACAATTGATTCATCCAAAATCTCTCAACATGACATATTCAACTGAGACAAATACCATTCTCCGATTCCTTCAAGTTGGGCCGATGAATTCTGCTTGTTCAACTTCATCGTCATCAACACTGATACATCCTCTCTCCGAGTCCATCATCCAGACACGCCGTTCATATCTCTCGGGTGCTGGTGCAGTACGTTCAAACAACCACGCCACACTGCTGGACTCGTCAACTTCACAAGGAGTATCAATGTGCCTATAACTTGAACCACTTGGTCTGACCATCAACAGGTCTTGGTCTATAATCCGTCTGCCACAAAAACCGCGCATACCAAAAAAAATAAAAATAAAAAAAACAACTGACCAACATCTTGGTCAAACTCCAACATCGAGGTGTAGCAAAACAACGTCATCCAAAACCTCATTGTTGCCATCAGCGGGAATCGACTTTGGTTCTTCTTCTGAACATGGTTCGGACCCTTTCGCAAAACTTGCGCCACTTTGTCCTCCATTCTTGTCCAGTATCCTGAACCCCGGTGCCATTGTTTCCGAGCTGGCTGTTTCCAGTCTGCGGCTCCAGAAGGTCGATTTCTTCGAATTCACTTGCCGACCCACTTTCAGCTGGCATCTCTTCCTCGCCTGGTTTGTCAGTACGCTTTCTCTTCTTTCTACCCTTGCGTTTGCCTTTCTTGCAAACATCGGACACATCTGCGGTTGCACCTTCATTTTCACAACCAGCTTCTGCAGTGTCAATTGCAGGGGAGATCATAGCGTGTTCAGAATGAGGATGATTCAACTCATGGCCAGCATAAGGAGACAACAAATCGTCATCACAATCCTGGGCATTCACAGTGGCGTCAGCAACACGAGCACGCTTCTTGAAAGGCTTCTTTACCTTGCTCCAAATCCTCTTGAGTCTGGCATTCTTACCCTTCATTGGAATGTCTTGGGTAGCAGGTCTTGGTGGAGGGGGAACAGTTATCAATTCAGGAATCTCACTTTCAGGAGCAGCAGCTTCGCTTCCAGGAGCAGCAGCTTGTCTCTCAAGACAGGCAGGTTTTGTTTCAGAACCAACAGCTTCAGCTTTAATCCTTGTCAATTCTAAATCTTCTCTCGTCAATCTCAATTCCTGCCTAGTCAACTCTAGGATCTCTTTCGTCAAAGCCAACTCCTCCTTAACTGCCTTCAATTCAAGTTCAGCTTTCAGACAAGTTGACACCAGTGGCGAAGCTTCAACCTCGTGCTGAGCATTCTCATTATTGCCTTCGACAACAGTACCAGTAACTTCATTGCTATCACGATTTTCGATTGGCAATTCAATAGCTCCCGAGTTCGAATTCGCTCCTGGGTCATCAACGCGGGTGGTGTTGGTTGCAGTACAACACTCTTCAGCCTCATCATCGACTACAAACAACTCTTGATCTTCATCTTTGTAGTCGTCGGCATCAAACAAAACCACTACTTCACCCGTGGTTTCAAATCTCATGCGCTTTTTCCCAAACAATGACCTCAACTTGTCCTTGAAGGGAGGCTTCTCCGAATTGTCTGTCCCTCTGGTCTCACAGTTCGCAGTCTGCTTGTCCTCGACTTTGGACTTCATAGCAGATCCAATCTTGGACCATTTCTGACTCAACCTTGCCTTCCATTTGGCTTTTGGTTTCAAGTCACTTGCAACAGGGACAGTTTCAGGAGGAGCCAAGCACGTCTCTTTACAATCAGCAACATTTTCATTCTCATTGCTGTTGTTGTTGTTGTTGTTGTTGTTGTCGACTGACTTCAAGTGCTGTTCACCCTCACTTTTTTCCAATTCAGGAGGAGACTTTTTCTCGGTCATATCGACAGAATCGGTTACTTCCGGCACAGCCAACTCAACAATCTTATGCACTGGACTCCTCGCCACACTCAATGGCGCTTCAGAAATAGCTTCAAATGCTTCACTGTCAGTTAACTCCGATGGCGCAATCGGACCGGCCTTTTCAATCGCTTCAACTGGTGCAACTGGCTTGTGCTTCTTGATTCTCAATGGCGTGATAGGAGTGTCATCTTCAACAGGTGCAACTGGTGCAACTGGCTCGCGTCTCCTAATTCTCAATGGTGCAATTGGACTGTCATCTTCATCTACTTCAACTGCGTTGAGATCGGCTTCGTCAGGTACACGGCCGCTCCACCCGGCTTCTGCTTCAAAATAAGCAAATAGCTCATCTAATTCTCTAACCAAAGGGTCGACCTGACTATTGTCTTCCTTCTGGCGTCCAATTTCAGCCAGGTTTGCATACTCAGACACGGACTTGTCGACTAGTTGGCTAGATCTGTCCTCTTTTGTTTCCATTGGGACAGAATCATCAACATGAACTTCATTGTTTTCAGTTTCCAAATTCAAAGTGATGTGTTGCTTGGAAACTTTCTCATTTTGTATCTCGTTGTTCACATGGTGGTTTTGGTCTTGGTGGTGGTGGTGGTGGTGATTGGGGTGTTGGTGGTGGTGATTGGGGTGTTGGTGTTCGTGGTGGTGTTCGTGGTGTTCGTGGTGGTGATTGGGGTGATGGTGTTGGTGGTGGTGGTGATCATCATTAGTCTCGGACTTGGAGTGATCCGGGACCAATTGGTTAGTTGCATTTGCAACTGGGACTGGTTTACTACTCGTCATGATTGTGAACATTTTCATTTTATCCACTGAGTGGCGAGTAACGATAATACGCAGGCTACGTGTGCGCTTAGTAGCGGCGTATTGGGGTGACATGATGATGAGGAGAAGAAGAAGAAGAAGAGGAAGAAGAAGAAGAAGAGGAGGAAGAAGAAGAGGAGGAAGAAGAGGAAAAGGGGGAATTCTTTTATGATGTGTATTTGTGGACTGAAATTTTGATATGCTTCGGGGGAAAAACAGAGCACTTATTACAGAAAACTACCAGGAAGAAGAATGAGCGACTTGAATTGAGGGTAGGAGTGTTGATTATGAGAGTTGACTGGTACGTATCGTACATAGGCTGTATAGGTACATTATTGAATTGATGTGATGAATCTAAACTATATTATCTGAGTAAACTAGTCACTTCCGAATCGTTGGCATTGTAGTGAAGCAAGACTCTTTGAAAACCATGGCTGTCTTTATCTTGTGCTCACTTCTGACTCTATTAGCAACAGACAAGCATGCATTTATGGATACGATTAGTCCTGTGTGCCTGTTTCGTGTCCCTCCTGTGTCTAGCTTGTGCGAACTCGATTTTTTGCAGCACACATTGCAATACATCGTAAAGAGTATGTAGTTTGGAATGACGAGTGCAGGAAACGGTTAGTCTGTGAAAGACAATTTGCACCACATCAGTGATGTTGCTCAACTGTGGATTTGAAGTGGTTAATGTGTTGGTGTCTGATGGTGTGTGGTGAAATCAGTGTTTAATTGAGTGTATACTCTGGTATGGATTTCTGTTCCTAAATCGCACAAATACAGATTTTGATAGAGTAGAATTATCACAAGTTTTGACGCAAGTACCAGAGTCAACTAAATATAAATCATACCTCTTAAATTGGTTACTATAATAGCTGTCTAAGAAGTTCCTAGAAAGTATACAACCTTCGTTACTGGAGGTCATAAACTTGACATTACCTTCCAGGATAACACACATGATCTCGATCAACCGAGAAAATGACAGCACTTATATCCGATATGATACTGTGCAAGTAGGTAAAGGGTTATTCTGTAGAAGGTTCTTGGTAGATTATTCAAAATGTAGCTCAATTGCTGATTTGGAGTAGCTCTTGTATCAATGCTGAATAGCGTACTGTGGGTTTAATATTGTTTGCAAATTTGCGTCAATTCGACGGGAAAATAAACGAGCTCAGCCAGATTGGAGATACATGAGCACAACACCATCATCTTAAACAATGGGGACAGCATAGAGGATAGACACTAATACTCATGATATTCTACAATCCTCAACTGGATCTGATTTATGGGTTGTATATACTGCCATATGTTATGACATTGACCACCCAAAACGCCCGCACGTGATCGTCAGGAAGCGGAGGATTGATTGTGAGAGAGGAATTTCGATATTAGTGTTGAGCAAACAATGGCCAGCAACTGCCAACAAGTTAACAACTTCTATAATTATCGTTCAACCGAAACGAATTCACAATCTTTGCAAGAAATGCTTTGATAGATCTTGACATTTGCGTTTTCAAGATATGCCTGTGAGGATCAAATCGCCCCCCTGACGTGTACACGTTGGACTCAAAATACTTGTTCAATCTCAATCTCAATCTCAATCTCAATCTCAATTTCAATCCAGAGGTCAATGTTTTCTTTTCTTTGGGGAGATGGAGTGAATGCATCAAATGCGGCAGCAAAAAATGGTATTAAATACGGTGTTGAGCATAATCTCAGCGAATACCGTAAAGAGAAATAGAATGCGGTTTCATGATAGCTCAAGACGAGAACAATTAAGAGGGCTCATGTAATTGCAACCGCCGTTGTAACTCTTTTGGTTTGTTCAAGGGATTAGTATAAAGAAGGAGTACATAGTGTAATAAGATGGTGGCAAAATCATAAATCCAAAGGTGAAAAGAAATGGGCCCCTAACACAACAAGACACACACACACACACACACACACTGAGAATAAAGCAAAACTTACACAAGTTCTGAATGTGTGCATAACCATATACTGACGTATGACATTGTGCATTGCATATTTCTTGCATCGTTTGCAAAAGAGTTAGTGACGTGATCTACCAAATACAGTATAGATCCAAAGTAACAGGGTGAATAGAGAGAAACTCGGGGGAATAAAAAAAAAAAACGGGGCCAATTTTTGAACAAGAGAAAAAAAATTAAAAGAGACACAACGCAAGATCATTTATGAACACTTTTGTTTTTTTTGTAACCAATGTTACTAACGTCGTAGCTCTTTGGTGCTACAATGTGAGTGCCAAAGTTCTAGACTCCTCTCTTCTGTCATCCATCCTAGGGTTTGTGTGTGTGTGAATTACGTTGAAACAAGAGTACAGAGCCAAAAATTTACAAAAAGAGGAGGGATTTTAATTTAAACAGTATATAGAATACAATAGTAGTGAGACTAACCGTTGAGAAACAAATACAAAATAACGGCCGCCCTTTGTAAAAATTGTTCGAGTATTCTGTTCTTGTGAAAGTTTTCTTCAAACTGTGCAAAAAACAAAAAAAAAACAAAAACCAAAAAAAAAAAAGAAAAATACCCTATTAACCTTACACGACCAATTACTATAAATAGATTCGTGTAGCATATAGACCCCATATATCTTCCCCTTTCAGAGTACTTCAGCTTATGCTGGGTAAAGGAGGAAGGATAAATGTCATTTATAAAGAAGGGGCGTCTCTGCTTGAAATATTATTTTAGAGACTTGAGGGTAGAAATGAGCGATGGACGCGAAGAAGAGGAGACGGGATAAGGCACTAGCATTCAAATTCTCCACTAATCTATCTTTTACTTCTTGTGACACACTCTTGTGGCTGTTGTTTTCTGTCGTTCAATGACGTAACAGGGTTTAAAAGTGGGTTTAAATGTGGGCTTGGGCGTGGGCGTGGCGAAAGATTGTATATGAAGAGAGTACCTGCGTAAAAAGGGCAAAAAATTGACATTTTAAGCCGTCAGCAGTTAACACGCTGTTAAAGATCTGATTAATTAGATGTCACAAGAGTGAGTGTATTTACAAGAGATGAAGAGTAGAACAGTTAAAGCAACATTACTGCTCCTCTCCTTTCGTTTGCTCATATATTGCATAAGAACGGAAATACAGAATACGCTGCAAATCAAGGGAACACGAGAAAAAGATCGTCGTCAATGTTCCAATTGCTGCATTATTGTTAAATCTCTTGTCCTTTAATAAGTCACCAAGCAACAACACTTTTTGTTTCTTCCCTTTCACATTCAAAAGATAGGGACAATATGTTTTTCTTTTTTGTGTTTATTACACAGTCTCGTTACGATGTTGATTCTAGACCTGTAGACAATAACCACAAGACAAAAAATACAGTGTTAACATAACATAAAAAGCTTGATTTTTGCAATCTCCCTTGTATTTATTTTGCCACTCTTAATTGAGTGACTGAGAGGTAAGTAAAAGGAGCCCCCTCCTCCCATCTAATTTGTTGCAGCAGTCGTAATTTGGGTTTGCTAAAAGCCTACACTCGTTGTACAAATGAGAGGCATAGAGAGGAGGGTAGAAGGTAAGCCAGTCTTTCTCTGTAACAATTTGAAAGCAAAAAAAAAAAATATATATATATATATATTGTTACCACGAAACAATTGTAGAAGAAAACTTTAAAAAATTAGAGTTTTAGAGAGCTGAGAGGGTAACAGCAGCCCACATTTCAAACCATGTGTGACTCTTGAAGAAGAAAGAAGAAGGGACGACTAAAATAAGAGGCTTGTGGATACTTGTTCTTCAAAGATTGTTTGATGTAGGATTTAACGATTTGGTTGATTTGCGGTGGAGTCAAACAAACCGGAGATAGAACAAGGGATGTGGGGCAAGACTCCTGTAAGAATATGGTTTATTATTACTTACCTTTTAGGTAAGTATAAGAGGAGTGCATAGAAAAAAAAAAAAAAAATAAAAGAAATATTGATATAACAATAGGGGCGGAAAAAAAATAGCTATGCGATATCGCTTTTAGATAATTATTTTCTATTGTTTTAATAGCTGTAATTAATTTCTATTGTTTTTTGTTTTGTTTTCTCTGTTGTTTCTTTGTTAGCGTAATACTTTTTGTACTTTAGTGCTCTAGCTCTTTTATAAATTTTGTGTATGGAGTTAGATATAGTAGAGAGAGAGAGAGAGAGAGAGAGAGAGAGAGATAAAAGTGAGACAAAACTCATACTGGCAGCTTCACTCTCAGCGTCGATCAAATAATATTAACACGCATTCAGAACGGTTTATAACTACACAGTGAGTTATCATAGGTTTGAATAATGAAAGGGGGAGACACGCGATTTTGGCAACAAAATACGCAAATGATGATAGTGGAGAAAATAAAAACAAATGTGACATACATATATATTTAATACATTCTCATGGACTACTCTAGTAGGTGAAAAAAAGGTCTAGAACCACACATTGTTATATTTAGTTTTATTGTTTTTCAGCCTCTTTGCACACTTTTATTTTTATTTTATTTTATTTTTTATTTTTTTCTGTTTCCTTTTTTTTTTTTGCCACAGTGAGAGATGGTGATATTGGTTTCATTTTCCGTTGTTTACATTGAAACAGCGGAAACTCATACCCAATAAGTATCGTGCTATATTCATAAAAAGAGCATAGAACAAACAATTTAAGTTTGGAGAATGTACCCTGTGGTAAAAGAACTAATAGGGCGTCAGACCGGTTACATAGTTCACTTTAGTATGTATCAAAACTAGAGAACGTGTGAATAGGTGTGTGTGTGTGTGTGTGTGAGAGTGTGTGTTTGTTCTATGAATACGTTTGATGGAACATTTATTTTTTGACAGCGGTTTTACTTCTATATGAAAGTTCTTTTGTTTTGAAAAGTGAATGTACATTTACATTGTAAACAAATGCTTTGCTAATGTCAAGAGTGGCTGTCTAGTAAGTTAGATAGTACGCAGAGGTGTCCTTTAGTATTGGAGAAGCCTTCTCTGTCTCTGTCTCTATCTCTGTCTCTATCTCGTTTGACTTTGTGAAAGGCATCGCCCCTATATCTTGTAATACAAATGAACAATAGATTTGTTTAATTTTGATTGGTCTACTAGCAACTATATGCAGGATGACCAACTAACTTTTTTGTTTTTTCATTCTGTGCCCTCACTTTATATATATATAATAGGACCAGTATACGTTAACAAAGCCCACATATTTTATAGACAGTGGTATATACGCTTGGGTAATATTTGCAAGAAATACATAGCTTGGACAAAGAGAGTGTACACATGTATGTATATACACACGCAACTAGTTTTTTGTCAAAACTGGAGCTGGAGAGGTTGATCTGATGTTGTAATGAAGAGAATGTAGATCATAATTTTACAAAGGATCAGACTTGTTGTAACAAAGACGAAACCGTTAATTTTGTTATAAGGGTGTATAAAAAGATGTTTACTTGTCTTTGTTACCACAGCTGAGTTGTAGTAGTAGTAACAATATATTGTGAATGAGATCCTCTCTGCAGCTATTCACAATTGAAGATGATTACGTGTGGATAATGGGAAAAGAGTGTGATCTACAGATCTATGATGATGTGGATACTGTAGAGTGACACTGATGTCACGATATAAGGATATCAGTGTGTGTGTGTGTGTGTTTGTATGTGTATCTACCTGTATATAAGGGGCTTATGTATATTGTGTATTGCACTAGATATTGTTTGATATATCTCATCAAGCAGAGACAAAACACAAAACACAAAACACAAAACACACACAAGTTTCTTATTCTTTATTTTTTTTTTTTAATTTTTTGTTTTAATTTTAATTTTAATTTTAATTTTTTTTAATTTCTTCAGATTTGAAAAAAAAAAAAGAAAATAAAAGGAGACACACACTACTGCATTGATGTATATATAATAATACCTGTAATCACTTTGAATTTATCAATACATATACAACACACAACAACAACAGCAAACACATACCATTTCTTCACTATCTCCTCCTCCTAATACTACCACTACTACTACTACTACTACAACAACAATTGTTTGCACAACCTCTTTACGATGAGTGACTTTGGTGGATTGGGTATTGTACTTGAAGAAGAACATGAAGAACAGAAACGACATTACACCAGTGACAGCACAAGTATACCTAGGAGCATTACAACCACAACCAAGCCCTCAGATCAACAACAACAACAACAGCAACACCCACTAGCCCAACTGCTGTTACCATCAGACGACGACCTTAACTACTACACTGATAATCAAACCCATCACCACTTTTCACTCAGTCTGCGATCGCCACTGCTGTCACAGTCACAGTCACAATCAGAACAACAACACCAACAGCAGGCGAGATTCAGTACTATCTCAGCACAATCAAGCACCACAAGTATACCCAACCGGGCTTCATCTCAAACCGTACCATCAAAAACATCAACAGTCTTGCAGTCACCACAGCCTTTACTTTTAATAAATACTTCAACACCAGGCACTCCTGTGATTAATGCCCCTGTAGTGAATGCTGGGATACTACCACCACCCTCTCCCGCTCAGTTACAGAAGATACACCAACAACAAACGCTGCAGCAACAGCAACAGCAACAGCAACAGCAACAGTCACAATCACAACCAAATTCCGGCACCACTCCAGCTGATGAAGAAGAGGTTCTTTTACCTCCATTACCCGATGCTATCGAAGACTTGAAATCTCCTTTAAACGCCACTCCATTTTCCATTCCTAACTCGGCAAATATTGAAGATCTACATTCCACATCAACTTCTGTTCATGATACTACAAACAAGTTTCAAACTACAGATAACGGCAACGGCAACGGCAACGGCAACGACTACAACGAAGACAGGGACGATGATGCAAGCACCAACTACAGTATCAACTCCTCCGAGTTTAATCCAATATATCAAAATGGCAAGAGTTCTTACTCCAACTATGCATTGGATTCACCTACTTTTTTAATAGATCAGCAACACCAACAACAACATCAACAGCTGCAGTCACAGTCACAGACTATGCAATATTTCCCAACGCTTCTGAAACTGCACCAACACCCATCTAGCTCCAATCTAAGTGATTCAGCACTCTTGTCATCTGCTTTAGGTGGCTTATCTGGATCCAGTACCCAATTATCTGCACTAAACTCAAACAACAATAAAGTTTCACAAATAATGTCTTCCTCTTCAAACACTACTACACCAAATGAAAAGACCAGTCCTTTGAAACGTTTGAAGAATTTGAAGAATGGGATACGCAAGTTGTCGTTGGGAAGTAACTCAAGTCTGAATAGTGGAGCTGACACTCTTTTTAGTCTGAAACATATCAACGGCAACAGCAACAATAGCAACAAAAATGATCTCACATCATCAAGTTCCACCCCCGTAAACTCTAAACCTGGTGTTTTTTCAGCAATAAACTCAATCACAGCCAACCCATTCCCCACAAGACCACTGTTGAGTCCGTTGCAAACTGAAGATAGAAATGTACCTGTTACTGCCACTTCAACAGGAACGCCTGTAACAACACCAGGTAGTACCAAGTCGGTTCCTGCGTCAAATATGTTTACTAATAGCATTGCTGGCCAATTGAGTGGCCAATTTCAGCAACCGCCAGCACCACAACCACAAAGACAAAGCAGACACCAACACAACAATTCTTCGTCCTCAACATCAACTACATCTTCGTTGACCTCCTTGCTCCGTGCCAAACGATCTCGTGCTTGTAGTCAAGGTACAGGAAACGCAATATTCACACCAATTACCCCACCACCTTTATTGGCGTCACCAGTAATTACTTTCAGTGAAAATTTGCAATCTACAAAGGCAACATTGAACAACATTGAACAAAATTATTTCGATTGCTTGGCTGCGCAGACACAGACACAGACACAGAGTCAAGTTGCTCCTAGTGTTGCTTCTACCCCAACTACAACAGCAAGACCCACACGGACGTCTTCGTCGGTGTCGATGAACAAGTCCGTGTCTTCAACAGGGTCATATTTTACCACAACCGGTACAAAACATCATCAACAACAACATCAGCAGCAGCAGCAGCCACAGATGGCTTCATCCTCGACACAAGTCAACTCCATTGAAGAAATGACAACTGTTGAAGATTTGCTCAAGTACTCCGATTTCCTAACTAATCAAAAACACTCTATTGACGATGTTTTCCAAAAGACTAAGGAAAAATTGGATGCTTCTGGATGGTGTTCACAATATGACTTGCACAATTTGCAATTGCAACAAGATAGTTCACGATGTCAAATTGATACTTTGATTTTGAAAATTGAAGAACGGTTGAATCGCGATTTCAATTTTTCCATGTTGAATGGTGGTGGCGGTGGTGGAGATGCTCAAGGTAGAAACGACTAGAGAGAGAGAGAACCAACTTATCACATTCAACACTTTCATTTATCCCCCCCTTCATCCTTCTCCCTTATTTTTTTTAATGAGATTACGCTCCTTTTAACGATTATTTACACACTTTTATGAGCCAATTCTATTCTCAACATTAGAGGGAGAGATTACGCGTCCAAAAGTGTCTTTTCCTTTCCTTTCACGTACCCCCAATGTCTTACTTTCCTTTATTCTTTTGTTTTCTTTTTTTACATGTTATGAATTAGATAGATTATAGAGTAATTATAACGATTCATGAACTAAACAACAGCATTGTAGCCCAATGAAATAACCTCCAGAGACAAATGTAGAGCAAACTTGGATATTGTAGTTGGTGTTGTACTTGTCTACTCTTTTCGATTGGGAATTCCGATTGTTGGAAAAAATTGAGGCGGAATTGAGAGAGACAAACAATTGAAACTATACTGTAGTGTACAAACAATAGGGGGAAAGAAAAAAAAAAAAACAAAAGAAATTAGATTGACGAACATTGACGCCTGTCTTCTTAACGGAGAACAGCGATCTATTGTTCGTGGTGGGGCAGGGCGTATTTTTTTTTTTCATTTTTTTTTGTAATCTTTCTCTCTTGCGTTTCTTAGTTCTTGATCTGCAACTATGGTTAAATACTTTTTTTTTTCTTTGCGGGTGATATGGTTCCGCGTAATTGGACGGCACGACGACAGCTCAAGTCGGAATGTAAAGTTAATTGTAAAAGAGGATCCTGGCTAACGAGAAGAGGGGACCTAGATTTTTCTTTCGAAGTAACGTTCACTCTGCTACATTGTGTTTTCTCACATTTGATGTTATAAGGAGTGGAAGCGGATTTAGGGGGGGGGGAACACTGTCCGATTTGCTTTGCGATTAGGAGTCAGGAACAATCGATTGATTGTGTTTAATTAAATTTTGAAACACGCATGGAGACATTGTACAAAGTCACCACGACATTGACTGATTCTAGAACATCTTTGTCAATGCGTTTGTGAAGAGACGACACTGTTTCCCACAATAACAACAGTGTAAAACAAAGTTGATAAAAAAAAAAAGCGGGTGGCTTGCATAACAGAGAGACATAACAAAAAAAAAAAACACAACAAAAGACGAAAATCAGGTGAAAAAAAAAAGCGACATTGGATTTCTAGACATGCAAAGCACCACCACGTCTGTTCACATGGCTGCAATGCCTTCTTCCAAGGAAGCAACTCCAATCTAGACAACATCAATCCTTACGACTCCCTTTCCCCTTCTTCCCGTAACAATCCACTCACTCACAAAGCTAGAGCTTAAATAAATGTGTCGAAACATCAAGATCCAAATATACACACAAGGTATCAGAACGATTTTACAAAACAAATTGAAAAAAACATTCACGCATAGTTCAGTATGAGGTATCTATTTCGACAATGCTTTTTGATCTAGCAGTTCTTTTCCCCTCCACTCATTCATTCAATACTAAATGGTGCAGTGAATAGAATGCATTTCGTATCAAAGAGCAAAAAGAAGAAGAAGAAGAAGAAGAAGAAGAAGAAAAAGTGAAATTTTTTCTCTTCGTTGCGTACATTGTAAAGGATGCGAAAACTGATTTAACGAGGTCGTGCAGTTTGTCAAAAAAGCATGAGAAGTCTGCAGTTGAGATTGACGTTGCATTTAACGCTTCTATATGTCCAATTGTTACTTTAAATGCCAATTTTGGCACTCCTTTGCGGATGTATCTCCCCACGTCATTAACTTAGTGTACATGAGACCTACTCATTTTTATCATTTCTTGCACTAGACCTAATCCAGCTACGACTTATTGCATCTTTCAACCTTTTCTCCTGTTGGCTAGTCCAGGGCCCCATCGCCCAGAAATGCAGCAAGTTGCGAAACACAGGTGCAACTTTTGAGTTGAACAAGGGAAACGATATACCTTCATTTTGCGAATAACGACGTGGAAGGGTGTCGCTAATCTCTTTCCTGATCTCCTTCATTGATTTCTCTTCAAGCAAGTCCTTCACCTTTTGTTCTTCTCCATGTACATCACTCCCCCTTGGATTCACCATGGTAGTGCTGCTACTAGCCCTACTTTGTTGCTCCCATGGTCTCATTGTGACATCGATCGGAACCCAACGTTCTGAACTTCTCCAAACGTCAGACCCGATCATTTCCTTAATTCTTGAAACTGCCCGCTTGAATGCAAATTTTTCATCGTCACCAGTAAAAACTTTGATGTTGGCGAAATTGGATTTGGTCGTGTTGATTTTACTGGGCTCGTTATAGTGCTGCGTATCTTCTTTATCGTAGGATGCTATGTTTGGCCTGTACGGGTTTTCCATGGCTATGGATGTTTTAGCATACATCTCTTCGTCCTGTACCTCTAACCTGTCAATAACAGTGTCTGCACCTGTATGAAGTTTCAAATACGTTGTAAATTTCTCATCATCAATCTTGAGTGCATCGGGGAAAAATAGATAGTCGACCTCAACTTGTGACCTCATAAAGAATTGACACTTGGCTTCGTATATTGCATCCAACAATGTTATAAACCTTCGTGCTTCATTTTTCATCCTTGTCGTCATGATGGGCACATTGTCCAATACTATTGTCCGGTATTTGGACGCAATTGAGATGTAGTCAGAAGATGAAGTGAGCCCTTGACAAATTTCTGCAAAGTCGAGATAACATATGGAGTCGTTGTTGAATGTCAATGGAATACGGGTGGTTCGGTTGTAAACTGTAACCGAGGAAGGAGTACCCAAACTTGATAGCGGCTTATCCATGTCAAGAGACCCTTCAGTAATACTTAGGGCCTTAGATTTGATCAAACGATCCCACTCCTCCTCTTGCTCCGGGTTATCTTTTCGCACAACTAAGTGGGACTTTTCCAACGACTTGTTGGCAAAGTGCGTCCGATAGTCCTTGCCAGAATTAATGTCAATCGATATACATCTTGCATTCAAGATTCCCACAAAACTCTTGAACTTACCCTTGCTAAACTGTGCGGAATACAACTCCTCCGGCAATTTATTCGACGTTGCAACAAGAACACCACCAAGTTTAAAGTAAAACGTAAACAATATCTTGATTATATTGGCACTGGCAATATCAGGCAACACAAACTCGTCTAACATCAATATCGTATTTCTTTGGATCATTTTTTGCGCAATCTCATAGAGAATAAACTCATTTTCCATTTTGAATTCATGCATTTTCCAATCCATGGTTTTCAATCTTTGTTGTTGTATATTGTGTATTTCATTATACACATATAACATGAAATTATTATAGTGCCAACGCATCTTTGACGCGTGCGGTAGTGACGAAGCGAAAATGTCCATAAGCAACGATTTACCAGATCCAACGTCACCATTGACCAAAAGACCTTGAGGCGAGGGGAAATTGAGCAACGCCTCCTCGTCAGTTAGGAATCTCACCAACGATTGCTTTTCGCGTCCTGAATCCTTTTTCAAAAACCGCAACGGCGACTTGCTTCTCGTGTTTTGCTCCGCTTGTTTCAATTCAATCTGTCTCAATAATAAGCTCATCTTGATGGATAAATCCTCTGGTGGCACGTAATCAATAACGCGATGATATAGTTTTTGAAACTCTTTCATCACTCTGATTTGTGCTTCATCTCTTTCCAATATCCCCACGGTCACATAGGTCTGGTATATTTGATACGGATCCGTTATGGAGACAGATTGACTTGTGTTGATTGATGGGGGTTTATAGCTTGGGATTCTACCTTGCACACCTTGAACTCCACTGGTGGCCCACGTAGATGAGAAGCGCGTAATGAGAAGTGGTACTTTGCAACCATGTCTCAATGTCATGGTAGTTGATCAGTATACCGTAAGTTAGACCATCAACAAGAGTGACGAAAAATGCTTCTGTTTTTGTGTTGTTTTCATTAAGTAGCGAATGGAAATAAAGTTTCTGTATTTGCTGATAACTAGAACTTTGTTTGATTCTAACAAGGTCATTTCTATATTCTACCCTTCCAATACCAGGGCTCCAAGGAAAATTATGCAAAACATCCTACACGCGATAGTCTCGAATTACGTACAGCTGTGTTTATTTCCTCCTACACAGATTTTCTTTGTGTATACCTAGAGGGATACGAAAAAAAATTATCTAATCCATCAGTTACAGAGATCAACACGAATAAGAAAGTTCTCAAATACAACCTCGTTGCACATTATGTATTCCCTACAAACTCTATCTACTCCTTCTTCAACATTTGTGCAAACTTTTTGTCCAAAGAGTTGGATAATCCATTCATCTCCTCATCCGATCGTCCATACAACTCAAACCACCATTTCAAATCAGACGAATTGAAAAAGATGACTTCGTCATCTTCAGCATACGATTTGTTTAGAAATTCATTTGGTCGTGAGTTGAAATAATCCCAAATGGACACAGTCGACTCATAACATTTATGCACTTGTAGTAATTCGCGTTCGGAATCGCACAAGAAGGATCCATATTGACAAGAATAGTAATGATACAAAAGTCTCTTGAGAAACCTCGTGTTAAACTGAAACTTTGTAGGATGCTGACGAACGATTTGATAGACACAGTCTAAGAATTGGTGGAAAACGGGCGAACGCTCGTTGCTTCCACCATAGATGCTAGATGATGACGATGATGATGAGTAAAATCGTTTGTCGGTATTGGATTCAGGTGAGCCAGTGCGATGTCCATTGGGGTAGCTGGACAATCCATTTTGAGCGCTATTTTTGATATCACGAGCAGCCCTGGCTGCTTTTTGCAAGAAGGAAGTGACACTCGCTGCTGCCCCACTTGCCGCACCGGAAACTTCATTAGCCAACGTATTTTCCAATTGCAAGCTGTCAATTGATATCTCGGATGATTGCTCATCAGTCCTGTTACTGTTACTGTTACTGTTACTGTTACTGTTACTGTTACCATTGCCGTTGCCGTTGCCGTTACTATTAACGTTGCCAGATTGAGGTGGCTGATGCTTCTTGGACTCCTTCTTCATAACTGCGCCAATGCAACCACCATGATCAGCTCTCGTATTGAACTTGAACCCAAAGCTAACCCATTCTTTTTCAATCAACACCATGAATCCCTTCAAAGTCCTGTAATACGGGTCTAGACACAATTGCGCCAATGCAGAAACCTGTGAGGTTCGATCCCACCCATCAGAACAGTGAATAATCACATTTGTATTATTTAGGTGAACTGATTTGGTTATTCTATCAACTGATTGCAAGATTATGGAAAGGCGGGTCAACCACTGTGTCTTTGTTAGTGCATTTTGTAAAGTTGCTGCAGCGGATGTATTTTGCTGCTGATTGGGATCAGTTGGTTGTTGAAATCGATCGAGGTCATTCAAAATCGTGGTCAACTTCGTAAGTGAGTCTCGCACCACATGGATGTTATCAATATTGCTAAATATCTTGTCAACTTGGCGTGGACTTTTAGAAGAATGGGCATTGCTCTCGTCATCATTGGCATCATTACTTCGACTCTTTTTGTTCTTGTAGTTGTCTACGTTTTCCGTCCCTGCACCCAACGCATGCTGTGCCATTGCATTTGTTACCGGTCGCAAGTCAACTAGAAGGTTACGTTGCATTTGCTGTGACTGGTAATCGGTAATGTCACCAGACTGCTCCATCTTCAAGCGTCTAGCACGCTCAGCATCTTGACAGTGGAAAATCTCTCCAATCAACTTTTCATCCTGAATGGATCGATTTTGCAAATTCAACCCCACCAATGGTTGAGCACACCTAGCAATAACATTTCCGTTGATATTGGATCGGTGTTTATACACCACTGCTGGTATTCTTTGTTTCGATCTAAATTTTGCTGCATGTTTCAATACATTATCCGATATGGAGTTCGGCACTATTAGTATTCGAGGGTAAGATGGACAAAACTTGTACTCTGCATTGACCTCACTTACTCTCCAGTACTTGTCATCTGCATTGCTTGAAATCAACCCTAGCCTGGTGTACTCCGCCACTGGGTCATATATATCCCAACCTCTAACATCCAATTCTTTTTCCAAGTTGTTTGGAACATATGAGTATGCATATAGTGCCTTGATGTCGTTTTCAGTTTTCACAGTAGTGGCCAATGAACTCATTTTGTTAAACACTTGGGTGCATATTAAATCATTCTTGAAATCAAATGAAAAGTAGGTAAAATCCTTACATTGTAACCTGATATTTGAAGCACTATAGTTATCAAAACCTTCAACCTGAGGAGCCACAGGCTGTGGCTGAGGTGAAGGGGAGTTGGATGTCGCTGCAGATGATGAATTTATCGCCGATGATATTCGATACTCGAGGCTGGAAGTGTTTGATCCTGCGGTATTATTGTTTAGCCATGTTGATCCTCTAGATTTTGCAATCCTTTCGATTATAGGGTAACATATCCATATTTCCTTCTGCTGTGCTTGAGTAGCTGATGACGAGGAGGTGTGCTTTTGATTTGTTGTGAATGTAAATACAAGGTGGTGAGAAGACAAGATCAAAGTTCCCAAGATGTAGGACCCTCGCCTGCTTAACACAACATCATGTACCGTGAAGATATTTTCCATGGATGGTTATGCAAGTAGGTAATATGCGTGGTACGAGCAGTGAGCGCAGATTTGAAATTGTGGTTGTGGCATATTGATAAGCAAACTCGTTCGACGCACTTACCAGAACAAAAATTTTGTGAGTGAACAGTACAAGTTGCAAAAATGCATAGTGTCTATACTACACAACCTACTAAAATACGATCCCCTAGAGCCCTTCAAACCTTCGTATACCGTGTTCGTGCTTCTGCATGTTTCTTATTTGCTTGGTGGTGAGCTTCTTTTCTTTTGTCTTTTGTTTCTTCAGTTGTGGCTGAGATGTGTCATTCTCTGTACCATCGTGTTTTGTGAGCTTGTTGATATCAATGGCTTTGGTTTTAGGTTTGGTGATAAGCTCGGAAAAGTCCCTCCTTTTACGTTTGTAAGCAGGAGGTATATCTTTTGTATCTTCATCCACATCATCACCATCTTCTGATAGCTCTTCTACATCATCTACCTCACTGCCCTCATTTGCATCATTGTCATCCTCGTCCTCCAGGTCAAGTCCAGAATCACCGCTGGTTAAGACTTCACTCATAGAAGATCCAGACCCATTCTCACTATCACTGAGGTTGTCGTCACTATCATCACCCTCATCGACATCATCAGTCTCCTTATTTGACCATAGCTTTAATCTATCCATTCCAGCACTTATCAATCGATACTCAAAATCAATATCCAACATACTAACTTCATCAACAGGTCCGTATTTCCCCAGTACTGTGGAGTGTACTCGAGTTTCAACGACCTTCCCTCTTTTATAATTGATGCGATGAAGCAAACCATCGCTATCTCCACACCAAACTGAGTGGGCTAACTCCTCCGAATCGTTGTTCATTGTGGGCACAATTGCGTCAATCGATGCTGTTTTGTTGATTTTGATACGTGACAACTGATCCATTAGGTTATTTTTAGAATTTCTCCAAATGGTAACAATTCCTTCCCCATGGCTAACCAACACAGTGTCAGCTTTGCCGTCTCCCAATTCATCAGTAGTGTACGACATCGCCAACAATTCGTCCTCTTGGTCATCGGATTGAGTTATGATCCCCTTTCTGATATCAATATGAGCCAAGGTGGTTGAGCCGAGTGTAAGATAATGGTAAGGTGACTGAGACATCAGCAAAATATGATTGATAGAGTCATCGTGTACTTGACTAACTTTGAACTTGAGTTTATTTGAAGACAAGTCTGTCGAATCATATACAAACACGTGTCCGTCCTCGCTGCCCGCCAACAAAAACGGATGACTTGTCGAATGGCACAATCTGGTGAGTTTATCTTTCGAATTGTCATAGTTACTCGTGACATCTACTTTACCAACAACTTTGCCCAGGTCGGTGGCTGCCTTTTTGATAATGTTGTCTGACCCACAAGTGTACACAAATTCCCCCAATGAATTGTTTCTGGGATCAAAGATGGCGTGTCTGCACGATCCCTTGTGCCGTTTTGTCTTCCAATCAGTCGTGATATTTGTTTGAGCTTCTGGAGCGTCGTTAGGATACTCCTCAACAGACGTCCACCACTTGGTTTTCAGTTGTGACACTGATTTTGTGACATGTGGGATTTTGCCCTCTGCATAAGCACGTTTGTCAAGCTCGGCAACCTTTTCCCGTCTCGATTCCATCTCCTCTTCTAGCTTTGATGCATCGTAAGTGTTGCAAAACAAATGTCCCGTTCCAAGTCCAGAAATGAATATTGGCCTTGTGGGATGTGCAGCTACTGTGAACAATGGGTCTTTGTAGCCAATCTCAAGAATCGGTGCCACAGAAGATTCCATTGATTGAGCAGCACTGGCTGAATTTGACTTTTTCTTTCCCATGTTGGAAGAGGGGCACTCGTGGCAAGATGGTCTCTATGATCAATGAGTACAGTTTTTTTTTTTTTTTTTTTTTTTTTTTTTTTTTTTTTTTTGTTTTTGCTTTTTCCTCCCCGCCATCTCTGCTCAATTTTTCAGCACGAGAATTGAGATGAGAATAAACATGGGCAAGAAGACAGCAAGTACATAATGTTTGCGATAGACTGTCTTACTAAACCAATCAAGGAGGTGATTATTTGACACAGAGAGTGCAGCTATTGACACTTTTCAAATGAGGTTGTAGATATATGGTAAAAGATATCAAAGACAACGCTCTCAAAAACTCCTAGCTACGAGTTCAAAACAGTTGTAAATTCTTTCCTTTTGGTCTCAATTATGTTTTCCAATTCTTCAATCCTTAAGTAGTAGACCTCATTTGCCAAGCCCTCCGTATTGTCCACGTTGTATTTATCCAATAGTTTACGATACAACTCTTTCAACTGATTGAGAGTGTTGATCTTAATAGTCTTATGCTGTAGTTGTGTCGACACGTGGTTCTTCCATTCAAGGAGTATATTTTCAAAAGTGTTTTGATCAATTGATTCCAATTCTTGCATGGTTTGGACCTTATTTGTATGTAGGAGTTGAGAAAGGAGGAGTACGTCACGTAAGTTGTACAGACTTGGATTGGTTACTTGTGAGTGACTCATTTGCAGTAGATGAAACCAAGTGGGATATGCTCTATGAATGATGTCGGCGTGGGGAGGACAAAAGAGTTGGTGCAGTATGTGGTGGTCGGTTTTTATTTTTTTATTTTTATTTTTAATTTTTTTTTAAGATCGCGTATCGATATATTGTAAAGCTTTACAAAAAGCCGTTTATTTAATCAATTAATTTATACAGAAACACAAACTATAAAACAGTGCCTACTGATCAATACAATAAACGAGTGGCAATCTTGTATGGTGTTTGTTCTAGCTGTTCATACAACGCCTTGATATCGCTGATATCAACGTCCGAAATATCTGCCATCAAGTAGGCAATATCTCCTTGCGAATCACTGAATTGCTTCTCGATATTGTGATTTGACAAGATATTGTTGACGGTTTTCAAAACACCTGGAACATTGTGGTGAATGTATAATACTCTGACGACGTTCTGTTGGTCCAAATCCAAAGGTCTCAATGAGACTTCTGGGAAATTGACTGCACTTTGTGAAGTACCTTCATTGATATACTTGGTCAATGCATTCGCAACCTCTACACCAATGGCAGATTGTGCTTCTTCAGTTGATCCACCAATGTGTGGAGTCAAAATAACGTTTCTCAAGGAGGTCAATTGACTAGCAAAGTCATTCAACTCATCGCTGAACAAACCTTCACCATTCTTGGCGGGCTCATGTGGATAAACATCCAATGCAGCACCAGCAATCTTTCCGGCTTGCATGGCTTGCACCAATGCTGGAATATCCACAACTGTTCCTCTAGATGCATTGATTACGTATGCACCATCCTTCATGGCAGCAAACTGTGGTGCACTCAACAAATTTTTGGTTTCGGCAGTGGCCGGAACATGCAAAGTGACAAAGTCAGCTCTTTGCAATAATTCATCCAAAGTTGCCACTTGTTTAGAATTACCCAACGACATAATTGTCAAGGTATCGTAGTAGATAACATTCATACCCATGGCTTCGGCCAAGACCGACAACTGTGATCCAATATGACCATAACCCACAATACCCAAGGTCTTACCTCTGATTTCCCAACATTTGGCACTGACTTTGTTCCATGTTCCAGTGTGCATTTCAATTGATCTGTCTCCCAATTGTCTTGCCAAGGTGATGATTTCAGCAATTACCAACTCAGCAACTGATCTTGAGTTGGAAAATGGAGAATTGAAAACAGCAACACCGGATTTGGCAGCGAAATCCAAATCAACTTGGTTGGTACCAATACAGAAGCATCCAATAACCACTAGATTTTTGGCATGTTTCAAGATTTTTTCAGTCAATTTGGTTTTTGATCTAATACCAATGGCATGAACATCCTTGATTTTCTCCAACAATTCTTCTTCTGGTAATGAGGATTTGTAAAATTCAACTTGGTACCCCTGTCCTTTAAAAATGTTGATGGCAGTTTGGTTCACATTCTCCAACAATAGTATTTTGATGTCACCGGTAGAAAATGGTTTCAACACCTTGGTAGGCTTGGAAGGGACGTACTGGCTCAAATAAGATTGAGTTGGGGAAGTCGAGACAGCGTTTGGTGAACCGGAAATGTTCAAAGCAGTCTTGACTGTATTTGCAATATCTTGAGGATTCGTCATACTTGGCTGGGCTGAAATTGGATAGTAATGGGAAAGCAATGAATTGGTTAAAGTTTTGGTTTATATACTCCGGTAGCTAATTGACTAATAGTAAAAGGATAAATACTTTTCAAAATGATTGAAGAAATTGAAAAAATAAAAAAACAAAAGAAAAAAAAAAAAAAACCTTTATCCGACGTGAATTTGGTGATGACGACGACGATGATAATGATGATGATGATGCAACGTGCAAAAAAGTGAGTGAGTCAACATAGACAAACAATATACAATTAAAAGGCAAAAAGAAAACAAGAAAAAAAGAAAAAAAGAAAAAAAAAAAAAGAAATTGAAAATTGCAATTTCCGATTCAGGCTTGTATAGATGCACGTGACATTACATCTTTTTTTATATATTGTAATGGTGTAATTAATTAATTGCTATTCGTGTGGAAACAGGTCGTTTACTTGTTGATCTATGTGAGAGTGTCGAGTACCCGACCCAAAGGCATCTTGGATGTACTTCAGAACTTATAGCATCTAGTAACAGAGCTCCTGTCCCTCGTATGCAAAGATAAGATAAGAGACATTAAAGTTGTACAATCATAATGATTTGACTCCGATAGATATTTGACTTCTCTGAATCAAGCCGCACACGAATACTTTGACCAAACTGAGGTGAAAAATTATATATAGACCACAGTACAGCAAGTAGTAGTCTTGTATAAAGTGGTCTCTTACGGCGCAGTTGTTAATGGAGAAGAACAGATTCCTTTCTAGTTACTCTGTTCAAAGTGCCTTCCTTTTCTGTCTGAATAAACATTTTTTTTTTCATCAACTCTGTAGATCTACAGATAACGTTGAGAATGCATGGGTCGTACACTTCCATCGTGACACAGACCGCCATCTTATCGAGAAGCATATATGAGGAGGCTGAACAGTTAGTCGGTCATTACAAGATAAATTACATATGTTAACCGCGTAGGCTATTTTTGGTTGGAAAAATAAAAATCTGTAAAACATAAACATGACACTTGGCAGTCCTACCAGTCCACCATTTAACAAAAACAAAATATGCCTACTACAATTCCATCCATCACAGCAAAGGTCAACGAGAGTCAGGTGAATGAAGATATACGTAGACGAGATCAAAAAATAGACGAGTTGGAGAGTGAAATCTTGCAACTAAAAGTGCAACAGTTGAAGCACGATCATGAGGAAGATAAGAAATTGTTTACATTGGAGAACTCATTACATAATATCAATAGCAAGTTGACTGAAGTGGAGATGGTTAACATTGACTTGCGTAACCAGCTAACTCTTTGTCAAAACATCATTGAAAAGAAGAACGAAGAGGTCAAAAAGTTGCAGCTGGCACTTAAAGATCAACAATCGCTAATAGCTAGAGAGACACTCATTTTTCAGCACAAGTTAGACGCACTTCAACAAGAAATCAATCGAGTAAGCGAAGCTAGAGTGACCCATACTGCAAAAAGAGAAAGTTCCAATCTCGAACAAAAGCGAAATCTGTTGCGTGAAGAAGTGGAGAAACGAGACAGAGATAAATTGGCTGGTACTTATTTACACTCAGAACTTTGAGATGTGGTTCGCCTGATGTTGATTGAGTTGCTACCTACACTACATGCAGCTATTGGTTCAGAGTACTTAGGCGACACTACATGTGGATCTCCTCACTCAACCTTGTTGTCAACATATTTTCAATAGAACTTTGGCAAAAGGAAAATTTCCAATCACTAGCTTCCAAAAGCATATCCAACAAAACACAGTTCAGCCACTTTGGCAGCAAACAACAATTATACCATTATGAGACCATTATTCGAGGCCGCGAGTGTCGTGCTAACAATCATGCACATTGTATACGCATTCATCAAGGAAGAGCATACATTATTCAGCCATAATTCGGAAGAGATCCACTCTTGGGTATTCGATAATGAGAGGCATTTAGTTTCGTCAAAGCTATGGAGAGAATTGGAGGACACACCAGAGGAGTTCAACACAACCACAATATACTTGAACGAAAGCAAGCAAATACTTATACTATCATCAACAAACCCTTTGACCTTTTATGAGTTTGAAGCTGGGGATCCAAACACATTTTCAGATATCGTGGCTTTAACCGGCTGTCTACGTATGGTGAATAATACTTCAAGTATAACTCATATTGACGCTCAAGGATTCTCTCTTTCCACTCCTCCAGGAATAAGTTTTGGGGTTTCATTGTTGTTGGTAAGCTTGGCCAGCGATTATGGGCTTGATGGGTTGGGTACGAAACTCTATATGAGCAACACAGTTATCTGCCGATCAGGTTCTGGAGAAACAATTCAGATTCAAACAAGGTTAAAGTTTATATCGTTTCCGAAAGCAAGATTGAAAAAGATTATTTGGAACAAAAAGAGAAGGACAAAGTCCTTTGTGAAGAAATTGAAGGGTATTTTTCACCGAAATGACTCAGATGGAGAAGTTAGTGTTGCCAGTTTCGGCACTTGGACAGAAGGCAAATGGGCAGATATCTATACGTTGTACAAGTACAAAAAGTTGGGATTGTTGTTCTTCAACTTGAGCGAACTAAAACATGCCAAACCGTTTTGTGAGAGCAGACCCGAATACCTACAATGCCTGGTTTTGAATAGATGATAAAGGGAATTTTTGTGTTACTTGAGAGACGCTAAATGCTGTAAATAAAAAAAAAAAAAAATACTATGCCAGTAATTGTCAATTTGTTTTGTTGTCACTCCAACCACATGGCACAGAACTTTTACAATTGTCTCACGGAAAAATTATAATCTACTTTGTTATGCTTGTATTTGTATATTTACTAAACTGGTTTGGCCCTTTGATGCTTGGAGTTTTTATGTGGTTACTCCATCCGCTCCGCCCCTCCCAAATATAAACAGGTATGCACGTTCTACAGTTATTGACATTAGTGTGTGGTTTCTATGTGGGAGGCTCTATCGGATACCAAGACTTTTCAAATGCAGAGGAAAGACACATAACCCGCGACATTGACGGGGAAGAGATCCATTCTTGGTATTTTTACGATGAGGAACATTTGAGACATTCACAATTGTGGGAGGATATGACCCACGGACTGGGAGACTTCAATGAAACGGTGATCCATTTCAACAAAACCAATCAAACGTTAGTACTTACACTGACTGATCCACCCACGTTTTATCAAGTTGACCTTGAATTGATTGGAATATTTGCCGAGGATGATGCCACTGAGTTGGACAGACTTCTTCCGTTAAATGAGACTGCCACTATGCTAAAGATGGATGCAAGGGAACACATTCTAAAATTTCCGTCACCAATGAGTGAAAATGCCATCCTTACGAGTTTACTAATGAGCTATGGAATTGATGACTTTTCAGTCGCTGACTTTCCAAATGGAACCATATCAATTGACGTAGATGATCAATTTGAAGACGAGTTTGAAATGCAAGCCAAAAAGTTGTTGAAGCTACTTTTGCTCCCCCTTAAGCTATTGAAGAAGTTGTTGCTACTCATCAAGTTTCTCATTTGTCTACCTTTCCTCATCATCAAAAAAATTATTCTTCTTCCTTTCCTATTAATCAAGAAGGTTATCATGTTGTTGAAAAAGAAGGTTTTGATTTCGATCAAAATGAAGGTTAAAGCAGTGGTTGTGAAAGTTAAAGATACCGCACTGGATGTGGCAGAGAAGACAGTTGATGTGACTGTGGTTGTTATTGTACTGATCAAAAAAGTGGTGATTGAAACCGCTGCTAAAGCTGACTACGATGTAAAGAAAGTTGCAGCGAAGGTTATAATGACAAAAGATAAAATCGTTGATAAGGCCATGATGGAGAAGATTAAAATAAATGACAAGGTCGATGAAAAAGTAGGTCATGCGTTGATGAAGGCTGAGCGAACGAAGGAGAAATATTTTGGTGGGTGAGAAGAGATAATCACGTGGACTAACCAATGCTATTCTGAACTTTACAAAGGCTAACACAAGACAAATAGCAGGTAACAGCATGGATCAAGACAACAACCTTCCTATCTTTTGCGTTCACTCTAAACCAAAGGAACTTTTCTCATTTTGTGTTTTATTTATTTGCGGCAATTTTTTTTGTGATGCCAGCACAAAACTACCTCAATTAGGTAACAGATTATTTTTCTTTTTTTTTTTATTTTTTTGATATGCTTAGAGATCTTTGTTATGCCGGTAGTATAAAGCTTCGACTTTGTTTATGTATTTTATGGAGCAAAGAGACGTCTATTTTGACTTACAGCTGACTTTTTCTTTTGTTTTTGTTTTTTTTTTTTATTTTCTAGCCTTTCATTTTATGTCTCAACAATAGAAGCATAGACACCCACTACTTCCACCTCCCCTCCCCCGCTCACGACGAAATGCAATTGAAATATCTACTTGTCACGTTGACAACTTTGGTCGGGGCAGCAGTTAGTACCGAAATTTACACTATTTCCAACACCACTGATGTCAAGAGTCTCTTTTACCCCATTGAGGAGGAACATATGGTTCATGAATTTGAGCAGCTGGAGGAAATCCATTCGTGGAAATTTTACAATTATCAACATTTTCAATCATCGCAATTGTGGCAGGAGTTGGATGCGTCTTCGGGAGTGGAGACTGAGTTTAATCAGACTGTGGTGCATTTGATTGAGAGTAATGAGACTTTGATTCTTTCTTCGTTGAGTCCTGTTACTTTTTTCGAGTTTGAAATTGATTCGTTTTTGAGTCATGGAAAATTGGGTGCAAATGCAAATTCATCGGTGGATTGGTTTGGCGAGGATGATGATGGTGGTGGTATCGATGACGAGTTGGATTTGGACCAAGAGGCTGCCGCTATTTCGGGTAAAGAAAGAGGATTTGGAGGCGGGGCTTTAAGTGGCGACGATGATGAAGATGAAAGGGCCACCATGATTATCCAATTTGATCCAGATGGTGAAATTCTCAAGCGTGCTTCCCCCAATACGGCTATCAATTTGTTTTTGGTTAGTTTATTTGTTGAATCTGGAGCTGATGGGGTCAAGAGTATGGTTGAGAATGATGATACGATTTTTATTGTTCCTAGTAAAGATGGCGATGTTCAATTTGAAGCACAAGGGATTTTGAAATTGATTATTCTTCCAATTCTCAAGTTGAAGAAGTTGATTTGGATCATTGAAAAGAAGACCATTGCATTGTTGATCAAGCTTAAAGAATTGACGGCTGCGATATTGAAAAAGACAAAGAGGGTTATCATTTTGTTTACAATCAAGACTAAATTGGTCATATTGAAGACGTTGTTTCTTATTAAACAAAAGGTTAAGAAGGCTAAATTATTGGTTGAGATTGTGGCGATTGTGACGAAGGAGAAGACAAAGTATAAGATTAAAAAGACATTGATGATTATAGCCATGTTGAAGGAGAAGGCAAAGGATAAGGTGCGTAATACGAAGGAGGCTTTGAGAGCGGCAAAGGACAAGTTAAAGAAAGGGAGTGGGGACTGGAGTGATAGTGATTGAGGTTTGGTTTCAAAGCGGTATAGTTTAATTAAAGTGAAAATATTTTATATAAAATACAAAGTGAAATGTGAATCGAAGTTACTCAAGAGTGAAGGTTATCCATGGTTTAGGCATGACATACAGCAGTGTGCAATACAACCAATTCCAATACTGCAGTTGATCCATTTTCCAAAACGGTGTTTGTAGTTATGGTTTCTGTTGAGTAATCACCTTCTGGGACTTGGGTTGGAATGACAATAACACTGTTTCCGGTAGCAAGGGCAGTTGAAGTAGCATCAGATGGGGATGTAGCGGCTGGAGCAGCACCGGAAGAAGGAGAAGAGGAGACTTCCCCACTTGAAGAAGATTCATTTGGTTGGGATGTGGTTGACGAAGATTGAGCTTCTCCTGTTTCTTGGGCAACAGATGATGGTGGTGGGCCAGAGGTGGTGGAAATCGATGAGGAGGTCGATTCGACAGTTGGTACACTGCTGCTTGACCCTTGGTCAGTAGGAGTGGTGTCAGTGGCTGTGGTACTGCCTTGGTCTGTTGAGGTAGCTTCAGCATTGGCAAGAGTCGTAGTTTGGGTATAAATGGTGGTGGTAGTCAAAACACCTGCTTCGTTAGTCCAGATGTACACAACACCATTTTCTTCAACCACTTGTGGTACAGTGGTGGTGGCAGTGGCTTGTGGAGTAACAGTAACAACAGTGGTTCCGTCGTAGGATGTAGTGTCTCCATCCGCAGCGTGTACTTTGGATAATAATGCACCCAATGTGAGTAGGAGCAAAGCATTTATTCTAGTTGAAACCATTTTGCAACCTCTGTTTGTTTGTTTGTTTGTTCAATTAGTGAAAGTGATGGCGGAAATCCGTATTTGGCCAACAATTGAAACAGTTGAAACACGGTGGTGGGGTTTACTCTTGAGTGGTGGTGCTTCTCTTAAATCTGATGAACGATTGTGAGGTTTGCGCTTGGTTGCAAAACAATAACGTCAAAACAGAATTTGATGAATGGAGGAGAAAACGGTTTACGAGTTGGAAGTACGGGACAATATGAGAGAGGAGGATTATGCAATGCTTTTATATATTATTGTGTTGCCATGGGTTAAAATACAGGTGGAAAGAGTACTCTGATTATATTTTTGCTGGTTATGGCTAAATGCGGATATTTTGTGAGTCGCGAAGTTTAAAGTTGTTGTACTACAGTACTTTGGTTTATTTTTTTATTATTATTTATTATTTTTTTCTTGTGTATGTGTATGTGTATGTGTGCATATAATCAGTTGTTGATGTGTTAAAATGCACAGAAACGCCTAGATGTAACGGAAGAAGAAGCTGGTTTGCTTACACAAAGGCCCTCGATATAAACCAATATTGCCAGTTTAGTTGAAATTTAGTTAGCCAGTGTTGTTGTGGTAGTAGCATGCTCTGTTGACAAGTTGAAAGATTTTAAGCTCATAACCTTTTTTGTTTTTGTAAACAATGCCCAACAAATGGAAGTGAGGAGCAAAAGTTGACCACCACAGTTCATGACAGCTACCGAAAAAGGTATATGTACCAAAAAGATACAAAATATAGGTGAGAAGAGAGATAGCTTGCATCTGCCGTACATGGTAATGACAGTACAACAAGACTAATATGTGTCAAACTCCTAAAGACCTCTGTTGCAGTATTACGTAATATATTATGTAATAGTCAGATTGTTTTTATTTTTCGAGTTTGTGTTGATTTTCTAGGAGACAGTGCAAAAAAAGAAAGCCAGCCACGTTTTTTGTCTATTTTTTTTTTTAGCTTCCTTTGAGGTGTGGAACACTGTGCTAGTGGATAGATCTTTTGTTTGCCTGTGTCTTCATTCAACTAGGGCTTTAGTTTACACAGCTGCTTTGCAATACCAACTCCATTCAATATAATAGAAGAAAGTGAAGCAAGTTTGTCTTCCATCAGCAAGGCTGTTCATTGCATATCGGTAAATTTGGACATCAAGCGATATTCTTCTGATCTTGTATCTCTACTAGACATTGCAAGTAAACATCTGTTATGGTGCGAGGCCACGGTTTGAGACAAACGGCAACGTTCCCATCGCAACCTCATCCGATCTTTTTTTTGTTTTTTTTTTTCCTTCGTTTTTACACTCTTGACATGAAGAAAGTTTTTTGGAAGCAACGTTTTGTGTCTCTGTTCCCAAAACAGATGTGGAGTTTCTGGAATAGGAACTTAACTCCAGCTACATATTCACCGCATGCTTCTATTGAATTGTCAGTGAGAGCACTATTAAAGTTACGAATGTCGTAAACGTTCTTTCCTTTGTTTATCGTGCTACAAACTAATGTAACAATGCTGACAAACATTGTCCTCGGACCGGATAAAGCTGCTGTAAGTACTCATTTCAGGAACCATATCCACAGCCTGATTACCAGCACAATTGAGCAACACTCTCAGGCCAAAGGAGAACAAGACTCAGCATATATGCAATTTTGTTTTGTGAAGAAGAAAGTTACTAGAGCTCTTGGACTATGAAGCTACCTTTTTTTTTTTTCGATTGCACTGTCCATTAAACATCGCAAGGATATTCATAGTGGAGTGAATCGTTTTTGTAGTGAGTAATAATAATGAAGAATATGATGAAAACTACCATTAGCGGGCGTAGACCACATGCGTGGGCTCGAAAATTGTAGAGTTTTGCGGATATAAGTCCTTCAAACTCGTCTCCATGGCTCATAACCTTTTCCAAACATAACAAATAAAAAAAAAAAATAAATAGAAAATAAAAATTTTGAAAATAACGCGTGAAGTTAATTCCTTTTTATTTTACTTTTCTTAAGTAGACTCATTACATAGTATAAGCCAGACAACAGGTTCACTCTCTGCCTCGCTTACGTCCTCTGTTTAGTTTCTTAGGTATTAATAAACACACCATTCAGTCCACTCTACTGAAGGTGCCTGTCGCTTTCGGTGCTTTTCTTGACATGTCCAGGCATCTCTCGTATATTTATGACTTCTCTCTTCGTTCATCGCAACTTTACGATAGTTTACACAAAAGCAGTTGCGTACACACTAATTTGATCAAACCACCAGCACCCACAACATTGCATTCAAAGTAGGTGAAATCGTGTCCTGTATGCTTCATCAACTAGTGATTGTGTAAGACTGTTGATTGTCGGCACGTAGTTTGAATCTGAACGTTACTTAGATAAACTCGTCGAACGTGGGCTTAGTCTTAAAGGGAAGCTCGCATACACAAGAAACATCTCCTGATAGCCCGTTTCAGGAAAGGTGCAGCGACTGCAACAGCTTAGTAAAGTCTGTATCTTCTAGTTTGTATACTGATGGCACTAACTACTTTGTGGCTTGTAGCAAGTTAATGTGTATACATGAGTGCAAAATGCAGTTCCAGTTACGCGTATAATAGCCAGCGTCTTCCCAGTTGAAAAAAAAAAGAGCATGAGCTTGCTTTTGGCCCACAAGCGAAAGCGTCAAAGTGTGATCTATACAGTTTCGTGCCATTTCCAGAGTGCAAAGGAAACAAAGGTTTGTTTGTCGAATTTATACTCAACGACGCTGTGATTTCATTTTTTTTTTTTTCAACCTGTCTAAACATTGATAAAATCTACTTGGGCAAAGGAATCTTGATCGCAGTTGCTCAGCTACAGCATTAATACGATCCACGCATCAATGCAATACTCGAGAAAGCTATACACGTTGACCATAAATACTCGATTTCTATGATTTCCACTCTGTATGTGGAGAGTAAATAGTGCTATTCAACTCCACAAGTCGTGATTGGTATTGCTTTGTAACTTGTGAGAGACGTAGATGAAGTTGGCCTTAGCATGCATTGCAGAGACTAAGTGCTGGGGGGTATTTTACTATGTACCAAAGGCGAGATACTACAAACATTATTAGATTTTACATACACATCGTACATATAAACTTTAATTTCCTAGTGAAAGCATTTTGGAATCATTTGCAACTCCGCATCTTCGTAAATCCTTTTAAACAACACATTCAACTTTCTTTCCCCCCTCTAGCAGTGCCACAGTGTATGTTCCCGGTTGCAAATCCCAAGAGCTCCTCCAGTTGCTGCAGTGTTTTTCTTTGAATTCCATTGTGTTTGTTAACCAATGCAGTCCCACTACAGCAAAGGACAAAGTTGGACTACACGTCTTGTAAGCATCCAATTTGTTTGTTTCTTCATCATAATCAATCAATTCAGCGTCCCACCAATGTATACTTGCTAGAGGAGAGCTTTAAAATAGAGCACCAACATTGGATTGTTTATAATATTTGTTACCATACGTTGTTGATATAACAAGCATTTATAAGGTGTCGTGAGAAAGAAGGTTAAGTTTATAAGGACCAGGCTTACCACCATAGGCAAAATGGTAAAGTTCAGAAGTACAAATGCTCAACAATCTCAACCTGGGGAATGTGCAATTGAGATATTTCTTGAAATACCATGCAAAACTATTGTAGGATTCCAAACATAATTCTTGAATGTACCTAGTTTCCAAAACATCCTCAACTTAAAAAATCTAAATTCAAAGTGTCCTTGGAATACTTGATGGGTTCATGCCACCTGATATACACTTTTTGCAACGGCAAGGTAATTTTCATGTCAACTCCTCTAACGTCAATGCCGTGTGTAATGTAAAATGTCATGTACAATTCAGTTAGAGTTGACACCTCGTTGATCAGCTCAAGGTCCCTATAACCATTGTAGACGTCCAATTTCAAACACATCACACTATCATTCCGCGGCAAGTTCAGCAACAACACAATGTCCAATTCGTGAAAGTCGTAATCACAATCATTATACTCCAATTTTCTGGTGTAGTTTTTGTTTCCACAAACAGCAGAGTAGTGGTTTAGTGGTTTAGACTTCAAATCCACGGTAGTTTTATCTGTGGCCCTATCCCCATCATAGCCTCTGCAAATCACACTAAAGTACTCGATATTCTTCAAGTGCTTAGCAATTTCCCACTCAAATCCCTTTGGCATTTCTGAAATCTGGAGTAAGTGAATCGTTTCCTTTGCATCCATCTTCAGCATGTGTTCTTTAAAGTTGTTGAATGACAACACAATAGTTAATTTGTTGGTTTTGATGTTATTTATATACTTGTGAAAATTAAATGGCTTGAGTTGTGTATATTTCTCCCTTGTAAGACGATTATCCTGCAATGGCTCTGAAAGATAAACATGAATGCAACGGTATAGTTTTGACTTTATGTGTTTTGCAAACTTGGAATTTAAAGTGGCCAACCGCAACGATTGATATTGGTTAAATTTGACAAGAATGTTCTTCTATAGTATGTCTTCCCAGTTGATCAATGAAGTAAGAATTGAAATAGTGTCAGACATTGCTATGGTTGTTTGCTATGGCTGTCCATGTTCTGTACAATATCTCTTGGTATCCCTTCTGTTTTATACTGCTTTATTTACTTCATGGTAGCAAGTGTGTTTAAACTTTCTCGTGCATACATGTCAGCACAGACACGTATCAAAGAATGTGCAATTATGCAATAGTTTCAGCTTAACACTGTACCTGCCTCTACTGCAGTTATATGTTTTTGGAAATTTTGGTTATAAATTTGTTGCAAACTTGTTGGCAAAATTGTGGCAGTTTCTGCACTCTCATTTCTATCCACGAGTTTGTAGTGCACATTTTTCTAAGTTCACCATAATCTACTGCAAATGTTCTTCCATCGGATAACTCTAGTAACTGACTTTATCATTACGTAGACAATTGGCAAAGTTCTGTTTTAAACCTCGTGTAAAGCTCCAGCAAGATGGCAGTTCCCCCTTTTTTGTTTTTTGTTTTTTGTTTTTTTATTTTTTTATTTTTTATGCGGGGAGGAAAGGGGAGCAAAAATTGAATACGCAGCGTAGGAATCTGCGTAAGCATGCAGAGTACACGGATATTTTGACATGATTACAACTATGGTTGCAATGGCTTTAGAGCAAAGTAGAGGGATAAGCGTTTGTCTCAATTGCAATTAGTTTAAAACTATCAATGCTTGCATATGTTTGTCTTTACACGGAATATCTCCACGTTTCACATTTTGAATGGCGCACTCAAGTTCAAGAAATGTGCCCGGACGTACGAGAACTTACCAGAACAAGGCTAGCCTTAGTTGAAAATTACGATTTTTTTTCTTTTTTTTTTCAATATTTACAACATAAGAAGTTGTGTGAGCCGAGTCTTCTCTTTGGTTCATGTGATTTGTAGTTTAATTTCAATATTGCGAAGACTGAGAGGTGATTGCCCGAGGCACAAACCTATTTCCAGAGTTGTATATTGTGGCAAGTGTGTGCGGTGCATGTTAAAAACGGCATGTATACTTTGGAGCCCTCCATTCCCCCCGAAGAATAAGACGCAATGCAGGATCTCGAGGAGGGGAGTGGGGAGGGGCAATGCTGGTAATCAAAATAGTCTGGGTCTCCGAGCACTTTAAGTTTGAGCATAAGGTCGGCTCGATAATTGCATACCTCGTAACTGTTTGAACTCCTAAAGAGCAAAATTGTTTTGTTGTTTTGTCTAGATTCAAGGCTAATTTTAGACAAAACAATATAGTACAAAATAAGTAGTGCACTAAAACCCAAAATGTCTCACAATTGTTAATATACGAGTCAGACAAAAAAAGAAGAGTAACAGTAAACTACGCCACAATAATATGTGAAAGGTACAGATTAAAACAGTCAAGAAAGTACAGGGTGAACAAAAATTTGTGAGAAGAGTAGCTTGCTGACTGATATGGCTAGCCCTGCTTTTTGACCCGTCAATTAAATCAAGAAAGCAGAGAGAGAGAAGTCTACTTTTACACCGAATCGATAATATTATGTACGTAGTGGGCACAAATTGCCAGACACAAAAAGAAAACCTAGAAGACAAACATGACAAAAAATAAAAGAACGGAGATCAGTATGTCTCAGATCCATTTTGGAGAATATATGTTTGTTTCTTTTGGTACCTCAGTAGTATGGAGGGGATCAAATGCCCGAGAACCTAAACGCAGCTCTTGTTTGGTGGAAGGTATGTTACTGAAACGATTGAAGGTTGAGCTTGCTGTGAAGATGCAGTTATTACAGTTTTACAAATATTGAGAAATAAGCTTCGTCTAATTTTGTATGTCCAAGAAAGTATGGACATAAAATAGCTTAAACAAATAGGTTATTAGATAAACGTACACAGGGTATATTATAACTTGTGACTTTTTTGTGTTTCTCATATTTGTTGCATATTAGTCTTGGATTTTTGTTCACAGGTACACACACGCACACACACACACTCTCTCTCTATATATATATATATTCTTTTCCCAAAAAGCTTTGTTATGTTTACTGTGAGTTATGTTTAGTGCGTGTATGTGTATGTGTGTGTGTGTGTGTGTGTGTGACGTTCGTTTTTTAAAGTTTATTTTATAAATACGTATTACTTTATTATTCAAAGGCGAATTCTCAATAAGAAAACAGTCACACACAACAACAAACTAAACACACAAACTTGTAATCAACAGCAACCCCACTCTCTATTTACAACAGTAAGAGTGAAGTGGGGAAGATGTATATATTCTGAATCACCTTGCTATTCGTAGTTAGCTACTACCGCAACTACTACTACCCACACCTTGATCGTAGTGGTGTACCTTGGTGAACAGGGGGTGTAAAATATTATTAGCCACAAGCACACTACTCTCATGCATGATTTAAACTTTTTTGTCTTTCAAAAATAACAATAGACAATAAACTAAATTACACAATTCATAATTTTTTGTAGGGTGTGTTATATAATATGCGTATAAGAGATATTTATATATATCTCGGTATTGTAATTTCCTATGAAGCCAATGAATTCCAATTCTTCTTCAAATCATCATCTTCATCTTCTTCTTCTTCAAAAACTACATTCTATCAATCTCACTCCATTACATAACTCAGCAAGACTCTGTTTACAGACTGATAGAGAGAAAGGCTCAGACGCGCGGAGTTTTAAAATCCACACACACGCACACACACGATTTGTTACGACTCGTTATAGGACAAAATCCCGCATTCGCATTTGATAAGAAGCACTTTTTGTATCAATCACACCACACCACCGCCACACACACATAACAACTGTACACACACACACACACACACACACACACACACACACACACCCACACTTCACTGAAAGCAACAGCTGTTTTAAACACCATAAACCATCCTCGACCTTCCTCTTTTCTTTCGTCATCAATTAAAAGCACAAGTACTCCAGATAAAGGACTGAATACACCCTACATAAACACACATAGACCGATTATTTTCTATACACAGGAAATAGATACACACACATACATACACATACACGTAAACGTACAAATTGGCAGCCCTGTGCTCCAACTGAAAACTTCAAACTTTTACAACAGCAACAGGGCTTTGCAAAATACCAACCACAACGCATTACACTTGAGTCTCACATTTTCACAACTTTAAGAAGTCTCCGTCATGACAACAAATTATCAATCTTTGTTTAGACATTACCTTCACCACCTTCCCCTACATGAGCAGCATGAAGGTGATGCGCCCACGGATAATACTACAGAGGAGGCTCAGATTATTGCTCATAAGTTGGACGTTCCGGAATTTTCCAACCTTCACCACAATGTTGCACAAAATATCCCCTCACAAGGCTTCCATCTTGATAATGATTTAGATCCGAAGCACAAGACTCCATCAACGGCCGCTGACTTTCAGAGCTCTGCCAAGCTTTCACCCACATCAAATAAATTTGGTCTCTCCAATGTGCCGGAGACATTTGATTACAATGATGAGGCTTTTTCATACAGGACGAACTATTTGGCGACCACAATGTTCAATGCAGATGTTGATAATGAGCCACACAATTTACAAACTTTAGATTACTCCAACGGTTTGAAGGCTGATTTTAGAATGCAACACCCACATTTTTCCGATTCTTCAAGCATGAATTTGGATTTACCACATCCAATAGATAGCCACTTCCATAGTGTTCATGGTGACAACATCATAAGCAACAACAATAACAAAACTAGGCATCTACGCCACAATTCAGCCCCAAACTTTCTACAAAATGATCAGTTTACAGATGAAATGGGATTGGGAGTTACTACAGCAATACCCACAACAAATGATCTCAACTACAAACATAGCCACCATGAGGAAGAGGTGGCAAGCAATGTGTCTACCAACTCCTTGAATCAATATTTTGCCACACCAAATTCATCAATTAGCTCAGCATCGTCTAGTACTTTGGCAACAAATTACCATGCTGCAGGATCAGCAATGAGTACAGACAAAGACTTGATGGGTGAAGGGTCTTTTCAGTCGCAAATACCTCTGGTGCCTCTCCAGCCGCATACCAATGCCATGGTTGACAAACAAGTAAGGAAGCACTCCAGTACCATTCCAGTTGATCAGTTGACTTCGTTGACTTTGCAAAATTCTCGCAATAATCTGCTTCTTGGCCCTTCCAGAAAGCCATCGCTTACTTCCCTAGACATTGACCAAATGCAACAACAGCAACAGCAGCAACTTGAAGCGCAAGCAAATGCCGCAAACCTGTCACACCCTGATTTCACTCAGAGTATGACTACCAAGAACCCCTCACTGTTTTTCATGAACCCAACCTCGAACTTGGTCAACTTAGACGCAAACACTTTGGCTTTATCGGCAGCGGCAGCTGCAGCTGTGTGTGCCGACTCGGTGACTAACTTCAACACTTCAGTGGGCGATAACGATGGCGCACTTGATTTACAGCAACAGCAACAGCAACAGCACGAGGGGACAGTGAACCCAAGCCAGTTGTTTTCGCCCAAAAAGTTAACTACCTCATTCAGCACTCCTAGCTTATCTTCAATGGTTGGGGTCAAAAGGAATGGGCTTCAACATTTTGAACAAAATGTCAGCATTTCACCTTCTCAATTGCATTTGAATGATTCACCCATCCTGCCAAACAATTTACCAGTGGTATCACAGCTTGGTTCCGCCACGTTTCCCTCGCTACATAACAGAAGCTTGTCCACGTCCTTTGTTGAATACAAATTGAATGAGGGTGGTCAAAAGATCAATGACGTTGATCTTGTTAGTTCAGATTTTGATGCCTCTGGGATATCAAAATTGGAAAACACAATAAGAAGCAATGGTGTCTCCAATTGGGCAATTGGTAAAAAGAGGTCCTACTCGCATGCAAGTGGAATGCACAGGAGTCGAAATAGCTCGAGAAGGAACTCATGGCAAACCTTGCCAAAGGGAAAGCAATATGCTGGGGTTTCACTTCAACAACAAGATCACTTTGCCCGTGCGGTATCGCAACAATTGGAGGAGTTGCAAGAGCAACAACAGAATGGGCAACAACAGGGTGGACAAACATTACCAAATTACATGCAAAATCCACTAGTTGAAGGGGACAACGTGTCGTTGCAACTCTCCCCTACTGCAGTACCATTTGCCAATGACCATATTGAGAGTTACAATACAACTGATACTGCTAGTTCTAGTTTGCAGACGAAAACCAGGAGAAAGAGCTCTGTCTCCAAGTCTGGCTCCAAGTCTGGCTCCCAAACGCAACAACGTTTTGTAAAGAAGCAATTGAACAAGGAGATCGCAAGTCAACAACAACAACAACAACAACAACAACAACAACAACAACAACAGCAAGAGTCACTCGACAGAAAGCTGACTCTAAAATTAACATCTCCTGCAAACCTCAATGCAGTAAATACAAAGGATGCCAGTTTTTCTTTTGTCCCGTCCAAGCTGGGTAATATTGATCACACCAATAACGAATCAAGTACACTTTCAAGTTTGCCGGAGATTGAAGCAAAGGGACTTCTTTCTGCACCAGTTGTGCCCAATGAAAATGGANACAACAACAACAACAACAACAACAACAACAACAACAACAACAACAGCAAGAGTCACTCGACAGAAAGCTGACTCTAAAATTAACATCTCCTGCAAACCTCAATGCAGTAAATACAAAGGATGCCAGTTTTTCTTTTGTCCCGTCCAAGCTGGGTAATATTGATCACACCAATAACGAATCAAGTACACTTTCAAGTTTGCCGGAGAATGAAGCAAAGGGACTTCTTTCTGCACCAGTTGTGCCCAATGAAAATGGATGTTTTTCATGTTCGGAATGTGACAAGCAATTTAAACGTACAGAGCATCTCAAGCGTCATATCAGGTCTGTACATTCAAACATTAGACCATATCACTGCCAATATTGTGAACGTAAGTTCTCGCGACTGGATAACTTGGCACAGCATGTCAAAACACATTTCAAAGTTGATTGCACTGGTAAAACAAGTATCATTCATGGTGATCCCGGTGCACATAATAGAAAGCAAAGGAGGAAGAAGAAGCTGGGCAATTGATGAAGGATGTTACAGGAGGACTTTATGACGGATAATTGGAATGGGGACTCCATATTGAGCAGGCTCAATGCAAATTAAGGTGAAAACTTTAGTGACAGATATATCACTTTACAAAGTACCAAGAACTAGGTGGTTAGCAAGTGCTGGTCATTTGAAATTCAATGCCGCTATTGGTGCAAGTTCAACCAGGTTTAGATAAACTATCAATAGTATACATGTTTTGTATCTTATTATACGTGAAGTGTCGACATGCTTTAACCTTTTTTGAGAAGTTGGTTACCAATATTTGGTAAGCTACAAATAAAAGCCAATGAACAACAACAGCCACAAGTTTGTGCTCTGGTTGGATTGGAGTCTGCTAAATAGAACCTATAGTTGATGATAGAATGTAGTACATAATGGCTACCTCTCTTGATTAGATGTCTTTATAAACCTTTACAGAAGAGTAGTTGTTAAACCTCCCCCGTCTACTAAATCTATAAACGAAGAAAGAAATCTTCTGTATCTTTTGTCAAGTTGCGATAAGTACAACAGACTCACCATTCAACGCACCCATTACGCTTACTTCGTAATCAGACCATAAGTTTCCTCATCCTACATGATACATATTGAAGCGAAGTCGTGTCAACAGGGCCAATGTTGTTTAGCAGTCTATAGAGCGGGTAGTAAGTGGTAGCCTCGAAATCTGATTCGACTTTTTTTTTTTTAAAAAAAAAAATATTTTTATTTCCGCTCTCTCCAAACTTTTAAACATGGGGAAGGAAAAGAGTAAACACGGAATCACGGGGAATCATCAGACCACAACTCGATCAGTAGTCTGGTGAACTAAATTAGCTTTGGCCATATCATAACCCACGTAAAATCACCAGGAAAGTATGAACGTCTTATCAGCTGAAAGGTTAGTACGATTGGCATACAAGTACCCCGCATTGCTGAACACATGGTACTTGATCGCAACAGCTTGTTTAACCGTTGTTAATCAGCCCCAAGAGATTCCCAAACTTTATCACTTTGCGCTACGCCAGCAGCTATTGGTAAATCCAACCTCAAAGGAGGCATCATCGACAAGTCTTTTGACGGAACCAAGCTTGATCAAGTTGGCCCAGGATTCAATCAACTCCGCCAAGCAGTTTCAAGACATGTCTGCTGTGGGTGTTAATCTCCCTGATGTTTTGATTCCACACTCATACTACAAGGAGTTCCCCTTGCAGTTCAAATACTCAAAGCATGTGGATATCATTGCCATGCAAGACCAGCTCACTGCAAGATTTAGAGAGGTGATTTTGAAAAGTATCGCATTGAGTGGATTGCCCAAAGCTATTAACGCATTGATGATACTCAAGACAGTCACTCCCACTAACTTGAAAAGCGGACTTACTCCCGAGCGTCCTAGGATTGTGAGCCCTGGTCATATCCCCTCAGCATCAATAGTCAGTGAGGATGTGTATGGAACCAAATTTGATAAAGAGGACGATACAGTGGACACCATAGATGGTCCAATAAGTGAGCTGTCGATTCACCCCCAACAGATTGCATCCGATTTGGTGCGAGGATCTGAATTCTGGAGTCGCGTCTACTCCAAGATCAGCAACAGGGTCAAGAATCAAATGTTGACAGCGTACCCGGATTTGTGGTATCATGCTTTCCACCATGTCTATGCACCTTTGTTGAGTTACACAAAGATAATTTCAGGGAAAGAGACTTCATTGTGTGTTGTTGCATGCTTGATCCCACAAGATGTCAACCCTCAATTGAAGGGCCATTTGAGAGGTGCGTTGAATAATGGTGCCACAAAGGAGGAATTGGATAATGTCAGGTCAATGGTGTTTGATATTTGCGATTGGACAGGAGGAATCCAATGGAAAGGAGGAAAAGAATCCGTAGCGAAGTTGTAATCACGTCTTTGAGAGGTATTTTGTATAGTTGTGTAATAAAGTATAGATCCCATATTATGAATAGAAACATGCCCCAGAGCCTGTCTCTGTTTGACTTTCTCCCCAAAGGTGAGCTATGTTATGTTGTGTTTGGAACAGCTGGAGGACTTTACAGTTCATGGTCCACAAAATCAGATGCGGATAAAAATATTCCGAGGTTAAAATGTCAGAAACAAATGTGAATGGAGTTTAGAGAAAATCAAAAGTGCAACTAGAATAGTTGCCAACAGTCAACCGTCCCCTGATTCATTCCTAAATTGCACAAATGGCCTTGCTCGATGCCAAGAGGCTACTCAGGTTAGCTTATCACTACCCGAGACTACAGAATACTTGGTACTTGATTGCAACTGCGGCTTTACTCGAGTTGAATCTTGTTGAGGAAATACCGGCAATATTACATTTTGCACTTCGACAACAATTGCTTGAATTCAGCAGTGACGAAGACAGAGTCGTCAATAATGAATACATGATAAAATTGGCAAATGACTCTATTGAATCGAGCAGGAGATCCATCAAGCTCAATTCGATTGGTGTCAAAGTCCCAGATGTATTGATCCCTGGCACTTACTACAAACTTATTCCTTTAAACTACAAGTACACCCGCGGGGAAGACATACAGAGGAAACAACAGTTTATTGTAAAGGCAATGTGTGAGGTTATTTTAAAGTTGAGTGCTCTTTGTGGACTTCCAAAAGCAATCAATGGATTAACCGTCTTGAAAGCAGCTACGCCCGCGAGGTTTGCACAGATAAGTACTGCGAGACCCAATGAGATCAAGACCACACAAGATGCTTCCAACGCTAAAAACACAATCGATGGACCTATTTCTTCCGTCTCGATTGATACCGCTAGAGTAAAGTCTAATCTACTCAGAGGTTCATCATTTTGGAACACAATTTTTTCAAACAAAATCAACCAGAGAATCAGAAATCAAATGGTTGACGCGTACCCAGACTTGTGGTACTATACATACCAGCATATATACTCGCCCTTGTTGAGTTACACTGATATATTGACGGCGAAAAAGACGTCTTTGGTTATGATTGCATGTTTAATACCCCAACATGTGGAGCCGCAATTGAAGGGACATTTGACCGGGGCCATAAACAATGGGGCCTCAAGGGGAGAGATTCTGAGTACCAAAGAGCTAGTTTCGGAGATTTGTCTGTGGCAAGAGGTGCCAATTGCAGAGAACGTTGTTGCCAAACTTTGATGAGCATCCTACTACAAAAATGAGTATACGTTTTTTTATATTTATTTTCATCGTTTTATTTAATCAAATCGAAATCCTGGATGGATGTTGTAGTTGCCGTTTAGTTGGCCGTGAATACCCCTCCCATCACAATTTGATCTTGTTTTGCCTTTTGATTAGAAGTATTTGTAAACCGCAAAAGACGAAAAATGCCAAGTATACAAAAACACCACCAAATACGGTGTTTGCAACAGCTTTACCATCCTCTGGGTCATTGATGGAGCCCATGAAAGATTCACTGTTTGTGTTAAACAAGTAGCCTATTATTGACAATATGACAATACCGAATGATGATAGTATGAAGCAACAATAGGCTTGGAATGTGGATACTACTGGCTTCATGGCGGGAATAATGGTGCAAATGATGATTTCCTTTTTTTTTTTCTTGTACTAAAAAAGATCCGATTATATGCAACAGGTAAATAATCACTGAAGTGTCGTGGTGTGCACTTGTACTGTAGTCAATGACTTTGTTGGTGAATGGTGCTGAAGTGTTGAACTTATTCTTGTTTGAAGTTGTATACAGGAACAATTTTTGTGCAGTCAATTATTCCTAGGTTCTTGTCCACAAGTTGAGGAGATCAAAATACAGCTACAAATGAAAGAGAATGGAATTCCCTCTGAAAAACTGCTCTCATCAGTAACTTATCAAAACTATAGTGCTATTTTGGTACTGTATAAGCTAAGACAACTGCATATGCATGACGCGTCCAGAATATGTAAACCACCTACGACGTAGCAGCTTTTCTCCGTTTCATTGCTTGAATGGCCCTATAAGTATCCTTTAGATCATTTAGTTTCTCAGCAACAACAATCAAGCTCTTGAACCAGTCAATTTCAACTTGTTGGTAACTATTCAAATTGTCTTTCTCCAGGTCACTATTACCCAATTCATTTTGTAGATCTGTGTATTGAGACATATGTTCGAGTGCAGATTCACAAGTCTCGATTGTGTTCTCGCGTGATTGGCGAGTTGGGAGTGCTTCAGATGTGTTTGGCGAGTTGTCAGCTACCGGTGCATCGATTGAAGCTTCTAGCGCCACAGGCTCAGGGCTCGGTGCGGCTGACTGTGGCATCGGTGATGATGGGGATAACGAGGAGGGCGAGCCAGGTGTAGATGATCTATATTTTGAGGGGGACGATGGATGGAGAGTACTGGTAGAGGACACAATGGATGATGATGTGTCTGGTCTAGTCCATAAGCTACCGTCCAGTTTTCGCTTCGGCGTACTTTCGACTGACTGTTCATTAAGAACGGTTTCTGGGGCTCTCGCGCTAGTAACTATATGCGAAGCTGCATGCGCAAGTGTTGACAAGATTCCATCTTTCTGTCTCCCTTCATCGTTTTCTGGTGCAACGATGGATTGCTTTATATCAGGCAAAACATTTGCAGTTGGATGAGTTGTTTTACTGGTTCTCGCTCCAGGCGGATATCGCACTGTAACGTACTTTACTTCTTTTTCTTTTAATTCATCGTCTTTCTCTCTAGTAATTGAATTTCGGACTTCACTATCGCCTAAACTCGAATCAGATGATGCTTGACTTTGTATACGGTTCCCCTGTGGTACGGAACCCGCAAGATCTACTTGCACGTTATTCTCTGTCAAAGAGTAGTCGGGTGTCGATATTGACGCATTTGATAATTCGGTATCAGTCTCCTTATCCGGCTTGGCAATCGGCTTCTGATCTTGAAGAGATTCCGATGTTCTGGACTCAAGTGCACCTTGATACTTTTCTTTGTTGTAATTGAATGAAACGATGTTACTCCGATCATGCTCTATACCTGGTCTAGTCGCACTTCCAGAGCCCCCCGCATTGTTGATCCCTGATCTTGAACTGGAAAGGGTTGCAGTCAATGGTACCTCTTCCGCGTAGGAGGACAGGTTTGGCTTCAACAATGAAGGACCGGGCGTATCACCTCTCAATGTGCCAGACTCAATTTCCAGACTCACTGACAGTGACTCCTCTAGTGATGGTTTTGACCGCTTAACCTTAAGAGCGTCAAGATACAAATTTTTATTGTAGGTGAATGAAACTGTCCAATCGTACCTGGGCAGTCCCACAAAATTATAATATTTTTTAATCAATTTGAAAAGTTCAGACCTAGGCCGGAGCGTCACTTGCTCAGTTGGTTGTGTTTCATTTTGATTACTTTCTGCCATAGTGTCGGTCAGTGGGAAACTGGATGATTGAACCTGTTTCTGTAGGTTCACAGTGCTACTCGACGTGACCGAGCTAGCGCTCGTCAGATGTGCGGGAGAACTTTTGAGTGTTTGGGCTTTTGTAGCCCTTTCATACTTTTGCCTATTGTATTTCAATGACACGAACATGGCGGTACGTGTTCCACTGGATTGTCCACGATGCTGTCAGAGTATAGGTCTAACTTCAATTGCAACTCACCAAAAAATTCGGATCAAAAAAGTTGCCAAAAAAAAAATAAAAAAAAAAAAAAAGAAAACCATGATTCCGCACGAGGCTAAAAAGAAGCAAGGGGAGCCACTTGATCAACATTCCAATTCGAGTCATCCACTACACCGCTGACTTTCTCTCACTTGTTGTTTACTTCGAGCTAGTAGGGACCCCTACACTATGACTACTACACTGATTGCGCTGACCGAAGTAAATGCTCCATTAACTCAAGCGGCAGAGAACGTTGCCAATCTAATAGAATCATTCATCGAATTGGGTATTCTAGTTCATGACAATCAAGGAACGCCTCAATCGAATAATGTATTGTCCAACAAGATCCAAACGCTAGCATCCCAATTGAAGGCGGTTTCTAATAGTGAGGATTTGAGTGACAAATTGATCCCCGTCGATGTGGTGTCATATATCGAGGATGGTAGAAATCCTGATATCTATACAAGAGAGTTTGTGGAAGTAACGGCAAAACTGAATGCCAAACTCAAAGGAAAGATGCAAGGGTTTAGCAAGCTAGGAGATGTTTTAAGTGTTAAATTAGCCCAAGAATATCCGAGATTGAAACCGGAGCTTGAAGATGTGGAGAACAGAACTATTTCTGAGATTTGAGTGGACGAAAAAGCTGAAGATGTGTCGTTGTCAAAGCTCTTAATGAAAGGTGCTTCACTGGTCTATGGAAAGGGAAGCTATTCACAAACGCTGAGCTATTTTTACTCAGGTCGATGCAGATGGCGTTGTCTCATCTCCTTACAGCTTAATCACTGCCGCATATTATGAATTCATATACTGCACGAAAACCAAATTCAAATAATCGTTTCGAGAATGCCCAGTATTGTGATGCAAGAGTTTAGATATGACTGTTGCGGGAATTTGTACCGTAAATGGGTTTATGGAAGAAAATCTGGAACAACATATTGTTATCTGTATAATTACGAGATTGTCAACAAGAAGCACTAGCAATTTTCAATATACTGCTAGCTGTGACTATAGCGGCTACTGATCTGCACGAATTAGGAAATGGTTCACATGGTGGGAATGAGGTGAATGTTTGGTTCTTAAAAGCCGCCACTGACGAGTATCCATATGGCATTTTTTGTAGCTCCAGCACTTGTGCGCTTACTCAAACCCCATAACAAGCTTTGCATCGAGTTTGGATACGATCACAATTTGCTCAAGTAATATATACGACTGTTAGTCTCTTAATCTTTGATGATTCTTTTAAAAATAAGTGTAGAGTAATCAAAGTCTCTGAGCTTTAGATTGGCCATATCGTCTCAATGCTACTATAAACGGTCCTGCATTCCTGGTTAGCGGAAATTTTAGCCTACGAATAACGAATGAGTGACGGCAAAGTTATCTCCCATCCAGCAACATCAAAAGACAAAGAGGAAAGAGAAGAAAGAGAGATAAACGACAATAGAGACATAGAGGATCCCAGAACAGCAGGAGGGTTAGAAAAAAACGATATCAAATCATGGAAAGATATGAAAATGGTAATGCAAAAAGAAATTGCTGTAGCAAATTTGAACTTCAAAGTTTTAACAACTCAGACTAGTCTCAACAAGACTTCCAACAGGAATGTGACGTCTCTTCATTGAACTGTCATTGACCAACAGATTTAACTTCACACGCACACACAGACGATGCCTCACTTCACTAACTCATCAGTCTTGACACGAACCCTTAAAACTTTCTCCCTGTATTATTCACTCCACTGCAATCACCCCTCCTTGGGTCCAGATACCAGTTGGCCAGACCAGCACCCTTCACGCAACTTGGAACAAAGCAGTGTCATTAAACAGGTTCAAAAGGATGACATACATCGCTTCATTTGTTTTCGGTACTTGTAATCGACTTTATGACAACGGCTAAAGTGCTTTTCAAATGCACCAGTCAACAGAATTGAGTCTTCTTCAGCTGTGTTTCAACTTGTCATCACCAAGCTTATAAGCCATTGTGGAACGAGGATCCTTGCGACACGTCTCAAAGACAGTGCGTTTAACCAAGGATTGCCAGTTTCTTGTTCCAGCGGAATGGTCCAGCACTTGATCAACGGACTTAAACATGCACAACTCTTCTCAACTTGACTCAATTCGCACCATCTGTAACTCTTTCATTGTCGATTATATTCTCCATACCAGTATATTTCATCTTGAGCGATGTAATCGGCAAAAGGAACGTATCCGTTCTGTTCATCTTCTGGTTCGTCGAGGTATGACAGTGATATGTAACTAGATTCATTGTCAAATTGAGGCACAAATAAATTCCTCCAAGGACCCACCACGTTTTGTACAACTTCACGTTCATGATTGGATCTTGCTTCATCTTGTACACCGTAACTTTCATAATTGTTAGTCTCCGCTTCATATTGTACACTTTGTCTCCTTTGACTTTCATAGTTACGTGTTTCGTCATTGACTGCTGGAAATAAAATGTTTGCCCATTCTCCTGTATCTCTTGATTCACGTACAGGAGCTTGCGGTTCCTCCACAATGGATTCCTCCACCATTGTTTCGGTCTTGTTTTCTGTCATCTTCATAGACCTGTGAAACAACTTACCAAGCAACTTTTGCCTTCTCTTTGGTAATAATTCTGGAGGTATTTGATCCCATCGAGGTGAATTGACAGACAGCGTAGCATCTTCTGGGACAACTGGTTCATCTTTTGACCGCGGCTGTTCATTCACCGCCTCATTGGCATTGACGTTCTTGCCCTTTTTGTGAAGCAATTTGCGCACACCTTTTGCTGGCTTCAGATCTCTTGCCTTGGTGACACATTTTTCAAATAACTTACCAATCTTGTGTGTCTTTTTTGGCTTCAAGTTGGGTTCTGTTACCATTTCATTAATTGGGTAAAAGCGCAGCTCGACTCTTTGCAGTTCATGGTGCACCATCTCCACAACTGGTTCATGCTCTATCTCCCCAATTGGAACAAAGCGCAGGACAACCTTTTCGGCTCTCACTTCATTTTTAGCCTTCTTACCACGCTTCCGAAGTATCTTGCTGATCCATTTCGGAGTTTGCTTTGGTTTCGAATCACTGGGTGGTTTCAGGTTGCTATCTCTTGGTTGAAAACACAGAGCTCTTCTTTCCTCTGCTGGAGCAGAATGGTGAACCACTGTTGGAAACACACCATTTAATGTAAATTGAGCCTTGTTAGATGCATATGCTTGAGCAGACTCATCTTCCTGTTGAGGTGGATCAAAATGAGTTGTTGCTTGTCTTTTATCCTCTAACTTGTTTCCATGTGTGGTTTTAAATTTGTTCCTATCATTGTTGAAAACGTTGAAAATGCTATTGACGCTACTTCTGTTGTTGTTGTTGGTGTTGATAGGATTTGAAAGTTCATAATTTTGTAATGCTGTGTGATAGATAGTCGGGGTTTGACTAGAATGGATATCCAGGGTACCAACTTGGATGTTTCTGCTTGGTGTTTGGGTGGTTAATGGGTCAGAAACATTCTCTTTATCTTCGTAGTGTGATTGCAATGTTGGTTCAATGATGATTCTTCCTGGACAGTCTAAAATGATGGGATTTCCTGGTTGATAGTTTGGCACAATGGAATCGATATCAGCATTGGGTTTGAACTTGACTTGAAATAACGTATTGAAAGCTGAACTGCTCAATGAAACAACTGGAGCATCGTTGTTGGCTTGAGCGGAAGAAAGCATTTTGTAAGTAGATGCTAAAATGCTTTGGAATGGTTGGAATTGGTTGAAGGGAAAAGAGGTTCAAGAGGTGTAAATTTTTTTTTGCAATTATTTGGGAACCCTTTTTTATAGTCTGCAAAAAAATATCAAAAAAAATAACATAGATGGTTCCAAATGTATTATCTTGCACACATAAAATTAGTTCCATACTGGGACGTTATTATTGTATCCTTGCTGCATGCTATTTGTACATCTTGTATTGATATGGCCAGTGTTTTAGGCCATCCAGTTGATATAACATCGGGTTCTGTGCACATCGTTAGTTATGTGCTGTAATGTATGGGGCAATCCACAAAATGTAGATCACACCTGCGTAGGCATCATTACGTATCTGTCGTGGTACATGTGCAGCAACCCCCCAAATATCTCCTGCTCAAAATGCTGCGTTCTCTGTCTAGGTTCAATCAGGAATCAGTGATACACTTCTAAATCAGCTTTGACATGAACCAGAAATTGTAGGAGAGTTTCATGTAGCCACTGGGTCTCATATGCTCTGTGTATAGATCACAAGCCTGTGGGAATGCATTGATGGGTCCAATTCCCAATCAATGAGCACATTTAAACCGATTAGGACACAGATTGGTAAACGGAACAATGACATAGCAATATCTTGAAAAAGCAGTCCACAGAAGTTAATTCGGCTCTGAGAATTCACCTATATGAGCATGCACTGGAGTAATTCTGAATTCCTAACCCTATAAGTGCACTCCTTATGAGGAAAAAGTGTTCAACCAATTTATACTAGTTTTGATGAGTGTTGTTAGTGAATGAGACTCATATTCAATATAATCAATGTCGGTTTTCGATGCTATCAAATTCAAGGTCAGCATGCCGTTGTTTGTGTGTGGTGTGGTACAGTAAAAGACACGGAATCGCTTCGAGCATTGCTACATAAAATAAATGAGGGGAAGATGGTAGTGTCATGGAGTATCTAATTCAGAATTTTTTTAGTAGTTCATCTGGAGTTGGGATGTTACAGGTGCATTTCATTAAACCAAATGGCATTACAGACCACTCGAACAGGTCCTAATGGAGCTACTCAAAATTACATTTCCCCTGTTTCAGTCTTCTCAAGCGGCCATTGTTCGGGACGAAGACATGAGGTTGCTACCTGTACAAGGGCATGATCTGTGTGCTCTATATACTTTGATTCTTCTTCATGGTAAAAAGTAAACGGGAAGACTAAAGATTCAAAAGTCCAGAGAACTACATGGCGATCATTCCTTGATCCTAGTCCCAGCTTCAAATCCTGTTGCAAGACGGAATTTTAGTGCGACCTTTGATGAAATTGGGGGATCATGGGAAAGGAATGATTGTTGTGTCCTTTGGATTTCTTGGAGTTGGCAAAGGCGATATTTGACCAAGCGGTCGTCATGATCAAAGTGTGTGCTCGATGTCTTTATCGCTTATTATCTCGAATCGATGATATTCGTGGACCACAGTATTTCTTGAAAAAGTTGGTGTCTGGTGGCTAGTCTCATTTGTCATTGTGGTCAACCGGTAAAAAAAGGTAATGTCGGGGATTAGGCGTACGCATAAGTTGTAATGAATGAATGATTTGTATTTATTGCAAAAGATGATCTACTGTAGTCTCCACTCTATTGCATCATCTTGGCACTTGACGCGAATAAAGGATGTTATCCCAATTCTCATACTTTTTACTAAAGGATGACAATGCATCATTTAGACTTACTCATTATGCTCTAATCTAGTGCTCTAAACACCTCCATCACTATTCTGTCATCACGGTTTCAGTATACTTCCCTTCGTACAACAACGAACTCATAACGCCAGGCAAGACCTCAACTTGTAAAGCTTCAACGGGGAAACTCTCTCCATCAACGGAAATGTAATGATTCTCGGTACTTCCCAACCTGGGCACCAACCGATACGACTTGATCTTGGCATGAATCAACTTGTCATGATTGACATGTGTTCCCTTTTCAACATTCAACATAATTGATACAATGTCAGCTATCGATGAGCTTGTATCTGTGATAACCATATCCATGTGTCCGTCATCTGGTAATGCGGCGGGGAAAAATTGTGCATCAGCTGATACATAAGGCATGTTTCCCACGTAAAAGACATTGAGGTTGTTTGTTATGGACTGTGGCATGTGCTTCCAATGGGATGGCACTGGTTGGTCCAATGGTGGTTGACGCAATTGCAATTTGTCCCTTGTCAATACCGGTAAAGCAGCGTGTTTGCCATTGTCGCTATTATTTCGATTGTTTGTATTTGCCAAGTGCAGTTCGACATGTTGAGCAATCTGTGATTTGTCCTCTGTCCATACTTCAATGTACACATCACATGGGTATTTTGAAAATGTAAATACTTTTTGCATGACACCAATTTCAAATCGAATAGGACCCAACCATCTTAAATGCTCAGTCCCAATATCGGAATCCGCCACAATGCCATAACATTGAGATAAGAATGATAGTTTCGTAACCTGTGAAGGACCTTTACCTTGAGTAACCGCCATCAAATCCAATTTACTTGGTTTTGATTTAAGCATTAACCAAGTTGCAACTTGCGCAACACGCAACCCTCCCAACGTACTCAAACAGAGAGCATTTCCCGACCCGCATGGTAATTGCGTCACTATCAACTTGTTGAATGCAGCAACTCCATTGTCATTTCGTTGATAGAACCCATTGATCACCTCATGAGGTATTCCATCGCCAGAACAACACAACACCACATCGTAGTCATCAATGTTCAAATCCCTAGCAATATCAGTTGCATGACCAGAATACTCGGTTTCCTTGTATGTAATGTTACAATGAGCTGCTTCTAGTACCGGTTTGATATCTTCTTTGTAAATCTTGACAGCATGACCTTGACCACCATGGGGGTTGATCAATACCAATATCGAAGGTTGTTGCATCACCTTATAATGATAAGCTTTGTTGATGATATAGCGGGTGACAGTTTCTTGCTGATGTTTCTGAGAATCATAGTTTTGAACTCGTGCATTGTGTTTGTAGATTGCCAATTTGGTGGCCCTTTTGAGGTAATCCTCGTGGTTAGGGACGACAAACGTCAACTTGACTTCGTGGTTTTCTTCAGGACCCAAAGCTTCAACGTGGATGATATTTTTGTAAGGGATAAAGTGGGGGACTTTGCTGCTCTTTGGTTCATCTTCGGCTCCAAAACAACTATAACAAGATCCAAGTAAACCGGATGAGGAGCTAGCAGATGAAGAATCGGCGTCACCCCACACTTCTACGCCCCCATCATTTGATACCAACATGTTTCCATTTTGTTGCTGATTTTGTCTGCCATGCGATCCTCGATTAGTTGTATCTACAACAATACCCTGCGAAGCCAATGTGACGCTCACCAGGTCTCTTTTCCGATACAATAGTTGTTCTGATGATAATTTTCGATTCAACAGTGATGACGATGTGGTCATTGTGAGTAGTTGAAATTGAAGTGGATGCGAGTCGCCGATTAATACATCAACAGAGTTGTTATATATACTCAAGATAAGATGCTTAAAAAAAAAAAAAAAAGAAAAAATAAAGTAGGCTTCTGGAATAATATTGGAGATTAACTTTCGGTATAAATACGCGGATTTATTTGTACTTGAAAAAAATTAATGATCTCATGATAGTAGGACGTGAAATTTTATTGCCGCAAAAAAAGTATATATAAAAATAAAAGAAGGACAAGACAACCTTCTGGATTTTTAAAGGGAGATTAGGCTATGACGTGCTCTTAGATATTAAATGGGCCTGACTACTGGTCCTTTCCAATCTATTCAATGCGGGGATTCCATGTAGATATTTCGCTCCTATCATGATTACCCAATTAGGAAAGTGTAAGAGCTTACAAGAGCGGACGTGTTTTGTCGTTTCTCGGTTCAGAAAAGTAAGGCACGTGACTGACGCTCAATTGCAGAAACAACAGACGAATAAGGTAATTAATTACAAAACAGCACTGTCTTTATCCCCTACAATAACACAAGGCTCGAAGACATGGGCCATTTCAATACAGAGAAGTTGGTCGACAAGGATAGGCGACAGATTGCTCAAGCCACCACAAAACAAACTTCTCTTCTTGACACTGGTTCTTATATACACCCACAATATACAATATGACACCAAAAGCTTCACAAAGGAAGAGCAGCCATGGCCAGTAACCACAGCAAAATCTCACAATTCCTCGCGTTTTTCCCTCCAAAACCTCTTAAAATAATCCCCCAGTGGCTTTCAGTTATTGGTAACAAAAAAAAAAAACCACCAAATCCACTAATCTGCTGTCGTTTCCGGGCCCAAAATCAAAAAAAAAAAAAAAAAAAATTGTTACCATGCCGGACCTCATCTCCACCTTGAAAAGGTGATCCCTCAGTACCCCCAAATTGCACTTCCACTTCCCCGACTCTTTCATGTCTAATCCACCCCCTGGGGGGG